GCCCAGCAGCAGGCACCATGCAACGTAAAGAAAGAGCCATCAGTCATTACCGACCGGTTATCATTATTGAGTAACGCCCGATTGGTTCCCGCGTAGTCGTACCGGATGTTGACGTAGAGGCGGTTGTACGGTTCCCGGATCGCCGAGCTGCCCGAGACCGAGCCGATCGACGGCAGGCCGCGCTGGGCCGCAAGCTCCGCAACGCGCTGAATGAAGTAAAGAAAAGAGAAATAAAATCCATCAATAAAGAAGTAAGAAAAAAAATAAAAAGGTGGGGCACTCACCGGCGCGTTGCTGCCGAGACCGACGAGGGCGAAGGCGCCGAACGAGTAGGCGAGTTCATCGAGGATAGTAGCCGGAGACGCCCTATTGGATGTACGAAAATAAAAATAAATGATAGCGAACAGGAAAAAGGATGAATAAACAAACAATAGAGTAACATTACAAGAAGTAGTGGAGCTGGGAGAAGGGGAGGACATACACGTCCGAGTCGCGAGGGATGAGCGTGAGGTTCTGTCCGTTGGCGGAAGCCAGATTACCGAAGGCCGCGTAGATGCCATTGGTGATGGCGTTACTGATATTGGGCTCTGGTCGGTCATCAACAACATCAACAACATTACAACATCAGTCACTCGCATGAATACAGTTGAAGCGGGGATGGGCACAGTCACGTACGGGAAGTGAAGGGCAGGATCTGGCCGAACACGAGCGGAACACCGATCGCACTGCACGACGCGAAGTGAGTCTTCATAACGCGTTTTGTGTGCCGTGCGTTGATGCGTGTGCGTGTGCGTTCGTGCGTGTCATGGGGTGGAAATGGAGGCGCACGTGGAGGTGGACGCGCAGTCGGTCCACACGAGGGTGTCGGCGAGGTTGTCCCAGCCGAGGGACGAGTTGAGCTTGATCATCCACGTTTGGTGGAGACCCTGGTTGCACTTACACGCCAGCCTGCCGGACACAAATTTGATGTGAGCGCGTGTGTAGTGTGCGTGTGTGTCGTGTGTCGTGTGTGTCGTGGCGCAAAATGAATGACGATCGGTACTACGTACGTGTTCCTGGTACACACGGTGTTGCCGAAGGGACCAAAGCGGAGGCCCTGGAAGGCGAAGAGCTCGCGCGAGTAGATGGCGTCGACAAAGGCCTGGCCGGTCTGGTTGCCGGTGGTGGGCAGGAGGTCCAGCACCTGCTCGGCGAAGCTGGCTTCGATGTAGCCCTCGAGCGAGGAGAACCCGATGTCGGCCTGGCTCGCGTAGGTCTGCATGTCAGACAGGTACTGCGCGACGATCGGCAGGCTGGAGTCCCACGGATAGGGCACCACCGAGCTCAGGATCAGCTGCACGTCCGTGTCGACTCCCGCGGCGGCCAGCGCTGTTGTGTTCGTCACACACACACACACACACACACACGAGCGCGCGGAGCAAGTGAGTGGCGTGTGTGCGGTGGCTTGTGTGCGTGTCATGGGTGCGTACTCTGGCTCAAGCCTTCGGCCGAGGCCGAAGAGGGTGCGAAGAAGGTGGCGGAGGGCCAGCTGGCGTGGGCCTTCAGGATGAACTGCGCAATGGGCTGGAGAACGAAAAACGAAGAACGAAAGCGAAAAATGAGAAAATTAAAGAATTGACGAACCTAGAGTAGCGTGGGGGGGGGGCAAATGTGGGTTGCGTACCGTCTGAGTGGCGTAGAGGAAGATGGCCTCCGGCACCTGGTTTCTTGAGCTGGCGGTGGCGCTGAGGCTGGCGAACGCGTCCGTGATGTTGCCGGTGGCCGGGTCGTACGAGGCGTTGGCGATGACGTTGACGCCCAGGAAGTCGAGTGAGTTGAGCAGGGCCTTGAAGCCGTTGGCCCCCGTGGTGTCGTTCGACCAGAGGGCGATCACGCGGAACTTCTTGAGCGAGCTCGACATGTAGTTCACCAGCAGCGTGGTCTCGTCGGCCACGGAGCCGCGGATGTTGATCACGTTCTCGCGCCACGGGTCGCGCAGGTCGGTGGAGCCGGCGATGGGGCCGACCAGGGGCACCCCGAGGTCTGTCACGAGATCGACCACCGACGACACAGTTTCGTCGCCGACGCTACCTGCAAGTCGCACACGCGTGTCAGTCACCGTGGTGCGCACACGCACCACCGCGCACACACCGGGTTAGTGTGCGTACCCATGATACCGAACACGGTGTTCTCGTTCACGAGCGTGTTGACGTTCGCGGCGGCCTGGGCACTCTGCAGTGGTTGAACCAAAACAAAACAAACCAACACGTGAGCGAGGTGCAGGAATGTTTGGAAGTCGCGTCGGAATGTGACGTACGTCGCCCTGATCGTCGTAGGAGATGAGGAGCAGCTGACGGCCGTTGTAACCGCCCTGCCTCGCGTTACGTCCGGAGAACGCCGCCTGAATGCCGGCGCGCACCTTGTTGCCCACGATCGCCTTATCGCCTGCAGGTGTCAAGACACGATAAGTGCGCTGCAGCCGCAGAGTGTCGTGTGTGTGTGTGTGTGTGTGTGTGTGTGTGTGTGTGTGTGTGTGTGTGTGTGTGTGTGTGTGTGTCGGGGCGGACCAGAGAAGTCAGCCGACTGGCCGAATGCCAGCGGGCGGGCCACGTCGGACGTTTGGGAACCGCACACGTCGGAGAAGGAAAAGTCTCCGCTCGGGACTGGAATGTACGAGTAGTCGGACGCCAAGGCCACCATGTACACCTTTTGGGGGCGAGGATTCGTGTGTGTCGTTTACCGAAAGGAGTTTAGTATTAAGCTTCCACGCGTCGGTAGTGGCTGGTGGTGGCTGGTGGTGAGTACCTGGCGCATGCCTTGGTTGCAGCGGTCGCCCGTCGTGTCCGTGAACGGACCCAGAGTGAGACTGGGCATTGATTGGGGCAAGGAGTTGTTAGAGAAGACCCGCGCATGTGTAGTGCGCGTGTAGTGCTATATAAACGATGTGGGACCATGTACCCGGCGATGTTGAAAGTGTTGGTGACGTCGTAGATGGTCTGCAAGAATAGCTGGCGCAGGGTGACCCTCGCCGCCGAGTCGCTTGTGTCGAAGTTCGGAGAGGAGCCCCAAGTGGCCGAATCCCTGCAAGATCCAGAATGTGAGCGCGTGCGTGCGTGCGTGCGTGTGTGCGTGTGTGCGTGCGTGCGTGCGTGCGTGCGTGCGTGCGTGCGTGCGTGCGTGCGTGCGTGCAAAGCAAGCCTGCGGGAGCCGGTTACCGAGAGCGCATGCGGAAAAGAGTGTCGGCAATCATGCGGCCCACGAGATAGCCCTCGAGCTCAGTGAACGAGGGCGTGTTACCGTCCGGGTTCTGCACGTCGACATACCAACACGTCATCAACAAGAAAAAAAACCATGTCAGAACGTCGAATCGCTGCTTTGGCGCTCGGTTTGTACGTACCGCGAGCTTGGTTGCGACGTACTCGGCCACCATCTTGGGCTTCGACAGAGTGGGATTGGGGAACGGGACCACCTATAGGTCGAATATATGGTTTTAAAATATATTAATTTCCATTTTGCGTGAATTCTCTAATTATAATAATAAAACAAGAATAAAAATAAAAATAATAAAACAAGATGTACCTGACTGATGTACATGGCAAGGGATCCGTCGCGCCGGTGGGTGAGACGCCTTGCAGTTGCAGGAAACCCGAGAACAACTCAGGACCAACGAACGAGGCTGTGCAGTACAAAAACGTAAAAATACATAAATGTCATATATGATGACCAGCGCGTGAGTGGTCATGTGAGCGGTGACATTGGTGGTGGCAATAAGATGAACGGGGGAACGCGTACCCATGACGAAGTAGGTGTTGAGACATTGCGTGCAGTTCTCGGTGGCGTTGAGGCGCCTCCACAGTTTGATGAAAAGTACGATTTGCTGCAGGCGCGAGGGTCCATGAGTGGGTAAGAAGATGAGATATTGAGAAAAAATGACAACGACGACGCTAATGGAGAAGAAGCATGTACCGCGAAGGTGCCGATACAGGCGATGGCTTCCGGCTCGGCCGTACCATTGGCGTAGACATCCTGAACAGCCGGATCGATGGTGGCCGGAGTGACAGCCGCGTTCTTGTCGTACACTCCCTGGCTTACCAGCTGTGCGCCACGTAATTGTTAGTTAATATTTTTTTTAATGTCCATATGCTCATTTTATCTCAAAATGAAGATGTCATTCTTCAATATAAAACAATAAATCGTGCGTTATGGCGGGGCGCGTACCTTGAGGCCGAGCAAGTTGAAGGCGAGTGTGAGATTGGAGAAGCCGGCCACTTGGATGCTCTCGTTCTGGTAGAAGGCGGCCACCTTGGTGAGGCGCAGCTCGTTACTGAGGAAGCTGAGCAGGGTGTTCACTTCGTCGGCGTACGACGCGCGGACGTTGACGAACAACCTGGTGGCGCCGCGGGCATTAAACCATTGGCCGGAAAGACCGTCTAAAGGCTATGTTCAAATAAAAATAAAAATCGAACCTGTTGAACGGGACGTAGAGGTTGTAGTTGCCCGTGTACGGGCCAATGAGGGGCGTGCTTTTTTGGGCGCACACGTGCGCCGCTCCTTTGGGTTTGGAAAATGGGTCGGGTCAGCACAAGCGGCCACAACAGCCCACACACTTATATAAATGATAATAAAAAGAGATTTTTTTATTTTATAAAAAAAGTGGAGCACAAGAAACACAAAAAGGACCAAACAGGCAAGCGCGAAATTTGACCAAATAAAGAGAATAGTAAATAAACATTCGAAGAATGCTAGAAATGTACCTTGCGACTGCTCGGCACCGATGACGCCGGCGATGGCGAACACGCCCAGGTTGTCGATCATGTTGGCGACGTTGGCCATCGTGTTCGCGAGGAGGTAGTTGTCGTCTTGCACCAGAAGCTGGAGCGGGTGGCCGTTCACGCCGCCGTACACCGTGTTGACCTCCTTGAAGGCCAGCTGGATGCCGTAAGCGAACCGGGCGCCGAGTTGCGCGGCCGGGTTCGCGGTGGCGTTGGTCGGTGTCGACATGCCGAAAATGATTGGCGAACCCGCGGCGCCGAGTGCTTCGTGCGCGTTGAGGGCCACCAGGAGCAGCACCACCACGGCGGTCGCAACGAACCGCCACGGAGATGAAGATGAGGCGAGCTTCATCTTTGATTCGTCGACTCGACGAGAGATGTAAACTAGATTAACGAAGAATCTGATGTAGATTAAAACGATGAAGTGTAGGGTCGATCGATCGATGCAAGCCACACCATCAACACCGCCGGAGGTCGATGAAGATATAAAATAACGAAGATGAAGATAGATAGATAGGCAGAGAGAACAAAAAGATGAGTTACGTAATACTACCACCGCGCCTAAGTCGGACACATAAAGTAAAAAGTCGGGGCACAGGAGAGAAGGCGGAGAGCACAGTGTGCTTACCTGTTATTCGTTGATCCGCGCCTTGGCTATCTTTCCCGTTCTTCGCCGAGGTTCACTCGCTTGGGCGCGTTGGGCCGGGTCAGACAGAGGTCGACGTAGCGGAGAGTGGTGAAGACAAATAACAGAGAGTGGCCCCTCGTTGGAACGAACAGACCGACGCAAAGGCAGCGGCAGCTGCTGCACACGACACGAAGGCGGGGTTGGGAATAAATGAACGGTTCGAACCGTAGGTGCGCACACCACGGCCGCAAACAGCGCTGACTAATAAATTAATGTGGCCGGGCCATTCCATTGGCTGAATTTGCCGAATACCGCGGGGAAATAATAGACCGAGCTTCACCCATTGGTTTACAATCTCCGCTATCGGCCGTCGTGCCCGATCGTGCGATGTGTTGCTGTGCGCCATCTGACTCAAGCCGAGTTGTAGTTTTTACCTTTGCTTGGCCACCTTGTTGTGGAGAAGAGGGAAGAAGAAGCGCTACTTACAGATGAAGAGGAGGGGAACCGCTTTCCAGGCTTTCAAAGGTCCTCTCGTCCACCGCCGGGTGCTCGAGCAGGCTGGACGACGCTCTGATCAAACGGCACCTTGACAAGCACGGTCACTTCTTGTGTCTGACAGGCACCACCCAATTACACAAAAGTTTAGCGTAAAACGGGAAACGCGATCAGCCGCAAAGCAGTTGCCGCTTGTGCTGGTACTCCCCCCATTTCCCACAGCAACGGTCAATGCGCGCGAAGTGTAAACAAAAGAAAACAAGAGAAGGAAGGAGGAGGGTACGGAGGGGCGGGGCTCGGGCATCTGCTTGAGGATGGGGCCGACGACCTTGGTGGCGAAGAGGCCCTCGATGCCTCGATAGTTCCGCTCGCAGTAGTGCTCGTGCGCCACCATGAAGTGGATCAGCTTCTCCGCGATCGCGTGAATGTCCGCGCCCACCCTGCCCCAACCGCACGTGTCAGCGGCGTCGGCCTTGCTAACGTTCCGTACGTTGTCGCAAAGAAGGGCAGGTACTTTTTGATGACGATGTTGTCGCGTTTGGCGGCGGGGTGCTCCTTGAGCTGTCGCACGAGCAGGCTCACCAGCTCCTCAACGGGGGCCGACACCTACACGCACACAGCGAATTTGTTACATCTCGGGCGGTCAAAAGGTGGTGGAGGTCAGGGAGGGGGCGGTGGTGCTGGCGTACCTTGCCGACCCGCGCGGTGCAGTTGAGGTCGGGCACCGGCGAGAAGGGGATATGGTACTGAATGCGCTGCACCATGAGGTCCTCCTGCAAGATGGCCTGCACACGCGAAGAATTAATGCTCATGCCAGCCTGGGTAAGCACTGCCCAGACAGGGGCCAAACAAAGTAGCTGGGTACTTTGGTCTCACGGTGGACCCTCTCGGCGATCTCGTCCCAGGAGTCGCCCGTTCTGATCTCGTCCCGGCCAAAGTCGCTGATGAGAATGATGATGGCCTCCTTCGTGTTGACCCGCTTGGACGGGTCCTTCAAGCTCGACACAGTCTTGGGGCAGACAAGGAATGGTGAGTCACCTCGTCGTTCATGCATGTACGCACTGCTGATGATGCGACATACCGTTTGCGAGTCGTCCATGAAAGCGCCCACGACGCGCAGGATGTCCGCCCGCATCATCTCCGCTTCATCAATCTGGGCGTGTCACGCGAGTGGTCAGCGAACGCTCGCCGAGAAAAGAGAAAGAGAAGCGACGTACGACGATGATGGCCTGGGGGCACGTGGCCAAGTGGTCGATGATCTGCTCGTGAATGTACTCCCTCGCCGCCTTGATCTCCTCCTCGCTCTTGGCCATCTGGTACTGCTTGCCTGCATTCTCCCCGCAGTGCCGCATCGTAGCATGCCATCGCGCGTCAGTTAGTGTGGAATGGCCTAACCAGATGCGACCTGTGTCGTACCGCTGATCCACAAGAGGCCCTTGTACATGTCGGTCTTCTTGTCCTTGTAGGCGAAGTAGGCCTCGGCCAACAGCAGCGCGGTGTGGCTCTTGCCCACCCCATTCTCGCCGCAGAAGTGGAAGGTGAGGGGCTTCTTGCCTGGGTACGTTGCCGGTCAGGACAAGACATGTAGCGGCGTGTAGAGGAAGGCAAAAGATGGAGAAAGAGAAAAAGAGATGAAGTAGAAGAACGGGAGGACAAGGGCGAGAAGGAGACAACGCACCGCTTGCTGCACGAAGGGCATCGGCGATGAGGACGGCGGCGCGCTCCTGGCCCATGAGCTTCTTGGCCGGGCCGGGCTTGGTAGTAAGCTCTTCGAATCGCTTCACAGGCTCGAGTGTACGTGGGCACGGGCCTGCAGCAAGCAGCTGAGGATTGGAGCAACTTCGAATCCTTCAATTGAACGAAAGATGGAAGATACCAAAGCATCGAGTGCAAGCAAAGCTCGTCCACGACTCGTTGCATTCGCAATCATCAAAAGCTGCCATAACCAGAGCCGGCAACAGCACCAACGCCAACACCAGGCTCCGCAATCGTGCCTGCATCATCTTTTACACAGATCTGAATTGATTTTCTCTTTTCTCTTTTCTCTCTTTTGTGCAGTTGCTGACGTGGCGGCCCAAATAGCACTATTTATTGCTTCGCTGCTGCTGGGCTTGGCGAAGCGAACAGGGCAGCGATCTCGCGAACGACCGGCTCGGGGTTGTCGAGATGTGGGTGGTGACCGCCCGGCACGACGATCTCGCGGACGACCTGCTTGGCCACCGCCTTCTTGCGGATCGGGTAGAGCTGCTTGAAGAGCGGCTCGTAGTCAGTGAAGAGGAAGCCCTGGTCGCCCAGCACCACCACGATGGGGCAGGCGATTCGTTCAAGGCACTCGGTCACCTGCTCCTCGTTCATGCGCAGCAGCGACGAGCAGCGCAGGCTTCGGTCCTGGCTGAACACCACCCCGTTCTCGACCTGTGTCGTGTGTCGTGTATCGCGTATGAGCTCCAGACCAATGCAGCTGGCCAGATCTGACCTGAACGAATTTGCAGGGACATCGCGCACCTGCTTGATGGATCGGGTCACGAGCTTGACGACCGATTCTCGCTTCATCTGCGGCTGGCTTTCGCACCACCGATCCACGGCAGCGTCGAGGTCGGCATAGACGGGCGGTGGACGAGAGTGCACCATCTTCGAGAATGCGAAGAATGCCGTATGGCTGAAGAGTGAGATAGCGCCAAACGTGTGGAGGGGGACGGTGGTTCGTGGCAGCATACCTTGTTGGTGAACATGGCCTTGTTGAAGTCGTCGACAAAGTTGCTTTTCTTGGGATTGGTCCATGGACCCAGGCCCTCGACCACGATCAAGTGCTTCACGCGCGAGGCATAGAGGCCGGCGATGATCGACGTCAGCCCCGCACCCAGGGAGTGTCCCATCAGGGAAAACGAGTCCCAGCCCAGACCATCTGCCGACAAAACAAGAAGAGAATGATGATGACGACGATGACGTCGACACACGACACGACACGACAAAGGAGAAAAGTGAGACGCACCAGCGAAGCTGATGATGTCTGGAATGTACTCGAGGAAGTTGTAGGGTCCTTTGCCCGACCTGTGCTCGCTCTGGCCGTGGCCGGGAAGGTCGATCGCCACCAACCGAACGTCTGGTGAATGCAACGCCACGTCGACCAGTTGAGCGAGGTGCGGTGCGAAAGTGGAAAGAGAGCAGGCGGGTCAACTGGACCTGCGGCTGCGACGAGCAGCGGTGCCAAGTGGTCCCACGTGGCCGCGTTGTCCATCCAGCCATGCACGGCCAGCACCCGGTGAGGTGCATCTTCTCTTCCCCACACCTACGCCCAGTCCACGCCAGCACGCCCCCCCGGGGGGGGGAAGAGATGTACTTAGATGGATTTTTTTTAAAAAAAAGAAATACAAAAACAGTGGTACCTTGCCGGCGAGCACGAGGTCACTGAAGCTGCTGGTGTGGGCGATTTCGGTCATTATACCCCGACGTGGAAGCGGCACGACAGCTGCAAGCCTCTGGTGAGCCGAACGAGCTGGCGCGGCAAACCGGTAGAAAAGCCCGCAGTCGCCTGCTACGCGCCGCATCCGTCCGGAGAATAAAAACAAATATCTAAAAGAAAAGATGAAGTACGGAAGCTGAACTATTCCTGGGGTTCTTGTTTGACAGATTTTCTAAATTCCACTACAGCTGAGTTAATTCATTTGTTTGGAGTTGGGTCCCATCTCTCGCTGTGCGTTGCTTCTTCGTCTTGTTGCGACGTGGTAGCAGTCCTTCCTGTCTCCTGGCGTTCCGCGTGTGGTGGTCGAGGCTCCTAGCTCGCTTGATTCTTTCGTTCCTTGTTTGACGTCGGGTGAACCCAGTGCTGCAAGCTTGAGAAGGACCTTCTCTCTGCAACAAGTCACTGCACTACATCTTCATCTTGAAGCGTTGAGCATGGCCAGTAAGCATCTCAGCAGCTCGAAGGAGCGTAAACGATCAGAAAAGGGAGCCATCGAGAATGAAGGAAGAGAAAGTGATGACGACGAAGAGCAGCTGCGCCAACATCTCGAGCGTCTGGCCAAGGTGACGGAGGGTATCGGGCAAGGACAAGGAAAAGAAGAAGCAAGTGGCTCTCCTTCTGCGGCAGTATCTTGAAATCATCGAAAATGAAGGAAGTAATGGAGATGGAGATGAAGCGCCAGCAGCAACCGCGGGAGATGAAGAGCAGGTGGGCTCGACCGTCGTGGTGGACACGGACGGGCGGCCCTCGCCTCCCATGTCAAAGAGCGATCCGAAGTGCTTCGCGGACACTGAAAAGGGCGGTTTCGAGATTGGCGAAGATGACGACGATGACGATGACGACGACTACGAAGAGGAAGAGGAGGAAGATCTCTCTGCCTCAACCGACGAAGACGCCGCAGCGTCATCTGACAATGGAAGCGACAAGCTCTCGACCGAAGAGGAACTGCTGGAGGATGTGGAGAAAGAGGCGGAAGACAAGCTCAGCGAGCGATTCCTCGATTACGACAAGGTGTGGGAGTACGCCATGACCACGGTACGCTACACGTTCGCGTGCGCATCGATTTCCTTATTCTGGTTTGATCGCTGCCCGCTTGATTTGATGCGAAAACAAACATCTTTCGAGTAGTGCAAGAAGATCGCAATCTCTGATTTGATGGTTTCTCTCGTTATTATGTTTGACCTGCGCTGCAGCCGCAAGGTCTGCTTGGCCAAGTGAAGAAGGGCTTCATGAAGCCCGCCCTGATCGAAGTATCCAACGGCCTCCTTCTCTACGCCCGCCTTTCCTTCAAGGTACTACTGGACGCTTCATCTTCTCCACCTTCAGATCTTGCTCCTTCCTTCTCTTTCTTCATCGGCCATGAAGCTTCCTCCAGCAGTGCGCGTGTAGTACCACCATCTCATGATGATGTCTTTGTGATGCACGTGCAGGGTGGCGGACAACTGCACCATGACGCCGGCGTACGCATGACCGCCAAGGAGGTCCTGGCCGCGGGACCCGTGCGAGCGCGCGTCCTCTTCGGCGTTCAAGAGGGCTGGCCCTTCAACGTGCCACTGAAGAAGGGTACCCCGGCGCCGCTACCCAACCTGTCGCTGCTCCAGCCGCTAATAAGACACGCACGACGCCATACAACACACGACACCGCACACGCACACGACTTTGGATGCTGTAGGCAACAAGAAGAAGATCTACCACGTTGCAGCGGACAGCCAGCAAGAGGCCCATGTGTGGCTGCACACCATTCTCGAGGCGCCCAAGGACTCGACCAAATCCGTGCGCGGCTTCCTGTGGGTCGAAAGCGCGCAGACGGGCAAGTGGAGCCGCTACTACTGCATCGCCGACCCGACCCACTTTGAGTGGTTCCGCACCAAGGAAGCCGTACAGCGCCCACTCACTCCTACTCAGCCACCTAGTCTCGTTGACGACACGACGCTCATCGAACCGTTGTGTTTCTGTTCTCTTCAACAGAAAACGTATGACATGAAGACGCTACATGCCAAGAACATGAAGCTCACCGGGTCCACGGTCGAAGGCAGCTACACGGAGGTGAACTGCGCTCTCTTCAGACTAGCGCAGCGATTGTGCTGCTAACCCTCATGCCTGCTGCGTGCGTGTCGTATGTGCGTGTGTGTCGTGTGTGCTGGCGAGCAGACGTCACCGGTCAGCACGATGAAGAGCACGCCAAAGGTCTCGAAGAAGGCCCTTCGTTCGCACCACATGCGCGAACTGAAGAACTACGACCACGAGCTCATCCTGTGGACCCGGGAGCGACCCGTCAAGAAGGTGTTCCACTTCATGACTGAGTCGAACGATCGCCGCCTCTTCTGGAAGAACGTTTTCGTCGCCGCAGCCGCCACCGCGAAGGACAACGCCGACGCCTCGCAGCTGCAGCTGCAGCCACCGTCGTCGAACACGCAGCTCGCGAGCGCCCAACACTCCTCTATTCCGTCGCCGTCGTCATCTCAGCCGGGCTCGCGCGGCCCTTCGCGCCCGTCGTCGCGCCCCTCGTCGGCCTACGGGAACGGCCCGGTATCGCTGTCCGACCCATCGTACGCATCGGCCGCTGCGTCGGCGCCGTCGCTCAGCCATTCGGAACCACCTTCCGCCAGCGGCGGCGGCTCGGTCACGGCCTCGTCGGCGTCGACGGGGGGGACCGTCACCTTCTCCGCGCTGCCCGCAGGCTCGAATCCGTTCCAGCCGTCGGCCGCATCGGCCTACATGGCGACCCGCTTCTCGTCGCTCTCAGAGCACATGGCCTTTGCACTCAAAGGCGTGGGCGAAGAGGAAAAGAAAACTTCGGAAAAGCGAAAGGAAAAGGACGCGAGCGGAGGCGCGAAGGAGGACGCCGCCGGTGGCGTCGTGGTCACCCCGCCCTCCTCGGTACCGGCCACACCCGAAAGTCGCCCGCGTCTATCGACCCTCTCGCGCGACGCCTCCATCTTCCGTACGTCATCATCACCATCTTCTTCACTGCTTGCTTGCCTGCGTTGTTGATTGCAAGTGACCATGACCTCGATGTTTCTGCGCTGCGTAGGTTCTGGCGTCGGCTTGGAAACGAAAGAAAGTACGTCGGAAGCACACTACTTTATAATACAATAATAATTATAGGTTCAGTAGTGGCTCGTGGCTAACAAAAATGGAATGACAGCAACTCAGCTCCGCAATGATCTGCGAGACCTGATGGAGCAAGCCGACAGAGAAGCGGGCAAGACTCGATGTATGTGCACTCACACCTTCTGAACTCGATCACCAAGTCTCACCCGACTGACGCGCGACCGCCCGCCAACACCACACACACACCCCACACAGTCGGCAATTATTCTCTGGCCAAGTCCGGCGTCGGCGACGGCCACGTGCGCGTGATCTCCCTCGACGGCGGCGGACTTCGGGCGGTCATGGAGGCCGTCATCCTCGAGCGGCTCCTCGAGTTCTTTCCCGGTACGTACGCGCCTGTCTTGTCGGCCCACAGTACAACGCCACTGACGGCCAACAAATCGCGCGATCAGATCTGTTGGAGCGAACGGACATGTTTGCGGGCATCTCCGGCGGCAGCATGGTCGCCGCGGGCCTCGTGTGCGGTCGCTCGCCCACCTTCATCCGCCGCCTCCTGGACATCCTCGCGCCTCGCGTCTTCAACCCCAAGGTGCGGACCTCGCCCTCGCCCTCGCCCTCACCCCAGTCATGCCCTGGCTTCTGACCTCTTACGTTGCCGTGGCCAACCACTTCATCACCAGGGCCGATTCCGCACGGGCAAGGCCATCCAGAGCTCCAAGTTTGCCAACAAGAACCTCCTCGTGGCCGGCTCCGAAAGTGCGTTCTATCGCCCCAACCAAACCTCCAAACGATATTGGTTTTTACTCCTTTCTCATCTCGTCGTCATCGTCGTCATCGCCAGTCACGAAGAACATCAAGCTCGACCAGCTGCGTCCCAAGATGCTGCTCATCCCCTCGTTCCTGCTCGACAACGGACTCAACAACGAAGAGCGGAGCTGGGAGCCCCTCATCTTCCACAACGTCGTACGCACTCCCCATTCACCTTGAACCAACGAGTAACAAACTCGCCGGCCGACGCGTTGCCACGTCACTCACTCACTTACCGCCACCCTTAACCGCCGTCGCCCTCCACGCGTGGTGCAGCCGCTGAAGCCGAAGCAGCTGCGCGCGAGCTCGCTCCCTCGATCGAACACGCGAGAGCTGGAGGTCAAGCTGCAGGGCAGCGGCAACCTCACGCGCGTGCACAAGCGCTCGTGCAGCATCGACGAGCGCAAGAAGAAGGACAAGTCGGCCTCCACGGACCCGTCGGCGCCGGTGGCGACGTCGACGCCATCGCTGCTGGGCGACCTCAAAGAGAAGGAGGCCGCGCACCGTAAGAAGGAGAAGAAGCGGGGCGAGTCGTTCAACAACCGGGCCTTCACCCTGCGGCCGCCTTCGACGTCTTCGACGGCGGCGTCCGTGGTCAGCCCGCGCGAGAAGGTGGCCCACAAGCGCACCCGCAGCTCGGCCGACGACCTCACCAAGGTCGCCGGCATCAAGGACCGCACCAAGGAGTCTCTGCGTACGTTCTTTTCATTTTTCTCTATTAATTTATTTGTAATTCATTACACTATTTGTATTTTGTTTATAATTCTGTTTGTTTGATTATTGACATTTTTTTCCTAATAATGTTAACATTTATTTTGCACCACAGTGCGGCCCGATTCGGGAGGTCTGACGGGCTCGAGCAAGCTGAAGGTGCGAAGCGGCGTTTCGCAGAAGAAGGAGGAGGGCGGCGAGAGCGAGGAGTCCGACGCGAGCGACGACGAGGACGATGACTATGACGCCCTGTGCGTGGACGAAGAACGCAACGTGCCCATCTGGGGTACCGCACTCACTCACCTCTGAGCGCGCGTGTCGTGTGTGTGTCGTGTGTATGTGTGTCTGACGTGAGCGGTGGCGGCGTGATGTTTGTAGACTGCGTGATGGGATCGTCGGCGGCCCCAACGTATTTCCCATCGTACAAGCGACAGATCGACGCGGCGGTGATGTGCAACAACCCGGCCCTCGCCGCCATTTCGACGCTCATGAGCGAGCGGGCGGCCCAGCCCAAGACGCCCAAGCAGATCCACATCCTCTCCCTCGGCACCGGTCGGCTGTCGCAGTTCATCGACGGCGACCAGCACGACTGGGGCATGATCAAGTGGGCACCCTATCTCCTCCAGATCATGGTACGCCTAACAACCCCGCAAAAACACATCGCACACGCACCACCGCACACACCACCGCACATGCGCTCACATTGTTGTTAACACCCACGGCGCAACGACGACCACAATCAGATCGGCGCCACGTCGCTGTACGAGCAGAAGCAGGCCAAGGCCATCCTGGGTCCGCGGTATCACCGCGTGGATCCGTTCCTGCCCGCACGTACGCTCCCTCGCTCTCTCGACTCGCGCGTGGCGCCGACAATGACCAGCGCATTAGCTCACAGCCTTTCTCCCCTCTTTTTCCTCCAGCGCTGGCCATGGACGAGCCCCTGCTCCTCTCCGTTCTGGTCGAGCAGGCCATGAAGGTGAGTGCCCCATGCTGTGTGTGTGTGTGTGTGTGTGTGTGTGTGTGTGTGTGTGTGTGTGTGTGTGTGTGAGTGTCATGGGTGTCATGTGTGTCGTGCGTGTCGTGCGAGATGCTGAATAGTGTGATGATTGCTATCCAGGTGGACTTGGAGGAGACGATCGAGTGGATCGAGGAGAATTGGTACTCGGAGGACGAACGCAAGGAGCGACGGGCCAAGCGCGAGCGCGAGCAGCAACAGCAGCAGTCGGCGGCGGCGCAGACCCAGAGCAGCGACGGCGCGCCGCTGGCCAACGGTTCTTCTTCCGCTACGGCAGCCGCCGGCAAGCTGCAAGGGGGTGCCTCCAGCAACAGCAAGCTCAAGGGCGCCAGCAGCAAGGACAAGAAGAGCCGCGATAAGAAGAAGCGGAAGGCCAAGAAGGCCAACCGCAAGAGCGTCTACGCACCCGTGGGCCAGGAGGGCGAGGAGTCCACCCTGCGCGGCAACTGGGGCGATGCCGCCTGGTTCGGCAGCCTCGGCAGCACCTGAGCATCGTCTCTGCTCTTCTCTGTCCGCTTCATCAGTTTTGCTTCTGCGCAATAGAAAAAAAGAAAAACTTTTCTTTTTTATTTCTCTTGCCATATTAATTTCTTGACAGAAAGTTCCCAATTGGGCGATGGCTTGGGTTCTTCTTCCTGCGTACAACCAAAAGGCCTCACACAAGCCATGCGTCAGGGCTCGACTTGCTTTTTGTTGGTTGTACTCGCTCTTGCCTTTGTCGGTTCGCCCTCCTCACCTTTCGTTTCGTTGTTCTAGTTTTAAAAATAGTGAACTACATTGCCGTACCGGGGGGGGGGGTTAAGCAGGGCTGAGCGCGGCAGCTCCCCCGAAGGGAACGTGGCCGCCGCCGTGCAGGTTCGCGCCGCTCTACACCATGGGCGAGCTGCTGCACGACGAGGAGGCCCGCCGCTCCTTCATTGACTCGGCCATCTACCACGAGGGCCACTTCCACGAGATCGGCTACAACCACCACTCCGGTAAGTCGCACCTCCACCCACTTCCACCTCCACCGCATCTTCTTCCTCTCCTCTTTCCACTCCGACCTCGCGGCTTGGTGCTCTATTCTTCGCCCAATCCCCAATCAAAACACGCTTATTGTTAACTTTTGCCGTGATCTGATTGGTTTACTTTTTTATTTCGCCCATGTTGTGTGTCGTGTGCTGCGTGTCGTGTTGTGTGTTGCGTGCGGTCAAGGCCTGACGTACGACGGGCACACGATCAACTACCAGAGCGGCGAGTTGATGCCGCCCATTCACAACTTCAGCGCGCCCTCCAAGGAGTCCGTCCACGTGGCCCTCCTCGCTCTCTCGCTCCTCGGCAACGAACGGTTCGAGCCCCGTCCCCTCCCCTTCTACCCACACCGCGTCTCACCTGTGTGTCATGTGTCGTGCGGCGCGTCGTGTCGTGTCGTGCGTTACGTGTCGTGTGCGATGTATAGGGCCAGGCTGTTCTTCAATGTGTCGGCCGAGAAGGCTGGCCAGTCGGTGGACGAGCTGGCCATCGACATCCTCCAGAAGAAGATGAACGCCTACGAACGCTTCAACGCCCAGTACCCCGGCTATGGCGGTACCATCACCCACCACCAGGTTTCCCCCTTTTTAGTATATGGTCTGACCACTGCTCGTGCACGTCGTCGCAGGCTATCTGCCCTGGTACGTGATCACCGACTCGAGCCTCTTCCCCATCCCCCCTGGCTGGGTACAACACACATCTCCCTCCACACGGCACACACGACACACGACACACGACACACGACACACGACACACGACACACGACACACGACACACGACACACGACACACGACACACGACACACGACACACGACACACGACACACGACACACGACACACGACACACGACACGCGTAGAAGGTATGAGTGACAAAATGTGTATGGTGGATGGGTGGGTTGCAGACGTCGCGCGTTCCGAGCTTGGACAACGGCGAGTGGGTGTGGGCGTTGAAGGCGGCCGTGGAGGCCCTCGAGCAGCGAGAGCAGCCCACCCTGGCCAAGCGCTACTTGGTACCCACCTGCCCCCCCTCCAATTCATTACCATCACCATCGGTCAGTTGGTTGCTGGCCGCGACTGATCAACGGTTGGTGGCCGTGCCATGTCATGGCCGCCAGAACTACGTCGACATGCTGGCCAAGAACGCGTTGCTGGTGTTCTACGCGGGCGAAGGCAGGCTTCGCACGGTGACCGTGATCGCCAACATGAGCGCTCCGCCCTCGCCCGGCAACTACTACGGTCCTCCCCAGGTAAGCATCACCGCCAGCCTCTGGTAACGATTGAATAATCGGCATACTCGCGCGTGCACCAGGTTGGCTATCTCGATGACCCCTATGAGGGCGAGCTGTTCACCTTCTTCGTTGACCTCTACTCGATGGCGCACGACCCCGCCGAGAGGTGCGTCTCCGGGTGTGTGCGTGTGCGTGTGCGTGTGCGTGTGTGTGTGCGTGTGCGTGTGCGTGTGCGTATGAGAGCGGTCACAGGCACCTGTGCTGAGGCCAAACCCCACTCCACACAGGGAGAAGATGTGGGTGTACAAGCGGGAGCTGCTGCAGGCCGTCAAGTACCACACGCCCTCCGGCCCGATCACCGTCCAGCGCGGCTGGTGGTTCTCCTCCCACGAGCAGGTACCTCGTCGTGTGTGTGTCGTGTGTGTCGTGCGTGTTTGGCGTGTGCGATTGCCTTAGCCCATCGGTGGCGTCGTGTTGTGCGGTACAGTGGAAGTATCTGGAGATGCCCTATCTGGAGGTGCCCATCAACAAGCGCGTCTTCCTCAACGGAGAGCGAGCGCGCACCTGGAACTCTGCCCTCAAGGGTATCCCCGTACGTGTGCTCCACCAATCCACGTATTGTGTCGACACACATGCGCCAATCATGTGTTGATGTTTGTTGTTGCATGCCAACAACCTGCAGGGTCTTTTGGCTTCCGTGAACGACGTATCGAAGAGTAAGTGCCACCATCACCTCCTTTATTATCAGTTTATTTATTTTTATATTTTTGCATATGCATCTAATGTTGATGGTTGCATGGAAACAGACGAGAACATTCCGGACTACATGGGCGCGACGGGCATCCGCGAGATCGCCTTCGAAGAGATCGCCTCCACTTCGGTCGTCACCCCCTATGGCGCCTTCCCCATGTTCCTTGCCAGCGGTACCGCCACCACTCTCTTCGGCCGAAGAGTCTTCCGAACGCCACATTATATGAATATGTTCAACATATTGTAACATAGATGGCTATGTTTGGGTGGTGCAGAGGACGTGGCGGCTGCGTGGTACCACGTGATGCTGAGCGGAGGTCGCATGCAAGGCCCGTTCGGCACGACCGAGGCCATCAACATCACCGGCACCGCCATCTCCCCGGTCGTCACCTGGGTTCGTTTCTCGCCTCTCTACCCCCAATCCGCTTTATTATAGCCTCTTGTTATTTGTTATAAGTCATTTGTTTTTAAATTCGTTGAACCTAATATTGTTGTACAGGACAGTAAGATCACCACCGTGCTGGCCATGACCGGTGGCATCGCGCCCGTTATCAGCAAGATCCTGAAGAAGGAGGGCAAGTACGTTTCACTCGTTTCATTCATCCAGCGCCATTGATCAAACAGTTGACGATGTGCTTGTCACTCCAGCTACCAGCGGTTCTACGATGTGGTGGACCGGGAGTGGAGCCGCGTGTTCCCTTCCCTTGCGGGCGAGTCTCTGGCCTTCGCCCTGCCCCGTGCCACCATCCCCACCGCGCCCCTGGGCGATTTCTCCCACTGCCAGACGCCCAAATATTCTCCTAAATGAGAATGGATTTCTTGGCCTGCTGCCCACTTGGTCAATTCCATCCTTCAGAGCATGAGAATGTTGAGAATTGGGATTTGTTATGCTGTGCTTCCTATTCAAACTAGATCATTGCCTCTTTTGAGGTCAAGGACCCCTTCTGAGCTGCCAGATAACATGTCTGCCTCAATCAAATATTGCGAAATGACATCTTCATAAGGAGCGAGGCGCCAAAAAAACGAAATAAAAAGGGCTGATCAGCGACAGGACGCTTTATTTGGCTCTGGTGTCGCTTTCATTGCGTGAAGGGGTGATGGCGCGTTCGATGAGGAAGAAGCAGATGGCGGTGGAGATGAGGAGGACGCCCAGGCCGTGGAAGAGCTGGCGAGGCCCGAGCGCCTGGTAGGCCCAGCCGCCCACCAGACCGCCCACGAAGCCGCTCAGGCTGCCGAACACGCCCGAGCCCACCACCTGCGCCGTGGCGCCCAGCGACGGCGACGCGATCGACGCCGCCAGCGCGTTCACATGATTGAGCCCCGCCGGCCACGCCAATCTAATAGCCCAACATTCCACATGGTTGTGAGCCACATTCCACACCTATGTGCCACATACTCGTGTCGTGTTTCTTGTCGTGTGTCATTTCGTACCCAAAGGCGAGGCCACCCAGGAGCTGCAGCGGGAGGACGAGGGCGGTGGTGTTGTCGGGGGAGAGGAAGGTGGTGCCGAGCATGCGGAGGCCGTAGAGTACCATCGAGGCGACAATCACCGCGCGCGATCCGTAGCGGCTCAGCATGTGGCCGCTCCAGAACATGACCGGGATCTCGGCCAGGGTCTGCGCGATGGTCGCCACACCCATCAGCGACTCAGTGGCCCCCAGGTCCCTCAGGAACAGAAACAGGAAGCCGCTCGCCACGCTGTGGCTCAGCCCGAACACGAAGATCGCCGCCAAGAAGCACTGGAAGCTGTGTTTTTTGTGCAGAGCCACGTCAGCAAAGAAAATTAAGTAAATAAAAAAGATGAAAGAAAGCCACGTCAGCGTGACCAGGACAAGGCCGGTCTCTGGTGCGTACCGGAAGGAGGTGAGGAGGGTGAGGATCTGGGCGTACTGGACCTGCGGCCGGCCGGTGGGGAAGCGCATGTTGGAGTAGTGGAAGATGGAGGCCAGGCCCACCATCGCCGCGGCGAACACCCACAGCGACCACACCCACTCGTGGAACGTGAGCCACCACCCCATCAGTCCCGAAGCCACTGTTGTATCGTGTTTTGCATGTCGTGTCGTTGGTCGTGTCGTGTCGTTGGTCGTGTCGTGTCGTGTCGCGTGTGGTGCGCGCGTCAGTGTACGATGATGTGGGGTCGAATTGGGCAGCCAGAGGGGTACCTCCGAATCCGATGGAGCCCCACATGCGGTGCCTGCCGTACTCGTGCTTCTTGTTGGCCGCTCCGAGATCCTCCATCACCGCATCGTCGACCTGTCGCGCCCCGGTTAAATGTCAGTACGGTCGTGTGCGGTGGTGCGTGTGCGGTGGTGCGTGTGCGGTGAGCGAACCAACGGCACGATCGGCGACCACACAATGTTCTGTGTTTCACAAGCAAGAGTCAGCGCCCAAACGCGCAAAAGACAATAATTAAATAATTATAAATGATAAATAAAAAATAAAAGACAACAACAAAAAAAAAGAAACACAAAAAACCAAAATGAAATGGGGTGGCAGGAAGGTACAAGGAGAAGGACGAGGAAGCAGAGGGGGAGGGGAGACGCGGGGAGGAGGGGGAGGAGGGGCGCCAGGGAGGCGGCCAGGAGGCACGCGCCACGTAGGAGGTCCCGATGGCGACGCGTGCGGTCGGCGGTGACCGACGCCACGGCCGACGACACGAACGAGGCCAGAGCGCAGGCCGACGCCAGCCGGCCCAGGTGCGATGCGGTGAGGCCGCGCTCCTTCTCCAGCTGAACAGCGAGAAAGGGCTGCATGGCCCCAAATGCGCCATAGACCGCCCCATACATCAAACCGGGCGGGGGCGCACCACCCCCATCGCTGGTGCGAGTGCCAGGGGTGGATGGCTTATCGAGTGTGGCCATCATGTCGTTCTTTACGGTTGTTGTGGTGTTGGTTTGGTTTTATTTAATGTTGGTGCTGGGCGTGGAAATGATGAGTTCGAGGAAATTTCGGGAGGAAGAATGTGTGGAATGTTGTAGAGGGAAACAAAGTGTTAAGTTTACATTCAAACGCAAACACGTGGAGAGGAATGTGCACACATGAACGCTCACATGCTTTTGTGTTGCTGCTACGACTCGATGCAGTGGGCGTTGTTGTAAAAGTTGAGCATCACGACCTGCCGCGGCACGCCCACCACCAGGAAGTTGCCCTCGAAGTCGAACGACATCGGCGACGTGGCCTCAGTGCACTCCTGCACGCCGCCCAAGCAAATCATGAGCATCAGCACTCCACTTAACGACCCCAGAACAACGATCAGTGCTGCAGTTGGTGCCTTGGAGAAGTCCAGACTGTTCCAGAACTCGAAGGTGCGCGCATTCCACACGTGCAACATTTGGTGGCTGCAGAAAATGTTAGTGACCGATGACGATGAAGAAGAAGGTGATGATGATGAAGGTGAGTACCGGAAGGGGTTCCTGTCGCGGGCGTTCTGCCAAAAGTAGTGGTTGGGCGGACTGTGCACGGCGGAGAAGATCAGCTTCTGGCTGTCGAACTGCAGCGATGACACGAACGAGATCGAGTGGCCCTCGAGCTGGAACATGGGCGTCGACCTCTGCCGCAGATCCCACACCCTCACCGTGCCTGATCGCATTCGAGCCTTCATTAGGCGCTTTCACTTCTTGGAATGAAGGGAATGAAATGATATTGGAATGCGGGCTGCAACGCACCGTCGCCTGATCCGGTGGCCAACATCTCGTCACGTCGCTGCATGCACGTCACCTTGTCCGTGTGCCCACTTAGCACACTCGTCGGCGCGCTGGCTTGCCGGCGCACGTCGTAGATCGCGACCGGACCAGACGCTGACAGGCCACGTCAGCACCACTCTTCCACCGCCAAAAGTGCATCTACAACAACATGACAGCTTACCGTCGCCCAGAATGATGTCGTTGTAGCAAAAGTCCAGGCCGTGGCATGGCTCGATACGGGGAACTGGTGCAGCATCCGGTCGTTGGCCCAGTCCCACACCTCCACGACTCCGGGCTCTTGCAGGGGCGCTACAAGACATGGACACACACGCACACACGCACGCACGCAACGCCACACGGCCACGCGCACGGTTGAGTTGGCGGAAGGCGGGTCCGAGCGAGGTTGTATGGCGTACCGATGGCCATGCGCCCGTCGCCGTGGGCCGAGGAGAAGCGGGCGAGGAGGGGCGAGGCGATGGCGTGAGGCCGGAGGATGACGGTCTTCTTCTTCTTGTACGACTTCATCTCGATCACTCGCACGATTCCTGCTCCCGCCACAGCGTTGATGAGGTGTGCGTGCCGCGGGAGTGGTGTCTTTGTGGGCGAGTGCGGTCTCGCCGGAGTGTTCGTACCATTGTCGAGCTCCCAGTTGGGCGCGATGGCCAGGTAGTCGTCCTTGCGGTGGAGCGATGACGTCATTCGATCCACCACCAGCACGAAACACGACGCCTTCACCTGAGCATTCGTCCCACGCCCACATTAGCCAGAACACCGCACACGCACACGCACACGCACACGCACACGCACACGCACACGAGACAACCACACGAGACACACAGCGGCGATACCTTGGTCATCTTGGCGGGTTCGAGGATGGGCGGCCGATTGACGGCGAGGGAGGTGATGAAGGTGGCGTTGTGGTGGGTCTCCACGTTGGTCACCTTCTTCGAGAGCCGCTGGATGTTCTTGGCCTTCCACCCGCGGTGCTCGTACTCGAGCCTCGCCCGGTACTCCTCCCTCCAATCGCGCTCGGCCTTCTCCGCCGCCGCCGCCTTCGCTTCGCTCTTTCTCTCAGTCATTCGCACCACCTCGACCTCTACCTGAACGTCTTCGTTCTTTTTGGTGCCGTAAAGGTGGTGGTGACGTCGACCAGGTCCAACGCCTTCGTCTTCGCTGCCGCTCTCGCGGTCGACGTCGGATGATGAAGACGGGCTGCTGACGTCATCACCAGCCAGCGGGCCTCCTCGCATTCCTTCTCCGATCTCCTTCCCTCGCTCTTCCACATCGTCCCCCAGCCCCTCGGAGTTATCTTCCACCGAATTCTCCGCCGACGTCGATTGGTCCCGGCTATTCCCAGCACTCGCCGATTGGACGCCGCTGCCCGAGGCTGACGCGTCCGATTGGAGGTCGGTGGTAGACGAAGCTCCCCAGGCCCGCTCGTAGTTGAGCTTCCACAGTCGCGGGTCCGACACCAGGCCGGCCATTCTGTGGCACGTCGACGCCAGCCGGCCCAAGTCCTGGTGCTCCAGCCGCCCGGCCACGAGCCACACCAGCTCAGGCGGCAGCTCCTCGAAGAAGTCCACCTTCTCCGCCTCCTCTACATTCTGTCCCTCTGTAATCACGTCATCTTCGACCTCGCTCTCGCTACCACCGCTCTCCAGGTCGCGCTCGTCTTCATCTTTTTCATCTTCTTCATCGTCGTCGGCGTCGTACTCGATGGTCATGCGGCGGGGCAGCTGCTGGTCATCGTCGGTGATGGAGTCGTTGTTGGTCTTCTTCTTGTTGTCGTTGTTGTCGACACGAGTGGTGGTGTCGGTCTCGTCCGCGGAGCGATGTCTGCGGAGGTTGCCCTGGGCCTTGGCCTGATCGGCCTGGGCCGCAGCCGAGCTGTGTCGGTCCTCGGTGGCGTGCGCGTAGGGACACGACCCGCCCCGCGCGCAGCAGCCCTTCAGGAAATACACGCACCCGGTGCGCACGACCTTGGTTTCCACCTTCGTCTTCTTTTCTTCTCGTTCCTTATCGTCTTCGTTCTTTTTCGCTTTCGCTTTTGCTTTCTTTTGTGTCATCTCCTCGCGCTTCGCGGTGCGCTCGAAGGTCTTCTTCGTCTCGTCTGCCTGACAGCTTCCGCGACGCAGGGGGCGCGGTGTCGACTGGCCATCGCTCGAATGCGCTCGCGCACTGGCTCCCGCTGCTCCGCTCACGCCCACTCTCTCTGACACAAACTGCAGCACCGCCCGCGCGCTCATGCTCTCGTCTCTTTCGTTCTTCTTTCCTGCTTATCCTCGTTCTTTTCTGGGCTAGAGGTGGTGCCCTTTCTTCGTTCTTTTCTGGCCGTAGAGGTATGTTGAAGTAGTAATACTAGCAGGGCCGGCTATGAAATGAAAGAGGTTTCTTCTGTGGGTGGATGGCGAGATGTCATCCCCTTCAGGTTGGGCACGGTGGATAGATCACGCTGTGGTCGGACCCGCTCTTTTCCCGTGCGGGTGGCGGGCATTGGCGACTGGGCCGGAGTCGAAGCGCGCAGCCCCGCGCGGCACCAAGCCGAAACTGGGCGGGATCTATTTGACCGCAGCCGTGAAGTGCTCGTGGCCTCCAACTCATTTCCACAGACCACCTCGACCTGTTCCACCAGCAGGCTCTCAATTCTTGCCGACAGCCACCTTAACTGCCCCATAGAATGATCAATGAAAAACCGTCAAAAATCCGCCGACGCGAACAGGAAAATGCCAGGTCGCGTCCGTCGCTTGTTTGTGGTGCCAACCACAACACGTTGGCGAGAATAACCCGCAAAAGAAGAGACGGCGGAGACGGCGCTGACGAGATGGAAGGCAAAGAGAACAAGAAGGAGCCCACGCCCAACGGCGATTTGTCGGCCGCTCAACCTTCCGCCAAACGTACGTGTACAATCCGTGAAAAATCAATTTAGACATTCAACTCTCATGCTGTCATCTTTGTCGCTGGGGTGCAAACTGCACAATGACCACCTCTCGAAATCACCAACCAATCGATCGATCTCTGGTGTTTAATTAATGAATGAATGAAAAAACCAGGAAAACGATCGATCGAGGCAGACGCTCCCCAACACACCGCGTTCGCCTCTTCTCCTCCTTCGCCGATGCCGCAAGACGAGGAGGAGAACGATGACGGGTCGACGTCGCGGGAAGGCAGCAGCAACGGCAACGGAAACGAAAACGGAAACGACGAGGAAGAGGGCCACAACGCGAGGAGCAAGAAGGTGGCGCGGCTAGAGGCCCGCGTAGCCGAGCTCGAGGAGGAGAACGCCCTCTACCGCTGCATTCTCGAAACCCAGGAGGTCCTGGTCGTCGGTACTCACTACTTCTTTCTTCGTTTATACCCTTTTCGTGATATTATTGATTTTTTACTTGGTGTGAATGCGAACAAGAGAAAATGTTCACTTGTTGCGCGCATGTTCTGAACATGCTTTAATGGTTGCTTGCCATTGGACCGAAACTGGCGCTTTCCATTGGCCTATTGTTGACTCACCACTTATATGTGTGCGTGTGTCGATCAGTTCTGAACACGAGCGGCCGCATCGTGCGGTTCAATCGGGCGTGCCAGGCGGCGACGGGCTACTGCGCAGAGGAGGCCGAGGGCGCCGACCTCTTCGACCTCCTCATCCCGCCCGACCAGACCTCCGACGTGCGCCGCGTCTTCGACGCCCTTCACTCCGAAGACGACCACGAACGTACGCCCATCTCTGAGGCAGCCGACAGAAGTAGAAAAAAGTAAACACACTAACTTGCGTGTGCGGTGCGTGTGCCGTGCGCGCCGTGTGGTGCGTGTGCGGTGATGTGTTGCAGGATTCGTGATGCCTGGACAGCAGTGGAAGAACTTCTGGCGCACGAAGGACGGACGCCTCATACTGACGCGGTGGCGCAACGACTCCGTGCCCGACCCCCGCACGGGCAAAACCAAATACGTACGCGCGCAAGCTTCCCTCTCACCTTCATCCTCCATCCTTTCTTTATATCAACCAACTCACGCGACGTGTCAGGTGGTGGCCACCGGGGTGGTGATCGACGCGGCGCCCACGGCCAAGGACGAGTTCCTGCTACGCCGTGTCGTCCACACGCCCAGCCAGTCTCCAGCCCTCTAACCCCCACCTTCGTTCCCTTCTTCTCTTCTCTTATTTTCTTCTACTTCGAAGCTTGCCCACGTGTTGTGTAGTGCTCAGCAAGGTGATGATGATGTAGCAATAATAAGCGCTTTATTACCGCTCTGTTGTTGTTGTGCTGGTTCTCGAGTAGGTGTGTGTAGAGACAAAAGTGTACAGGTTGTCCTCCTCCGGCAACACGACCACGCCGATGCGAGACGATGTTGAAGAAGAGAGAGGACCGAGGTGATGGTGATCACGACGTTGCGTGGATTCACGACTCGAGAGAGCAGCCGCAGAGCGGGCACTTGGTGGAGGCCGTGCTGAGCCACTGGACGATGCACTCGGCGTGGAAGCAGTGCTGGCAGCGGGGCAGCTCCTTGACACCCTCGCCCACCTCGAACGAGCACATGCAGATCGCGCAGCGCTCGCCGTCGCCCTCGACCAGGGCCGAGCCAGGCTCCACCGTGCGCGACGGGAACGAGTCGATGAGGTTGGTCGACAGGGTCTTGGGCTTGACCGTCGAGTCGAGCATGAGCAGCAGCTCGTAGTCCTCCGGCGTAAGCTCGCGGTTGAGCAGGTCGTTGAGCTGCTGGGCCGACAGACCACACTGGACCACGCTGCCCCGGTCGATCGCCGACGTCACCTCGCGCTCGTACGACGGCACTCGACCGTTGTTGGTCGAAGACGAGGAAGATGAGCGCGTAGTGGTGCGAGTAGCGGACTTGGAAGATAGAAGAAGAAGTAGAAGGAATGACGACGTCCTGGCGGATGGCCTGGTAGTCGATGGTGCGGTACTCGAGGCCGCGGGTGGCGTTGGCCTTGTAGGCGCACACCTGCTCGAACACGAGGCCGACGCGCTCGCACCGCCTCCGCTCATCGCGGGCGTTGACCCACCGGCCGGGCCGCACGCGCGGCTTCTTGTGGCTGCGCGAGTGGCGTCGCACGACGTGGCCCCCGAGCTTCGAAGACACGACCCGGCGCTCCCAGTGCTCGCCCTCGTTCTCCAGGGCCACGTCGTCGTCGGTCTCGACCATGTCAAAGTCGAGGCCGGCGTAGTGGTCCAGGTCGGGCAGGTTGTAGTGGTTGACGTAGTCCTCGGCCTCTACGTCGTCGAAGAGATCGAGGTAGGCCTCGACTTCGTCCTGGTCGTCGAAGCAGTGGAGATCGTCGCTGAAGAGGTCCAGGCTCGTGTCGTCTTCATCTTCGTCTTCGTGTAGCGAGTCAATGAGTAGACCTTCTTCGCCGCTCTCCTCTTCCTCGCGAGCTGCCTGCTCTTCCTCCTCGGTCATCTTCTCCTTGCCCTTGTCCTTCTTCTTCATCTTCTCCACGTTCAGCTCGAGAAGAACAGCCTCGTCTTCGTAGACGTCGTAGGTGGTGGTGGTGGTTGGTCGCAGCTGGAACCGCTCCTCGAAGGTCTGGTACTGGGCGAAGAAGAGCGAAAGCAGGTCGACCTGGTTGATGTCGTTCATCTTCTGGAACTTCTTCTTCCCCTTCTTCTTCGGCTTCTCGACGTCGCTGGTCGAGGACATGGAAGGAAGTACAACGGTGGCAATGGCGGTCATTTTTGTTCGGGTTTCGTGTAGAGAGTAGTGGTTTTGATTCGATTTTGATTCGAGGGAAAATAGAGATGGAGAGTAGAAGAGAAGTGGCTGGAGGTGTAGTAGCTCGGGAGAAACCCTCTTCCCTCGCTCTCTTTCTTGTGTGGGCCTCTTGTGGTGGAACAACAAACAAAAAGACCAACAGACACAGAACGTGAAATTTATCGCTGCATTCTGCGATGCATTTTTCGCGCGCCGGAAACTGTTCCCTCTTTTTTCATCGATTGATTCCGTTTTCTTTCTACTTTTCATTTCGCTGAACTATTTTTTGGTCCAAATTCGTGGTTATATCCTAGTGTCGGTTGGCTCACCGTATTTTTGTATATTGTAAAACGAATAATTTAATAAGAAATAAATATTTACTTATTGCGCTGGGTGCGAGGACGCAACCGCGAGACGCATGAACGCGTGCTTGCGGGGCTGTCGGCGGGCAATCTTGCGCCAGTCCTCGTACGCGTAGCGCAGCGGGTCGTCGCTATGAATTCCAACCAGGTCGCCCTCGGCGTCCCGGTAGCTGACCCGCACCCCGAGGCCTCTGGCGCCCTCCTCCATCAGTAGGGCCAGCAGGAGCGGCCCGTGGAGCCGGTGGATCTCCTCCATCAGAACGGCGTAGACCAGAGGCCGCCGGGCGTCGAGCCGCAGCAGCGACATGTCGTAGTAGGTCGACTCGGCCCCAGGGCTGCGCCGCTTCCCCGACCGCTCGTCAACCTCTGGGAACTCGCTGTCGCTTGACGATGACGACGAGTCGTAATGGCGGTCGCTGGTGTCGACGAGGGCCGAGAGCTGGAGGCAGCACTTGATCACAACCACGCCGTGCTGGTCGGCGTAGGCAGGGTCGGGGTCGTTCGGAACTGCTTGCCGGTCGAGGTCGCGGGCGCAGGCAGCTGTCGAGCCTTGTTGGCTGTTCTTACCGCTCGCGATGTGGCCAGCAGAGTAGCGGGCGGCCTAGTCTCCTCCGAAGTATGAGACGACGACAAGGGCGGTGACGGGGTGGTCGTTGGGGTGATCCACTTGCGAAGGTGGTCTGGGACAGGGCCGTAACCAGCTCCTCGGCGATGCCGGCGTTCGGCTGGTCGTGGTCCTAGGCTGCTGTGGCGGCCTTGCGTCGGGTCGCGCTCGCGCTCGGCTGCTGAACGCCGCTGGGCGGTGCCGGCCCGACCGCGAAGAAGTCGGGCGAGTCGGGCATCGACGACAGTGACGACGAGCGCTTCCGCCCGATTGGCGCGCCCTGACCGCGGACGAACAACTCTGGTCTATAACCCCCCCCCAATGTGTTGGGCCATAGACTTACGTGGCCTATTCCCCTCCCCCCTTCCCAATTTTCTTTAGGCAAGCGTGGTCCAACTGGCGGTGGCCGGGAGACCTGCACCAGCGCCCACCGTCCTGGCGCACCTACTTTCGAGAGCGGTCCCAGCGTATCCACCCCCACCAGATGTGTGTCGTGTGTCGTGTGTCGTGTGTCGTGTGTCGTGTGTCGTGTGTCGTGTGTCGTGTGTCGTGTGTCGTGTGTCGTGTGTCGTGTGTCGTGTGTCGTGTGTCGTGTGTCGGTGTTGTGCCAGTGGTGCGCGCATCACAATCTGATGGGAGTGGAGAGTGCACAGTTATGCCGTACCGGGTCTTCTACGGGTTTGGCACCTCGCCGGGGCGTTATGAGCCGAACGTGGTCCTGACGCTTACGGAGTACACCACCATCGAAGCGCTGGATGAGGCCCTCCTCGCGAGCCAACGGGCCCTGACCCGGTTGCTGTCCCACTTCTCCCTCATCTGGCGCACCCCTTCCTTCGAAGCGCTCCCCAGGACCGCACTCGTCCGTCAGATCGCGCGACTCGGGAGGTACGTGCGCGTACGTGTGTGCGTGCGTGTGCGGTGGTGCGTGTCGTGTGTCGTGTGTGGCGTGTCGTGTGCCGTGTGTGGCGTGTGTGGTGCACGTAAAAATGAGTGTTGTGCCTTTGTGGGGGGCAGCTGTGAGAGCAGAGAGATAAGGGCGCAGCTACTAGACCTGGCCATCGACCACAGCATCCTCGATCAGTACCCGATGGACGTCCTCCAGTGCTACTGCGTGAGCCAGGGGATCGCCCCCGAACTCGGCTGGGGCGCGACCAAGGCCGAAGTCATCCTCGCCATTCTTCACCACAACCACAATCACAATTAGCTGGTATTGTTGTATTAATGGAACCACACGACACGACACGACACGACACGACACACACACACGACGCACACACGCACGACACACACACCACCGACTGAGGGGAAAGAGCAGTGGTGCCCTAAGTCGGAGAAGGCGATGGGCACCGAAGAAGGCGACGAGACCCACCACATTTTATTGGGCGTATTGCACCCGCGACCATGGAGAAGGTCACCAAGAAGGCGCAGGAGGTGCGCACGCTCTACATCTCGAGCGATGAGGGCATTCGTGAATACGTGCTTGAGTACTTAGGCGGTCGGCGAATCGAGTGACCAAACCCGGGGCTGACAGCGACATCATCCACGACAAGATCATCCACGACGCGCTCGGATCGCTGGGGGTGTTGCTGCCCGACGAATGACATTGAAGGTACATCTTACTCGACGTTTTGCTTCTTGTACTTATGTGAAGGCCACCAAGAATGTGAAGGCTAGAATGTGAAAGCCAAGAACAAAAAGGCCGCCAATGAAAAAAGAATTAAGGCTGTCAAGAATGTGCAGCTGACGGCAAGGCCAACAAGGCTGCGAAGACGAACCTTAAGTGCAGGGCCAACAATATGGTGAGCGAGTTAGATATGGAGACCAAGATCATTGGGTTGCAGATGCAGAGGCCAAGGGCAGCCGTGATGGAGCAAAGGTGGTGGTGCAAGAAAAAGTGGCATTGCGCTGAGTAAACAAAGGGCCTGCAACCAGACTTTAAGATCTTGAGCTTGCGGACACATTTGGCTGTCACATATGTCAACAGAGAGCCACGTGAACTCTCAGCCTCGCTGCCATTGGGGACAAGGACGTCGCCTTTTCTCTTCAACATCGCTTTTCACTCCACTTGTGGCGCTCTTGAGAGGATTGGTTGAGCTGGTTGGGCGGGCGCCCCCATAAAACTGGTGGCGAAGCCAGTTTCAATTCAAGCACCCCACTCAACCTACCATCAACCCCTCTCACAATGTCTCTCGACTACACTGGTTTCAAGCTTGGCGAGAAGAAGATCCTCAAGGATAAGGAGCAGTTCTTTGACGCGGCCCAAGTACGTTCCTCGCCCCTCCTCCTCCACACACACACACACAACATCTGTACCTCACCACAACGGGCTCGCTTTATCACTTGCAGAAGCAAATCAAGGACAAGCTGGGCGCCGACTGGCAGCTAGTCGTCGACTGGCCTACCATCGAGAAGCTCACCGGCGACACCGGCACCAACGAGCGCGCCAAGAACGAGCGCAAGTACCTTGGCGGGTGCGTCTACCAAAACTACTGCCGCTCACTTGGCGAAGAGATCTCCAAGTGGGGTGCTGAAATCGTTGAGGCCGTCAACGACGCCATCACCGACAAGAAGATCATCGTCACCATGGACCCGGTCCACGTGGACGCACGTTACAGCGTGAAGGTGGGCAAGAGCATCGAGGTCCTCATCCAACAGGAGAAGATCTGTTACGAGTATGCGGCCTCGGACCCGAACAGCGTTACCGCCACCGTCGAGAAGTCCCTCTAGTGGCTCGCACCCCCCCCCCGCTCCGCTTCGGAAACTCTTGTTCGGCAAATAACTTTTTCGCCACCCAAGCAATTTTTCGCCCGCGCATGAAAGAGTTATTTTGTGCCACTTCTTGGCGCTTTCGAGGGAATGGGAAGGCTGTGATGTGGTGTGCTCCTGCTGCTCCTCTTCCCAATCACGCTTCAGTATCAGGAGAGTCCAATAGATCAAGCATGGGGCGTATCGTCGTCGTTGTCACTCGGGTGCCGACGTGAACACGCTGCAGTTGCCGCAGTGGGATAATTTGGGTGGCCGACACGCCGTTCCGCTCGGCTTGGCCGACGAACGTCGCGCTTTATCAACTCCGAATCGGCCGCTCGGACGGAGTGCACCATCAGCCGATGCAGCTTCTTGGACGTTGAGCACGAGCGGCGATGTGTCTTCTTCCTCTTCCATCGTGTTGTCGTCGCCGCCACCTTCGTCGTCGTCCCCTTCGATTGGATGCCGATTTGCCCACCAGAGCCGATTCGATCTGGGCGTGGTTGGCCGAGGCCCAGTGGGAAGAAGGTCTTGAAGGCCATCAAGTTCAACTCCAAGACCGGCGACGAGGACGCCGACTTTGCGTCGCTCGATCCCGTCAACAAGGTCGTGCTCCACCTCGGTCGCGCCCGATCCCGGCTCGCCACCGATGCCAACGCCACAGCGGAACAGATCGCGCGCTATCGCAAGCTTAAGGCGGGCTCGGGGTTGTCGGCCGCGGTCACCTGGGCACCTTCATGTTCGGCGGAAGATTCGGCGGAAGATTCGGCTGCAAAGTCCACGGCCGATTGGGCGCGCAGGCGCGTGGCCAGTTCGACCCGCCGCAGAGAGATGGACTCCTCCGATGCCGTGAACGGCTTGATCGCACACGGCAGCCCCACCACCGTCAGCTCCACGGCTCCTTCCGTCTACCGCCGCCGGCGTTGCGGTTGTGAAGCTTCACGGCGGCGGCCTTGGACTGGAGCTCCTCCTGCTGGCGCTGGAGGTTGAGGAAGGCGAGCCATTGCCGCCGCTTGTCGACCACCGACAGCACACCCAGCTGGTCGCACAGCCGGCCGAGGGCCTCCGACTCTCCGTTGACGGCGGCCGTGTGGGCCGTGTGCGCCGCGGCCAAGCCGCTCTCCTGGCCCGAAGATGAAGCTCCGGGAGCGCAGCAGCCCAAAGTTGGGCGACGACGCAGAGGCCCTGAGCTGCGGCTGCTCGATCGAGGAAGAAGAAGATGAAGTGGGGGAGGAGGGTGCGGAATAGATGAGGGGGCTTGAAGAAGGGGGTCGTGGCGGCGTTGAGGAGGTGGGTGCCCTTGAGCTTGGCCTTCTTGGCGGCCGGCGGGTAGGCGTTGAGGCCCTGCTGCTCGAGGAGTCGTACCACCTCCTTCGTGTTCCAGTCCCTGGGCTGCCGCGCCGGCTGGGCAGCGCAGGCCTGGCTCGCCACCGGAGTGAAGAGCTCATTCCTCGAATTCCTTCCGAGCGGGTGGGTTTGGGCTATGGTCTAGAGGTTCTTGAGTTCGATGGTTGAGTGTGGGCCAACACTGTGCGGGTGGTGATGTTCGTAGCTCGGGTGTGCCGAAAGGCCGGCAGACCAACTCACCTCACAACTAGGTCGAGAAATAGAGTGACAGTGCACGACTACGTTTTTGGATTCCGACCACGTGACTGGCCGCGAACTCGGTCGCCTTGCGTGTAACCGGACCACCTCCAGGTACCCGAAACTGATTTCTCTGGGTTCCCCCGGGTGTGCTCCTCCTGGGAGCCCTCCATTGCAGTTGATTGGCTAGATTGGGGGACACATACAATTACATGGTAACCGCCTCAGGCACCGAGCGATTTTGCTGGCGATGCACACCAACGCACATACTCCTTGCAGACTGTGTGTGTTGTGTGTGTGTGATGTTGGTGCAATAGCGCGTTTTCTCGCCAATGACGGCCCACGCCTTGATCGGCACAAAACAACGTTGCCACACCCGCAGCAAGACATGCACACAAGCCGTGGTTGTGGTAAACAAAAAACGTGCAATACGGCTGCGGTATGTCGGCAGAACCCATCTTTTCTTCTCAAGCCAGCATCTGGATGAAGGAGAGCTTGTTGTCGCTGTACGGCGGGTACCTGGACAGAAAAGTAAGGTACAAAGAGTCACGGCCCGAGGCACTGAATGGTCCCGCCATGGGTGGCGAGCAGGTACCTGACCGAGAGGTCGAACTTGGTCGTCTTGTTGAGTACGCTCTTGTGGTGCGAGAAGACGTCGAACGACGCCTGGCCGTGGTAGGCTGCAGGTGAAGGAGGTGGGTTGAGTCGTTGTTGCCCGGGGACGGCGAAACGAGTCCCCGCCCCCAAAAAAAAAAAAAAAAGCTCAGTTGTTGTCCGGACGTACCGCCAATGCCGCTGTCGCCCACGCCACCGAACGGGAGGGAGTGGACGGTGAAGTGCATGATGGTGTCGTTCACCATGGCCCCGCCGGAGATGGTCTTCCTGTTCAGTTTGGTCGTTGGTCGTTGGTCGAGGAAAGCGACTAGATTTGAGCGACACACACAGCAGAGAGGCGGTGGATGGTCGTACTTGAGTACAAGGTCCACGTTGGCGCTATTCTTGGAGAAGAGGTAAAGCGCCAACGGATGCGGTCTGACGTAGCACAACACACACACACACACACACACACACACACGATCAGCGTTCGACCCAATGGATCAGTGTGCAGTGCGGAGGGAAGCGTCGTACCTCTTGTTGATGAAGCGCACGGCCTCGTCCAGGGACTTGATGGTGAAGATGGGCAAAATAGGACCGAAGATCTCGTCCGACATCAGCTTCACGTCGAGAGGACCTCCCCTGCCTACGACGACAGAAGAGGTGGTCAGCCAACAAATGAGAGGAGCTGGCGTATAGAGATGTAAACAGACCCTTCTTGATCCAGTTGCCTTCGCAGAGTACGAGTGTGGGAGCGACGTAGCGTTCGCTCTCCTCGACCTCGCCGCCCTTGTCGTTGAGGATCGTGACGTCGTCGCGGCCGCGCACCTCGTCGAGGTAGCTCGACAGGCGCTTCACGTGGTTGGTCGAGATGATGCGAGCAAAGTCCTTGCTCTCCTTCGGGTCCTCGCCGTAGAACTCCCTCGTCACCTCCTTCAACTTCTCCACGAACTCCTCCTTCACATCCTCGTGCACCTGTGCTCGCCCAAACGCGTGTGTGCGTGTGCGGTGGTGCGTGTGTGCGTGTGCGACGATGAGTGCGTGTGTGTGCGACCACCGGCGGGGGACTCGTACGAGCAGGTAGTCGGGGGCGATGCAGGTCTGTCCCGCATTCCAGAACTTGCCCCACACGACCCTGCGCACGGCCGGGTCGATGTCCACCTTGCTGTCGATGATGCACGGGCTCTTGCCACCTGTACGCACAAGGGTGTGTGTGTGTGTGTGTGGATGAGAGTTGGTTCGCCGAGGCCCCAACGCCGCTGGTGCGCGTACCGAGCTCGAGGGTCACGGGAGTGAGGTGCTCCGCGGCGGCGCGCATCACCACCTTGCCCACTGTACGCGGTCGAAACGAAACGAACACAAACACGAAACCATTACAAAACGACAAACGAAATAAAACAACGGATGAGGGGCAAACCCGAAGTGCTGCCCGTGTAGAAGATGTGATCGAACTTGTGGCGCAGGATGGCCGTCGTCTCCGCCACGGCGCCCTCGATCACGCGCACGGCCTCGGGGTCCAGGTACTTGGGGACGAGCTCGGCCAGCAGGTGGGACGAGTGCTTGGAGAGCTCAGACGGCTTGAGCAGCGCCGCGTTACCCGCCGCCAGCGCGCCCTGACATGAGTCCATCGCCGCATCATCTCAAGTCAGAACCCAACCAATGAGCGCATGTCGTTGGCCGTGTCGCATTGTGCATTTGAAGCTGTCGCCAACTCTCAAACATACCACGAGAGGCGCCAGGCACAGGTTGATGGGGTAGTTCCACGGCGCGATTATGAGAACCACACCTGCAGCCCGACACGACACGACACGACACGACACACACAACACACACGACACACACGACCGACACACACAACACACAACACACACGTTGGTGAGCGCCGGACTCCAAGTTTTTCTCTCCCGCTGCGAAGCAAGTGTACCGAGTGGCTGCTTGTGGATCTCTGAGTGGGAGAGGCCCTTCATCTGCGCCAGCGGCGTCGACACCCTCTGCGGGTGTGCCCAGGTCTTCAGATTGCGCAGGGCGAGATCGATTTCGGCGACGGTGGTGGAGATCTCAGAGAGCACGCTCTCCATGCGGCACCGGCCCAGGTCTTGGGCGAGAGCCTCCAGGATCTGCTCCTCGTTTTCCACGAACAGGTCTCTCAACGCCTTCAGCTGGTCTGTGTTCAATTGTGAATTGTCGTGTGCGTGCGTGTGCGTGTGCGTGCGCGTGTGCGTGTGCGTGTGCGTGTGCGTCGTGGTCAGCTTTGTGAACACAAGGGAGGACAGCAACTGTAACAGTTGTACCTTTGCGCCAGTCGAGGGATTGGGTCTTGCCCTTGTTGAAGGTGCGCCTGAGCGCGCCAACAACGCGGCTGATGTCTGGGAACTCCTCGTCCTGGCCAACGTTCACAACAAATAAGTATTTAAAGAAGAATGAAAACAAATAATGATTGATTTGAGGGAGAGGACTACCACAAAGTCATCTTCGTCCTCGTCTTCGTCTTCTGCGAGAGCTTCATCTTCATCTTCAATCTTCTCCTTGGCTTTTTCGTCCTTGTCCTCGGCCGATCGCGGCGTTGATGCGGCAGAACTACTCTTCGAGCCACTCGCCGATTTCTTCTTCTTCGCCTTCTTCTTGTTTTTCTTCTTCTCCTTCTTGCTTTCAGGGATCTCAGCCTCTCCCGCCGCATCTGCAGGCGAAGCCAGATCTACCGATTTTGTCTCAACGTGACCCGACTGCAGCACCTCCCCACCAGGGCTATGCTCCTTGTTCTCCTCTAGCGTTCTGTCGTCTCCTTCCATCTCTCACTACAAACTAATGCGCTACGTTTCAGATCTTCGTCTTTTCTTTGGCTCTGTTCAACTTTTTTGTTTCGGAAACAAAAATAAACCGGTGGGTTGGCGCTGGCCAATGTCTAGGCTGATCTGGTGGCGTTGGAGGGAGCAGGCTCGATGCGGCCAAAGAGGCCGTCCGCCTCGTCGTTGATGCCGGCGTTGAAGAAGAGGGTGTTGGTCGGTTGGTTCATTGCGCCGTTGCCGAACGCCATGCCCCACAGGCCCTCCGCCACGATCTCGCGGTTGTCGGTCGTCCGCAGCTGCCCGCGGCGCTGCCCTGTGGCCAAGTCGAATGCCCACATGCGGCCGTCGCCGAAGTTGCCCACCAGCAGGCTGCCGCCGAACTCGCCGAAGCTGAGCGGGGCCAGCACCATTCCCCACGGCGCGTCGAGCACGTCGCGCGAGGCGAAGCGACGGACCAGTCGGCCGCTCGGGTCAAACACGGAGATGAAGCCCAGACTAGTCCCGGTTTGCTCCTCGCCGGGCGTGGAGGCGTTCTGCTGAGCGTAGGCTACGAAGATGTCGCCCAGAATGTTGGCCACGTTGAAGGGCGAGAAGTCGGAGGGGATGTCGGGGTCCACGAAGCGGCCGGTCATGTTGATACGCCGGAACGCGCTATCGAACACCACCACCTCCCCTACAACAGCGACATAGTTGCCATGCAACATGGTTAATCCAATAGAATTGTAGTTTAAAATGGAAAAAGTCACGCACTGTTGGCAAAGTCGGCGGCGTAGAGGAAGCGCGCGGTGCCGTTGGCGGCGATGGCGAGGCCCTTGAACACGCTCGAGGGGCTGCTGGCCACACGCACGGCCGAGGTGAGGCTGCTCAGGGTGGCGCCCCACGCCCAAATGTTGCCCTGCTCCGTCGCCGTGATGAAGAGCGACGGTGTGCCCCCGGTCAGGTTCATCATCGACGACCCCGACGTCGACGTGGATGAGGCCGATGGGATGGTGAAGTCCGTGGCATATGGGTTGAAGACCAGGCCAGTGGGCGTGTCCGTGCCGACAGCGACCTTAAGCGACGAGACCGAGCCGCTGCCCGAGATGAGGGCCAGGGTGCTTGCGCCGTTGGCGGCGATCCAGGCCGGGGTGGTCGGGCCGAAGGCCAGGCCCCACGGGTTGACCAGGGTGGCGTCGAACGTGCTGGCCTGGATCAGGGACGAGTTCTGCTGCGGCAGGCCCGGGCGATTGCCCACGATGTCGCTGCGCACGTAGGCCGATGCCGCTAGGTGGACCGTCAGTACCAGTAGAAGTAGAGTGAGTGCCGGCTTGATCATGGTGTGTTGTCGATGGCTTGCTCGGTTGGGAGTGAGTGTGCTCTCTGGGGCTCACCGAGCACCTGAATTTAAATAGGCGGTTACATACAGCCCGTAGCTGTCTCTGTGCAGCCTTGGCCTGGCTGCAGCGGGCCGGTGGACCACAACCAAAGGCTATGTGCACGACAACTCACGCCAGGCTGTAAAAAGTTGAGCTGTTACAGCTCTCTACAACATTAAGAAAAGCTTTTGTTCATTTATTTTTATTGCATTTGTTAATTTATTTTTATTTAAAACGTTTTTTGTGGTGAAGAATGTTGAGTATTTACAGCCTGGTTCAGTAGTCGGTGATGGGAGTGGTTTGCGAGGAGAGAGGCAGCAGCGTGGGGATCTAGTAGATCGTCATCGAGCCGAGCGAGAGTGGGGCCACCGCCGCCAGGACAATGAAGAACATGAGGAGGAAGAAGAGGAAGAGGAGGGAGAAGAAGACCAGCATCAGCGACACTTCCACCTTTCGAGAGGGGTCGAGAAGTTGAACGACTGATGGTCGCAACCAACAGAAGATAGAGGAGGAAGAGAAGCAGAAGAGAGAGGACAACGATGATGGTGGTGAAGGTACCTTGACGGGATGAAGGAGGAAGAGAGAAGTGAACGAAAAGAGTAAATGGAAAATAGGTGAGTGACGACACACACACCCACACACACCCACACACACCCACACACCCACCCACCCACACACTCACACACAAATGAATTCAACAACAAATAACTAATACAATGGGCAACGTACTTGGTACAGGACGACTCGGCCGTCGGTGGTGCCCAGCGCGATCTGGGCGCCCTTGGCGGAGAGGCTCGTGATGGGCGTGACGACGTCACTGACCCGGACCTGCTCCCAGTGGAGCTTCTTCCCGTCGGCGCACGAGAGGAGGCCCAGGTAGCCCTCCGGCTGGGCGAAGGCCACCGCGCCGGCCTCCTCCAACAGCGCTATCTCGCACACGTCGTACTTCACCGGGACTTCCCAGACCTGTAGCGCGTGTCGTGTGTCGTGTCGTGTTGCGCCTTTCAGAACGAGTTGGTTGGTGTGGCAAACGATGAGCGAAGGGCTGAACCTTCTTGTGCGTGTTGAGATCAATTCGCACAATGTTGATAGTCTTGAATCGTGTCGTAACGTCCACGATCAGCCCCTCTCCCAGAGCATCTGCACGGCACGACACACACACGGTACAACACCACAACAGCTTACCGGTAAGCGCATCGATCGCCCGGAGGAGAGAGATGAGGCGCCCGGCGTACCTCGCACGTAGACGCCGTTGCGCAGTCGCTCCACGTTGGGACCGAACGCCGAGAGCGGGAACAGCTTGGTGTAGGTGTTCTTGACGGGGTTGAACTGGCACAGCATGATGGGCTGGCCCTCTTCCTTGGAACAGTAAAAGACTGAACCAACAAGGTTAGTTAGTTATTTAGTTATTTAGTTATTTAGTTCTTTATTAATCGTGAATAAAAATAAAAACAAATAACAAAGGAACACACGAGAATTGGGGATGTACATTCGTCAGTTTGCTTCTGGCAGAAATTGTAGAGGGTCACGCCGTGCAACAGCGGACTCATGATCGAGGTGGTCTAGATGAGAGGAATATCGAAAGAAGGAAGAAGAATGTGAGCAATGATGAAGATTCGGTGATGACGTGTAAGGAACAAAGCGTACGGTCATCTTGCCGTCGGGGGCGATGAGTCGGGCGTTCTCCGGAGGAAGCTCGCTGCATTCGACCAGCGTGTGCCCGGTGCGATTCATCCGCGCGGTGTAGTTCACGCCCAAGTCAAAGTGTCGCGCCCACGCCGTTCGGCCGCTCGGAATCACTGCACCGCGACGAGACACACGTCAGCCGACACCTTAACCACGACTATCCAGTCGGTGTGAGGAGTGGGGTGGAGTACAAATCTTGACGATGCGCCAGCGGGTGTGGTCAAGGCCCTCGGTGACGATCACTGCGTCCTCGCCGGTGGTGTCCTTGAGTGACTGGATCTGGAGCCCGCTGTCGTAGTGGCTGTAGATGTTCATCTTCTTGCTCCAGTCCTTGTTCTTCTCCGGCCGTCGCGACCACACCTCCAGCGACTTGTCCCACTACAACCCCCATCAATCAATTAACAACCACATGTCAGCAATAGAGAGCAATGTTACATTCCTTTATATAAATATATGGTTGGGGCGCCAGGGTACCTTGGTGACGGCCAGGGTGTCGTCGTCGTGGAAGTCGACACCCCACACTGTCTTGCTGGTCTCGTAGTGCTTGCCCTGAGCTTCGGCGATCCGCCGCAGCTTGCGCTCCCACTTGGTCTCCTTCGCGACCTCGCCCTGGAACAGGGTCGGCTTGCACGCCGGCTTATTCGTTGGTGCAGCCCCGGCCGCCTGGTCGCTACTGCTGCCACTACTACTACGACGGGCCGCGGGCGGCGGTGCGGGGCTGGCCACGATGTCTTCCTCGACGAAGCAGTAGGTGACCATCATCTCGTCGCTCTCCTCCTTGGCCCGCTTCCGGCTAAACGTCGGGTGGTCACCATCGTCGCCGTCGGCGTGGCTGTGGTGGTTGTGGTTGTGGTTGCCAGTCTTGTGCCGACCCTCAAGCTCGTCCACGGCGCGCAGGCGGTCCAATCGCACGCAGCCGTTGCGCCACGTGCCGTAGACGTCCTTGCCGACGACGTAGCAGGCGTCCTGCTCGCCGAGGTCACCGCGCCCGGCGACCCGGAACACGAGGCGGCCGTCGTCCGTGAAGTGGCAGTAGGTCACGGGCCTGCCCTCCTTCAGCAGAGCGGCGCGCTGGCCCGTCTTCCAATTGAGCAGAAACAGCTGGCCGCCCATGTACTGCTGTCCAAAGTAGTCCAGCTGCCACACATACGAACATTATGACAACAATTGTTATTAAAAAAATGTAATAAAAACCTATGAAAGTAGTACAATAATAGTGAGACAAATGAAGTACAGAGCTTGTGTTTCATTTGCAATTTGAAAAAAACAATAAACAAAAGCGAAACAAAACCAAAAGAGCGCAGCTTTTGGTGTTTGTCGACGCAAATCGTTTTTTAACCGAGGGTGCACTTTCGGCCAAATGCACGCCCCTTACGCTCAATTTCTCGGGAGGGCACTCGGCCTCGGCGGTCGAGATACTAAAGCTCATCACCAAGGGGCGCTAGCAAGGAGGAGAAAAAGAAGGTGGTGGAGCGTTACCATGGAGGTGGCGAGGGCGACGATGGGCTTTGTCGGGTGCCAGGCCAGGTGCTCGACCAGCGGGCCGGCCAGGAGGTCGAACAGCCGGAGCGGGCGGAGAGTGGCGGCGTCGTAGATGGCCAGGCGCACGTTGCACGGCGGGGCGTACTGGAACCAGAGGTGGCAGTGCCCGCTGGCCACGGCGATCACCTCGCGCGTGCGGTTGAATTTGACCAGCTTGGGGTCAACACTTGAGGCGAAGGCATAGTTCTGCTGACGGCCGCCGAGCACGCGGGTCTGGACGAGGTAGGGCGGCTTCTTGTGGCCGCCACCCTTCTTGTTGTGGTCGTGGTTGGGAGAGGAGGGCAGCGGGGAATCGGGACCACCACCAGACGGTCGAGAAGTGAAAGTTGATGTTGGAGGGTTGATGGTGTGGTTGGTATCAGTTAACATGAGGATGTGTCGTGTATGAAGGGATAAGAGGAAAAGAAAGCCGAGCACAAAGGGAGAAAGAAAAAGAACGAAGGTCCGCAAAAACGGGAAACCTGGGGCGAAACTGTGAGGCAATCCACAGAAAATACCAAGCCTTTTTGTGCTTCCAGAGCTGGTTAACATTCCATCTGTCCACTTCTTTGGGTGAGGTTAGGTCTGGAATGACCACTTTCTATCATGTACATGTATGTGACAACCAAAAATATCTTACCAGGAGGAGATAAAGGAGCAAAGATTTGTGTGCATGTACACAATAGAATGTAGTTCAGTTTCATAGAATGATGGGCTTTGAAAATAGCATGAATGTATGGGGTAGTTACCTCTTTCAGGCAGAAACATGGAAACAGTTCCTTGTGGTTGGCCATGGCTGATAACAGGGTGACTTGCACCTTTGTGTACATGACAACAAAAACTGTAAAAGTAACTGTGCTGGAATAAAATTCCATCACACTGATAAAATCACTTTTAACTCCACACATTCCAAGTTTTTATGAAATCTTTTTCACCTCAAGTCCCTCAATATCACTTATCAGCAGTGGTCTAGCATGTCAATATCACACATTCAGATCCAAATCTGACACAGTTTTAGCACAACAAAAATGCCACACTCATTTTTTGACCTCTCATTTCAAATGAGTGCAAGTTCTTGGTTGTTTGTCAGTGTGTTTGAGGGTGTTTAACTTGTGTGCCCCAATCTTCTTATCTTTTGTTTTGCCACAGGCATTCAGCAGAGATATTGCTTTTGCACTGCCAGTGGGTTGGATGGCTGTTGAGGATGTGGTGGTAGTGCAAAGATTTTGTATGTGGGAACAAGGTGACCTATTTCAACATCCACCTTTTTGTCTGCCCTCCCACCGCCTTCCTGGTTGTGGTTGTCATTTGGTTTGTGCCCACAGAAATGTAAGCCTTTGGCACTTAGTCACCGCCCTCCTGGGGAGCGTGGAGGTAGTCAGCGCTCAAGGCATCGCGGATCAGCGCCTGGAACTGCTTGGGGTCCACGTAGGTCTCCTGGTTGACCCAAAACCAGAAGTAGAGGCTACCGCTGGCACTCCATCCTCCTCGCTCTGCATCACATGACACGCCGGTCCCACATGACACACACCACAGAGACCACCCGGATTAGCGAGAACGATGTGAAGAGCAAGAATGAAGAACAGTGGGGAGGGGAGGCGGTTGACGTTGTACCTAGGATCCCCGCCTTGTCGGCCTTTTCTTGCTCATTGAGAATGTCCCAGTGCATCACCGTGCATTCCTGACACGGATTGGTCCATTCCTGTGTGCCGTTTTTTGGGGGCGAACAAAGTGCGAAGGAGAACACAAGAGAGTGCGAGAGAGAGTGAGAGAGGGAATGGAATGGAATGTTGGGTGTTGGGTGTTGGGTGTTGGGTGTTGGGTGTTGGGTGTTGGGTGTTGGGTGTTGGGGGGGGGAAGTGGGAGTGAGGGGTGGCGACCTTGTAGACAGCGCCCGCGCCGTGCGTGAAGCCCTGGTAGGCCGCTGCTCCACCACCTGCAGGGTACATTGATCGACATTGCCAATTGGGGAAGGGAAGGGAAGACTGTTGATCAGGCGATCAGACACCAAAGGACACACACACACACACACACGCCTGGCCCCATCCACCAATCGAGTCGGGTGCACACACACGCGCACGACACGCCACACGCGACCTGTCTTGAATGGCATGATCTGGAGCAAAACGGCTCCACGCTGTAGATACAGCGCGTTCGTCAAGCCCGAGCCGTGCATTCCGACCAACACCGTAGTTCTGATTGGGCGGTGGAAGAAGATGACGATGACAATGTTTGAGTGTTTTCACGACCCCAGTGTCGTTGGTCGTGTCGTGTGTCGTACCGGCGTAGGGCTTGGACTTGCTGATAAAACGGGAGCGTGTCAAACAGAAGCAGCTCAGCCGACACGTTCAGCTGAAGCGTTGCATGCAACAATTCCTGCGGCCGTCATGGAAAAAAATAAAGCGATGAAATGACCATGTCAGCTGCGTGCGAGCAGCAAACGAGCGAGCGCACTGGTGGACGAGGAAGGAAGAACAGAACGAAAGAAGAACGAACCTGTTCGTTGAGCAGGAACCGTTTGAAGCTGCGCGAGATGATGCCCACGTGCGACTCGGTGGGTCGCTCGACCTTGATCTCCAATCGCTGCAACGCCCAGCTCGCAAAGTCCGTCCAGTCCCGCGCTGCCGTTCCACCACATTAATAGTACTTTGATAATCAAAATAAAGAAATAAATAATGGCATAACAACAATAAGATAAGAATTAAGAAATAATGCACAAATAATAATAAAGATTGTATTCCACAAGAAGAAGGCCGGGCGTACCAGTGGTCACGGGCTGCTTGACCATGGTGAAACAGGTGTTTTCCTTGAGCTCGGAGCGATAGCGATAGCACTCGTGGCGGGAGAACAGTCCGTACTGCGAGAACAGACCGTTCCTGCGGCAGATCGAGCCAAAAGAGAGAAGAAGAGAGAAGAGAAAAAGCGACGTTGAGCTCGATCGACACTGGTGGCGGCGGCGGTGGTGGTAAGAGCGAACCGTGTAGTCATGGCATCGCGGTCGACAATGACGACGTGGTCCTCGTGCTCCCGCCCCTCAAAGTCAGCCCACCAGCCGAGCAAATAGTCCGCATACCAGTGGAAGTACATGGCCACTGAGTTGTCCGCTGCAGCCGCACACCCGGGCGCACCATCACCAACACATAATCAAACATCAACACCAACAGCATCAACATCATCAACATCATCAACATCATCAAAATCAACGCATGACACAAACGAGGCGCAGCCGCGCATACCAGGGTGGGTCATATGAGGCATGCCGTGGATGTAGTGCTCGCACTGTTCCGATTCGCCACCACCTTCCCCAACACCTGATGACCACGACGAACATGCTACGTGAGTTCCACTGACCAATCGGGTCTTGTCCTCTAGTGGTGGTCGACAGCAGTACCGTGGAGCTGTCCGTCGCTGTAGCGACTCACGACTCGCAGCGGGTTGTGCGGGTTGGCGGCGTTGTAGCCCTCCAGGGTGTTCGACTCCAGCTTGCCGTCGCAGTAGTCATCGCCCAACGCCGTCTTGAGCCCTGCACGCCCCGCCGCCGCCCCAAGCGGGTGGTTTGGTTAGCGACCCAAGTGCATGTGCAGGGGGATGGGGTGCACACGGTACCTGTTTGCACGCAGAGCGATGTGGTGGGGCACCAGGCGCAAGACAACCGAACCCGGCATCGCGCTTCATCGTGCAGCACGCACTTGTCTGCGACGTGCTGCGAGTGTGGTGTGTGGTGTGTGTGGTGTGTGTGGTGTGTGTGGTGTGTGTGGTGTGTGTGGTGTGTGTGGGGTGTGGAGTGTGTGGGGTTGTGTGGGGTGTGTGTGGTGTGTGGTGTGTTCACACCAGTCAGAGAGCGCCCAGCGGAAGAGAAAGAGAAAGAGAACGAAAGCGAAGAAAGCACAAGAACGAAAGACCAGCGAGTGATGAGAAATGTGAAGGGGGAGACGTACCCTGCAGAACTCGTAGTTGAAGAGCGGGCCAAACTGTTGCTTGCCGTTGTGCAGGTGCAGCAGCTTGTCCAGCTTGGTGTACTGGATGTCCGAGCTCTTCGAGCGCTCTGTGACGCTGGGTGGAGGTGGCCTTTGTCTTTAGTCAGCCATATCAAAAATAACAGCAATAACGATAATAAATCGTTCGTCTCCGTTCTCCTTCTTTATTGTTATTATAATTAATATTTATATTCCCTGTTCTCCTTTGCAACGAAGTATTATGGAAGGTATTAGTTGGGAGTACCTGATGTCGTGAAAATCCAAAAGGCCGCGGCGCCAGGCGCGCACGAGGGGCGGTACGTCGTTGGGGTCCTCTTCGAGCAGGTCCACCGCCGTTCGGAACGGCTTGTAGACCCCCTTCGCTTCCACCAGCCGCACCACCTTCCCCTCTACCGACTCTTCATCAACTCGCTCAACAGCTCCGGACAATGGCGGAGCCAAAGTCGAAGCGGCCTTGGCGCTGCGCTCGTCATTGTCGGGGGTGATGGGTTGGGGCTGGGGCGAGCCGAAGCCGTCGTCGTCGACTGCAAGGCTCGAGCCCAGGTCGGCCCCTGCTTGGTCGACATTGTAGTTGGCCGCGAACCGAAGTTGGTGCTGAAGCAGGAGGCCGCTCCACACGACCAGCCCGAGCACGAGGGCCACTGCGCGCCACTGCCACAGCTGGGCGAGCAGGCCGCTTGCTCGCCTCGCCGAAGGGGCTCGCGCGAGTTTCGTTATCATCTTCTCCTTCTCGCGGCAAAGCCGGCTCTTTATTCGGTGATCAATGGCGGATAAGCGATCCGATTGGCCAAACTTAATTGGTTTGAGAATGGGCAGCGTTTGCCTTAATCTATTTGTCGACACTAAGAGCGAAAACAGACCAACATGTTTCTTGTGTTTGTTGTGGATGATGTGATAAAAAGATATCTTATCTTCTGGGGCAAGCTGCTTGCACCAGACCTCAATAACCTGTTCATAAGTCAGGTTTTTGGCACCCAGTGATTAACTGCATTTCAGGAGCAACTAATACCACTTTCAAACAGCTCAAAGGCTGATATTTTATTTGACCTCCAGCCATCTCCATGCAAGTCAATAAATGACTATGGTGTGAACACAACACCTTTCTGGTCACTGCGGATGTTTTGCCCCCAAAGAAATAAAATATCTCATCAGATTCCACACATTGTGGGGGGACTTCGCTTGTGTTCCGGCCGGAGCTGCGCGGGAGTTTCGAGGCCACAAAACGGAAATGACAAGAACGTGAATCTCAACTGCCACAGTCTGGCCTTGTTGCTTGTGTTCCACTGCGTCACGAAATCGAACAGAGTGGATTCGATTCCTTCAACAACATCTCGCCTGCTGGTCCCTTTGCAAGTACCGTTCCATTTTTACGTCCATTATTTTTTTTTCATCTTCCAATTCACACTTTCCCTCCATCATTCCATTCCCTTCATCCCCTTTGCAGAGATGGTGGAGTTTGCGACAGGAGCAGGCATTTGCTTCGTGGTGTGCGTGCTCGGGCTCAGCCGTACGGTCCGCTGTCTGGCGGGCCACTGCATCTCCTCCCTTCTCCTCGGGTTTGTGGTCCTCGTGGCCTACTGGCGAGTACGCGCCCCTCTCCCTTCTCCTCCTACATCTCTCTTTTCTTCTCTTCCTTTCCTCCTCCATCCACCATCAATCTTCAAAGAAACCAACCGCCGTAGCACAATGTAGCTCTACGTCGAGTTCATGAGCGGCAGGTGGTGGCGCCCGGACGTGGCCCTCCAGCGACTACTTCGACCAGCAGAGCTGCACGGCACCAAGGCCGTGCTCGTCGATGAGGTTAAGCACAGCTTCGACACTGGTGCGTACTCACTCGCCACCCCCAACAACATCAACAGCTCCATGTAGAACGATTTTTGGCTCTTCTACTTCTACTTCTTCTGACTCTACATAATGTAGAGTTCTACGTCGAGGATCATGGCTTCGACTGCGAGCGGCACGAGGTCACGACCGAGGACGGCTACATCCTGCACTGCTTCCGCGTCTTCAAGAAGGACGCGCGCGACCTGTCCCTCCCGCCGATCCTCCTCCAGCACGGTCTGTTCCAGTCGTCCGGCATCTTCGTCACCAGCGAGGAGGACAGCATGGCCTTCCACTTTGCCAATAAGGGGTGCGTGCCTCGCTGCCAGAATGCTTGCTTTTTGCGTGCGTGCGCACGCGCGTATCGTGTCGTGTCGTGTCGCGCTTTTCGCTCTGTGGCGCGCGACGTTGGCTTTCGCTGAGGGTGGCACGTGGGCAGATACGACGTGTGGCTCGGCAACAACCGATGCATCCACGAGAAGGGTCACACCACCATGAAGCCGCACGAGGCACAGTACTGGGAGTGGGGCCTTGACGAGCTGGGCCACTTCGACTTCCCTGCCTTCGTCGACTACGTTACCAAGTACTTTGTCGTGTTGCGGTTTTTATTATTCATTTATTCTGTATTCTTTTGCTTTTATTTTTTATTTGAATTGTTTTATTGTTTTTAGCTCACCCGCGCTTCCCTTTCTGCGAGCAGGGCCACCGGACACGAAAAGGTGGTGTTCGTGGGCCACTCGCAGGGCAACGCACAGGCGTTCGTCGGCCTGTCGCGCAATCCGCAAGTGGCGCAGAAGCTCGAACTCTTCGTGGCCCTCGCCCCCGCCTTCTACATCGGTCGTCTCGGGTACTTGGATGCCTGCTGCTCGCACTCTCCCCGTTGCCGGAGATGCCGGCGGTCGGCGAGCGCTTCTTCTCGTATTGACTGTGTCTCTTTGTGTCGCGTGTTCCCGCAGACACTGGGCGCTTGAGGCCATGGTGTCCATGCCCTCGTGCATCTTTTACCAGCTCTTCGGCGAATGCTCGTTCATTCCCGTGATGTATGTCGTGCAGCGACTGATGGCCCCGCAGGTGAGAGTCCCTTCACACAACACACAACACACACACACACACACACACACACCACACACACACACCACACACACCACACCTCCTTGTCCTGTGCACAGACTCACCGGATTGTTGTTGGCTGCGATTGCACGGTACAGGCGTTCGGGCATCTGGCCTACAACATGTTCAACTATCTATTCTCCTGGGGGGACACGTACTGGTGCCACTGGCGCAAGACCAAGTACTTCCTCTTCACGCCACGCCCGGTTTCGTCCCGCCTCATCCACCACTGGGGCGAGATCACAAGAACCGGCCAGCTCAAGCCCTACACCGCCATGAGGTGCGCGTGCGCGTGCGTGTGCGTGTGTGTGCGCGGGTGTTGGGTGCGAGTGCTGATGACGACGGGTGTAGGAAGGACACCATCGCAGACGACGAGCTGGGTCCCGAGGCGGCGAGCGAGAGAGAAGAGCGAGCCAAGGTCTACTCAGTGGCCAACATCGGGTGCCCGGTGGCGCTGTTCTATGGCGGGAAGGACAAGCTGGTCCAGGGCAAGGCCCTGGTGGAGACGCTGCAGGCCAGCAAGGAGGTCGACCTCGTCCACCACAGCGAGATCCCGCACTACGAGCACATGGACGTCGTGTGGGCGCACGATGCGCGCGACACCGTGTTCGACCCCATCGACAGCCTCATCCGCAACGCTGGCAAGCTGCGGCGAGCGTAGAGGCTGAATCACACGCGAAGGCCCGCGCCCTTTTTCTCCCGGTTTTGCGTCTTTGTTTTTCCATGTATAACCAACCTCAGTTATTATTATGTATGACAAATAATAACTTTTTTTTTCCTTGACGTTTTTGTTTTCACATTTGTTTATTTGTTTGTCTGTGTGTTTTTTTTGTGTTTGCGGACCTTCGGTGAAGGGGTGGTGCAGCGCGACACGGTGTCTTCGACCCACGGCGGCACACAGCAGCGGTTGAGCGGCTGCCCTTAATTTCGAGGCTACGCCAATCCAATTTCAAACCGGGTGGCTGGTCGGCGAATGGCAAACGGCGAAGTGTCCGGCCAATGGAACACCACTGTTCAGCGGTGGTCTTTTCGTTCTGTCAAGACCGACAGCCGTCGCCAAGCAGCTTGTTTTTGTTAGACAGAGAGACAGAGTGCGCGTGCCTCCTTCCCTTCTCACTCGCCTTCACAACAACCAAACACCCACTTTACACACGTACGTCTACCCACGGGGGTCAGCCCACGGCGCCACCTTGTTGTTGTTGTTTTTCGTGCCTTTTGTTATTCGCAAATCGAGGAGGCCTTCTACACACGCGTGTCGCTTACTACTTTAGGGTTGTAGTGCGTGTTTGGGCGCAGGTGAACCTCATTTTTCTTCTACTACTTCTTGTCAGTACCCCAATCTGCGCGTAGCGAGAGCAGGCACATTTGCTAAAATCTTCTTCTCAACTCTCTCCAGATCTACTTTCTACATTTCTTCAAATGGACGGCAAGCCGAACGTGTTGGTTCTGGGTGCTACTGGCTTCATCGGCCGCAACCTCGTCAAGTACCTGGTGGAGAATGACCTCGCTGCTGTGACCTCTGTTGATAAGGTCCTCCCCAGCCTCTCCTACCTGAGCCCCCAGGAGGAGGCTCTCTTCGAGAAGGCCAACTTCATGCAGAAGAACCTCGTCAGCCCTGGTTCGTATCCCCCGACTACCATTTTCCCTCATTCATTCAGTGTTAATTCTATGACAACGTTCTTGTGATATTGTTGCTTGGACCTCATTTGGCTGATGTTTACCCCCTCATCCTCTAGTCTCGATTGCCTCCATCTGGAGCGACACCGGCATCAAGTTTGATTACGTCATCAACTGCGCCGCCGAGACCAAGTACGGCCACAACGACGAGGTCTACAAGGAGCGCGTGCACCACCTGTCTGTCTCCTGCGCCCAGGAGGCCGCCAAGCAGGGCGTCAAGAGGTTCATCGAGGTCTCGACTGCCCAGGTCTACGAGCCCAGCAACAAGGCCAAGGACGAGAGCGGCAAGGTCGACCCCTGGACCAACCTCGCCAAGTGGAAGCTGCAGTGCGAGGAGGACCTCAAGAAGATCCCCGGCCTCAGCGTTGTCGTTGTGCGCCCCGCCATCGTGTACGGCCCTGGCGACAAGACCGGCATTGGTACCATTCACCCCCCCCCCCGAATGTTCTCCTAATGCTTTCATTGATCTGCGTCAATGCTCACTGTCCCTCGTATCTTCAGCTCCTCGCATCCTCTGCGGCGCCATCTACAAGCACCTCGACAAGAAGATGAAGTTCCTCTGGAGCGGTGACATGAAGATTAACACCGTGCACGTCCACGATGTTGTCAAGGCCCTCTTCCACCTCTGCACTCACGGCGACGATGGTGCCACCTACAACCTTGCCGACAAGAGCGGCACTGGTACGTCTGTCACCAACCATCCCCGCCCATTTTCAAATGAAAGATTAAAGGCTCTTCCCATCTAATCTTCTTCTCTAAATCTCTCCTTACAGATCAGGAGCTTGTGAACAAATGCCTCGCCAGCATGTTCGGCATCAAGACTGATTTCTTCGGCTCGATCAAGTCGAACATGGCCAAGGCCCTCGGCATGGACGCCGTCACGTCGCAGGTCAACGACAAGCACGTCGCCCCGTGGAGCAAGATGACCAAGGAGAAGGGTATCGAGGTCACTCCCCTCTCGCCCTACCTCGACAAGGAGCTCCTCGGCAACAACGCCCTGAGCGTCGATGGCTCGGCCATCGAGAAGACCGGCTTCACCTACGACGTCCCCGAGTTCAGCGAAGCCAAGCTGAGGGAGTGGGTCGACTACTACACCCAGCTCAAGCTCTTCCCCGAGGGCTACGTCCAGTAAGTGAGCAACTCCAACTCTTGTTGTCTGTCATCGTCGTGCGGGCGTGAAGTGTGCGTCTCTCTCTCAAGAGCTCCTTCGCGCACCAGCAACATGTCTCTATATGATATCATATTCTACTGCTCAGGTGTCAAATAAATCTGTTTCATTAGCCGCCCTGCAGCACGAAGCTTCATCTTCATCTTGTCGCTTGGTTCCTGTTCATCTTCTTCTGTCTCGCTGGGCCAGTTTGTGGTTGAAATTTCTGCCGCTCGACGCTGCCACGTCAGGAGGGAAGTATGAGCGGAGCAGAGGAGAAATCACACCAAAGAGAAGTTGCTGCGCGAAGCTGTCAACGATCACCATCCAGGCAATCTCTTGAGAGTCGATTCGACAACGAGGACATCCATCACACGCATAGAAGAAAGAGAAGAAGGAGGGAAGCGACAACGCGAAACGACTCGATATCAATCCCAATTTTGCTGCATTAATCGAACAAATTCGCACTCGCGCCCGCGAACGCACACACAAAGAGGTACTACAAGATGTCGTGGAAGGATAGGACGTTGGAATTCGCCCAGATCGTGGATTCGATGAGGCAGCAAAAGAAGATGACGAAGCGACCACTGCTGGCGCATGCTGATGGCGTGGCCTCTTCGGTGCCCAAGTCACAATTCACGGTTGCCGCCTCGCAACTCGGACGACAAATCCACGACACTGCCCAGAAGCTTGCCAACCTCACCAAACGTACGTTTGGTTCATCTCTCCCAAGCCAATTGGTCATCATTTTCAATTTATACAACATTTTATTTATTTATTTTTAATTCATTCATTCGTGATGCCAGTTGCCAAGAACACTTCCCTCTTCGACGACAAGACCATGGAGATCCACCAGCTCACCCACGTCATCAAGCAGGTACTTCCTCTACCCTCTTCCCCATCCCCATCCTCATCCTCCCTCTACTTCTACTTTCATCTCGAAATTTCTTTTTCCCTCTTGGACGCGTCAAGGCTCACCGCTCGTCGCTCGGCGTGTGTGCCCCGTGTGTTGTGTGTGTCGTGTTGTGTTGTGTTGTGTCGTGTGTCGTGTATCGTGTGCGAACGAGTGCAGGACATCACAACGCTCAACACTCAAATCGAAGCGCTCCAGAACTACGTCAAGACACAGAAGACGCTGCGCAAGAACAAACAAACCGAGACCCACGCGCTGGGCGTCGTGGGCTCTCTCAAGTCCGAGCTGGCCAACACCACGAAACGATTCCAGAAAGTGCTCGAGACCAGAACCGAGGTACGCCCGCGTGCTGTGCGCGTGTCATGTGCGGTGTGTGCGGTGAGTGTGTGTGGTGTGTGCTGTGTGAAACTTGTTGAAGTTGAGGATGCGGTGGCCTGACCGTGTGTGTTGTGTGTGTTGTGTGTGCGTCTACAGAATTTGAAGATCCAGCAGGAGAAGAGGCAAAAATTCACAGGCGGCCCTCTCACGCCCGTCAAGGGCAAGAGCCACCACGAAGCGGCCAGGCCTCCACGAGCCTTCCCCAACGGGTACTCACCGCACACGCACACGCACACGCACCACCGCACACGCACACGCACCACCGCACACGCACCACCGCACACGCACACCGCACACGCACCGCACACGCACACGACGACTCATGTTCGGGTCTTGGCACGATCCCGTGCTGCAGATTGCACGCTACCAACGGCGGAAATGGGGACGTGACGATCAACCTGCCCGACGAAGTGCGTTCACTGCAATGATCAATTGCGCGTTCGTCATTTTCTGGCCGAGTGCTCAAACTCACCCGTTTGCGTGTGTCGTGCGTGTCGTGTGTCCGTCGTGTGGTCAACCCAAAGCCATCGGGCGCAATGATGGGCATGCAGCAACAGCAGCAGAAGCAAACGCTGCTGACAGTGCAGGACTCGTACATTCGAAGCAGAACGCAGGCCGTCGAGAACATCGGACAGACCATCATCGAGCTCCAGGTGCGCGTCACTCTCACTTTGGTTGTGTTGTGTTGTGTTGTGTTGGTTGTGTTATGGTTGCTGTTGTTGTTGTTTCCCCCTCCACTCACGTGCGTGCGGGCGAACAGGGCATCTTCACGCAATTGGCCACCATCGTGGCGGAACAGGGCGAGATGATGCAGAGAATCGACGCCAACATCAACGAGGTGCGCTTTCCTTTTTATTTAAGCTTTCAAGGGACACGAACTGATGCACAGACGACACGACACGGCACACACCACTACTTTACAACAGAGCAATGCCAACGCGTCGAACGCGCAAGAGCAGCTGTTGAAGTACCTCCACGGCATCAGCGGCAACAGGTGGCTCATTGCCAAGATATTCTTGGTGCTCATCGTCTTCATTGTGCTCTTTGTCGTTTTCTTCATGTAAGGCGGGCACATCACGTGTAACAACTACTCAGCAGCACAGAGGTCAATGAAAGACACAACAGATTTTTGAGACTGAACCCAGCAAGCTTTTACATGTTTCCCAACATCAGGAGTGTGTTTGTTGTAGTGGTCAAGAAGACATGAGAGTGAACAATGAAAGCTTGTGGAGAGTGTAGAGCTGTTGTATTAGAGGACAAACTCAGCCGATGTCTTCTTGGGTGACTCCACCTTCTTGGCTCCGGTCACGTAGGAGAACCAGCCGCCTCGTGACGCCGGAACCACCGGTGGCCTCTCCTCCGCCACTGCCGCCGCCTTCACCGCCTCCTCCTCCGCCTTGATGTTGTTGTAGGCGAGCACGCCGTTCGCCTTCGCGTCGGCCTGGTGCTGTGCCACGCCGCTGCCGCCGCCAGGCGGGTCTCTCCGCATGCTTGGGCTGGCCGGGCTGTCGTGCGACAAAGGAGGAAAAACTGCTGCTGGCCGCTGCGGCGATGACGAAACCACCACCGTCGTCGTCGTCGTCGATGGCTGCTCCACCGGTCGTGGTTGTCGCTGTTCCGGTGCCTGCTCCTGCTCCTGCGCGATCGGTTGGCTCTGCTGCTCCGTCGTTGTTGGCGTTGTTGGCTGCGCCGGCCACTCCTCTGGCGCCGCGCGGCTGGGACTGGCGACCGCCGGCCGCGACTGCGGCATGTGCTGCTGGTGGTGATCGTGGCCCACACCGGCGCTGGCCGTGGTGGGGCTGGAGCTGGCGCCGCCGCCGGCGCCGTTGTGGTTGTTTTCGATGAAGCTGAGCTGCTGGCGGATGGTGTCGTGGAGGACGGCGTTCTCGCGCGACAGCGCCGCGTTGCGCTTGACCTCGCCGCTCACCTGATCCATGAGCTTGGCCTTGCTCTGCATCAGCTCCTCGATGAAGTCCCGCTGCTCCCGGATCCGCTTCGCCTGCTTCTCGTTCTCGTCCGCCAGCCGTCGCTGGGCCTCACCACCGCCACCGCCGCCGCCGCCGCCGCCGCTCTGGGCCTTGAGCTGTTCGTTCTCGTCGCGGAGCTCCTGGATGACGCGATAGAATTCGAGGAATTTGGCGCGCTCGACCCGCTGGGTGCGGGCGAAGCGGGTCTTGACGCTGTCGAGCTCCCGCACGAGCTCGGCCCGCTCGGCCCGCCAGGCCTGGGCGGCCTCGGCCGCCGCCTCGCGCTCGCGGGCCTTCAGCTGCTCGCGCGTCGCCTGCAGCTCCCGCTCCAGCTCCTCCAGCCCCGTCGTCAGCTTCTCGCTCTTCTTGTCCGCCCGCCCCATCAGCTCCCTTTTAAGAAGCTGACGTCAGCAATCGCACTCACTACCGCACACGCACCGCACACACACACACACGCACGCACGCACCGCACGCACGCACGACGCACCGCCTCTCTTCCATGAGCTGCTCGATCTGCTCCAGATCGTGCTCGCGCTGGGCTTCGAGGCTGCGCTTCTCGGCGGCGATGCGCTTGACGTTGTCGATCTGCTCGCGGAGCAGGAGGTTGAGCGCGTTGAGCTCGGCCTCGTGCTCGCGTCGGTGCTCGCGCAGCTGCTCCTCGAGCCCGCGCGCCCGATCGGCCCGCGCCGCGTCGCCCTCGTCGCGGCTCGCCCGCAGCTGCGCGACCTCGTCCGCCAGCCGCGCGTTGGCGGCCTCGAGCTCGCGCACCCGCTCACGCAGCTCGAGCGCGTCGCCCAGCAGCTCGCCCTTCTCGCGCTGCAGCTCGGCCGTCGCGGCTTCGAGTCCCGCCGCCGTCTCATCGAGCCGCCGCCACCGCTCGCGCTCGCGCCGCAGCCGCTCGTTGGCCGTCTGCTCCTCGACCAGCTGCACCTGCAGCCGCGACACCATCTGGGCCATGGCCTCGCCCTGCGCCCGCGCCCGGTCGCGCTCGTCGTCGAGCTGCTCGGCGAGCTCGGCCGCGGCGCGGGCCTGGGCGCGATCGCGATCGTCGGCGGCCTCGAGCCGCTGGCGCCCGGCGGCGAGCTGGGCCTCGGCGGCCTCGACCCGCGCCTCGAGTGCGTGCTTCTCCTGCAGCAGCGCCTCGACCCGCGCGCTCTGCGCCTGCAGCTTGTATCGGAACCGCACCGCTTCGGCCTCGCCCTACGATTTCACCGCACACGCGACACACGCGACACGCGCGACACGCGCGACACGACACACGCGTGATGAGTGTCACGACGGCGAGGGTTGAGTAGGAAGTGGTGGGTACGGCGTGGGCGGTGGTGCCGTTGGAGTGGGCGGCCGAGTGGCCGTTGGCGGTGGGGTGAGCCGCGGGTGGTGCGCCTTCGGGCGGTCTGGACACCACACGACACGTGTCAGGCATTGGCATTTAATTAACAATAAAACCAAGTAGCGCGGTTGTAAAGAGATGGTGTTGAATGGGTGATGGTGGAGGAGATGGAGATGGTGAAGGACTACAGAGCAAGTAGTGGTTTGTAGAGATTGTTTGTTTTTTTTTGGGAGGGGGCGCACTTTGTAGAGGCATTCTGAGGCAGAGGGGGTTTGCTGAGCTTCCTCTGTTCCAGCAACTGCGTGGTGGTGTTGGGTCACATTAATCACCTGGTTCGAATGCGAGAATCTCTGTTGCGATTCTTGCTTGGTCCAGGCATAGATGCTTATTTCCTCGATCCATCATCCCCAACGTACCTTGCGCCCTGCCTCCAGTAGGCGCAGTCGCTCGTGGTCCTCGCTCATCATTCTCTTTTCTCTCTCTGGCCAATCACTTCCAGATCAGCGACGTCGTTATTTTAGTTTATTTTTTAAAAAAATCATTAAATAACGAGAATGCAGAAGCAACTCCGGTTGGTATGCGCCACCACGTCAGCCGACGCCCGCGAACTCGACGGCACCGAAACGTACGCGTAGTAGTACCTTGGTTTATGGATTCGCCGCCCGCGGCGGCCTTCCGCCGGCAGCGCCGCCGGGTGGACGGCGGTGGCCACCACGACACAAGGGCCGACGGTCGTCCACCACCAACACCGAACGGTGCTTCCGGGCTGCCGGTCGAGCTGACGGCCCTGCCGCCGGAGGTCCTATGGCACATCGCGCACCACCTCGACCCGGTACGCGAATTCATCATCATTCCCAGATTTCACATCATTTTTCACAACGGCTCTGCAGATTGATGCCAGGCAATACAGAGATTTAAATTTAAATTTAATACAATTTAATAAAAATAATTAACAAAAAAAACAAATAAAATCAATTATTATTAATTCTGAGGTTTCTGACTGCTCGCGGGCGGGAGAGCAGGCGGACGTGAGGGCACTGGGAGCGGCGCACCAGGCCTTCGCCGGGTTGGCCCACGACGACGGCCTCTGGCACGCCATCTACCGACGCATGTGGCCGGGCCAAACACTCCACCCGGGCCTCGCCCGCCAAGAAGGCATGCACCACCATCACCACCTTCTTCTCCTTCTTCTTCTTCTTCTTCGATGCAACATTCGTGATGTTCATTCACAACAGCGCAATGACCGGGGCCTCGTGCGTGACGCCATCAATCTCTGCATGGCTCTTTCCTTCTCTTTCTCTTTCTCTTTCGTTCTCTCTTTCGTTCTTTTCCTTGGGGCAGGGGCGTGGCGGCTGGCGGTGGCGAGGCGCGAGCAGAGCCTGCGGTGGGTGGCTCTCGTGGCCGAGGCCAAGGAGCCTGCGAGCGATCCACGCACGCGCTTCGACCACTTGGCCGAGCTGGTCATCATTCTCGCCGAACACGCCGGTACGTACACTCCCCTCCCCACCATTGACACCATCAAGGCCGACGTAAACGAATGCGTGTGCGATGGTGTGTGTTGGTCATGGTGAACAGAGGAATCCATTAAGATCAGGCTGCTGGGTCTGGCTCTAATGAACGGCCTTCTCAAGGCGCTGGAACCCGCCAAGAAGCGACCATCGCCCGCGGTCAGGCTCGTCTACACAGCCCTCGCCTACCTTGCGTTCGATGGTAGCCACTGCTCCCCCCCCCAGCACCAGTGAAAACGAAGACGAAGACAAATACGAAGACGAAGACGACGAAAGCGAAGGCAGTAGCGAAACGAAGACGGCTAGGTGTATGTATGAGAGAGCTCACCACGTGGTGACATGCGGGCAACGCAGACGTTGCGTTTGGCGAGCCTCTGCGGGAGCAGTTCGTGATCGACCAGCCCCAGATCAAGGCCATGTGGAAGCGGCAGTTCAGCAGCAGCATCGGGATGAGCATGGCCGTCTCGTACTTCTTCGCCAGTCTCGCCCTTCGCCAGACCCACCCCTGTACCACCGGCTTGCCCATTCACCCCCCTCCCGGGGGGGGTCCAGTTCTCTGCCTAAACATCGTGTTGCGTGGTGTGTCGTGTGTGTCGTGTGTGTTGTGTGTCGTGTGCGTGCGTGCGCTGTGTGTGCGGTTGTGGCAGGCAACAACATCAAGATCGCCCCTTCGCTGCTTCCGCTCGAAACGTTCGAGGAATCTGAGAGCGCACAGCTGGAGGCCTCGGCCCTCTTGGACGACCAGCAGCGCAGCGAGCTCTGCCGCATGCTTTCCGGTGCGCCTTCCCCCCTTCCCCTCCCCCCCTCCAACACTCTAATCCAGCGGCGCTACGCCACATACGACGCGCACGTCGCGCGCGACACACGCTCACCTCTCTTTCGCGGTGATGCGCAGGGTGGTGGCGCGGGTTCTATTTCTACCCCGACGCCACCGCCGATCCGGAGATGCGCCTCTACTTGGTCGCGAACGAAGGTGCGAGGAACGTGAGGAAGCGCTTCCTCCTAAGGAGCCGATCAACGCTGATTCTGCGCGTGTCGTGTCGTGTTATGTTTGTGTCGTGTGTGTCGTGTGTCGTGTCGTGTCGTGTTTCAAAACCAGACGGCCTGCTGGCGGGGCAGGGCGCGGACGACGTGGGCAGCTTCGTGGTCCGGGGCCAGGCCCAGTTCGCCACGGGCCTGGTCACCTTCAGCAAGAGCTACGAGAGACGCACCGCCGTCGTGTGGACCTACCGCGGCAAGCTCAACAGCAACGGCCTCGCCGGCACCTGGGGCGACGTGCGCTGGTACCTCACGCCCCCCCCCAAACTCTTCGTGAAGATGAAGAAGATGAAGATGAAGATGAAGAAGATGGCATTTTGAACTTATAATGGATGGTGGTGGTGGTTGGTGCAGGGGTGGTGCGTTCATGATATGGCCCGGCGGCGAGGGGCAGGAGCAGGAGCAGGAGCAGCTGGCCCGGCTGCGGCTCGCGGAGCTGGCCCAAGGCCGAGCAGGGGCCGGCCCGGGCGTCTACGACGAGCTCGCCCTGCCGCCCGTTCCCTACAAACCTCCGGCCCGGCGCCCGCGCCAGTGCGCCCTGCAGTGATCGACCACTGCGCGGCGGGAGATGACCGTCACTGACGCTGCCTGACGTCTGGCCGTCGCACATGAGCGCGCGTGTCGCGTCTTGTCATGTTGTGCTGGTCGGCCGACAGCAAAGTAGACGAGCACAGTCGTACGACCCAACAACTCCTCCCGAGGTCTGAGCTGGGGTTGGTTGTTCTTGTTCGCCTGTGGCCGGAGTCTGAGTGCACGGACCACTTCCGCGGGCCACACGGCAACGCCACAACATTTTCATCTTTTTATTTATTTCTTTCTTTTAGTGTCGCGTGGTGAAGGAACCGGCTCGAGGCAAAGCGAACTCGATACGAAGGAGAGAGAAAGAGAGATTGTTAGAGAAAGAACGAAACGAAAGCGAACCGAGACGACCGTCCGGTTTGATGTTCGGTATCATCTGCTCGAGTAGTAGTACCCCGCCCCAAAGGAGCGCGTAGCAGATATATCTATTACCACATCCACACATGCATGGAACAGACAACGAACAACGACATCGAGCTCGATGATGGAGAGGGGAGGCGACCACGCAATCTCAATATTCGCCCCCTTCGATTATCATCAGACTTATCTCCGCCTTCTTCTACTACTTCTCTATTGTCGTCATCGCGATCATCTCCTCCTACTCGATTCCTCCTCTCCTTCCATTCATCATCTTCTCCTTCTTCTTCTTCTTCATCTCCTTCTTGGCCCCTCCTGCTCTACGTTGCGACGATGGCGCTGCTCGTCGTGGCCCTCCTGACCCCGACCTGCAGCGCCTACTGGCCCACCCTCCAGGGCAACAGCGCGCGACAGGGCCGCCTGTCCTACCCCTACATCAGGACCCCGCCCCCGTCCGACTCCTTTCGCAAGTGGAGCGCCAATCTCTCTTCCCCGGACTACCTCGACCTCGACCTCCCGCCCTACACCTTCGGGTACTCCATCTCACTTTCCATTTCCATCTCAGCTTCGTCTTCGTTCTTTTTCATTTTTTTTTAAAAAATTGATAATACAAGTGTTCCTCATTATCCATTTTTATTGTTTTTATATTTCCAACAATCAAATTTCTCAACAGATAAATAATTAAATAAAGTAGTAGATAAAAAGATCTGTTTGGTAATATCTGTGTAGTCGCGTTTTATCACATGTGGTGTATGGTGACATATCGCCTCTCGTATGTTACGTAAATACCACGGAGTTCTTTGGCAAATTTGTGTGGCGTGCTTGTGATCTGGCGTCCGAGCGACCCTGAACTTTGCGTGTGCGTGTGCGTGTGCGTGTGCGTGTGCGTGTGCGTGTGCGTGTGTGCGGCCTGGACGCAACGCACATGTGCACAGCGCCTGACCTCCTCCTGACTGATCGTGGCCAACAAAACCAACAGAACGCCGGCAGTGGACAGCAACGGGACGGTCTACGCGACGTACGCGACCTCGGTTGCTCCCCTCTACTCGGGCATCGTCGCCATCTTCCCCGACGGCACCAAGCGCTGGATTCTGGGCCTCGACACGGTACCCCCCAGCCCCAGTCCCACTCGATGCTCCGCGCCCAGCCACAATCGACTCACGTGTCGTGTCGTGTCGTTGGTCGTGTCGTGTCGTTGGTCGTGTGTGTCGTGTGTGTCGTTGGTCGTGTCGTGTCGTGTCGTGTGTGCGGTGACAGAGCACGGGCCTGGTGGCCAAGGGCAGCGTCACGTTGAGCGAGGACGAGAAGCTGCTGTACGTGGTGGCCTCGAATTCGGTGGCCAAAGCGGTCTTCTACGCGCTCTACACGGACTCGGGCACCGAGGCCTGGCGCTACACGGCCTCGTTCTCGCTCCAGGGCATCAGCGAACCGGTCGTCTACGAGTCGGCCGTCGTGATGGGCGACTCCAGGGTATGCACTACCAAACGCAAGGCTGCTTCACATTCCACCGCACACACGCGTGCTGGCGCGGGAAACTGACAAGAATGTAAACTATGTGACGTGTGTGTAGCAACTGTACTACTTTGCTGATGGGACCAGGCCACAGCTCACCTGGAAGTACAATTACTACATCCAGGCCAACAACACCGAGGTATTGTGTGTGTGGTGTGTGTGGTGTGTGTGTGTGTGTGTGTGTGTGTGTGTGTGTGTGGTGTGTCTGTCTAAATGCTGATTGTAATACTCTTGATTGGCGCTCCCAGAATGTATACCGCGTGGCGCCATCGATTTCGCTGTACAACGCGGACATCATCTTCACATGCGAGCGAAAGTATATCTTGTCTCTCTTCATCGACGATGCCACCCTCAAGTGGGTCACGCCCCTCACCTGCAACAACACCCTCGGTTGCGACATGACGGTACCGTGCTGTGCCGCTGCACAACCTGTCGTGTCGTGTCGTGTGCTGTGTTCTGAGCCCCGTTATTGCCTATTTATCAGGGAAATGCGGCTTCAATCGGCGATGATGGCACCATCTTCGTGCCTGCGCTGGATAAATACAACGTGGTACGCCTCATCAACATCTTTTGTTTTGTTTTGACACTGTCTCACCGCCATTCATCACACGCACACGCACACGCACCACCGCACACGCACACGCACCACCGCACACGCACCACCGCACACCAGACGACATTGTTGGTCAACGAGACTACGAACGAGACGACCACCATCGACACGCCCCACAGCGACTTCTATCTCTTCACCATCAACGCCGGCGGCCGCGTGCGGCACCGACTGAAGCTCTCCTCGACCACCGAAGGGATCGGCATGTGGCAGATCCCGGCCGTCAGTACGCGCATGTGTCATCGTGTGTGCGTGTGCGTGTGCGTGTGCGTGTGCGGTGTTTCTGATTGGAATGTGGGGAATCCAGGCGTCAACAGCCAGTACGTCTACGTGGGCGGGTACCAGCCCGAGGCCAACCTGTGGCGGGTACCGCGCTCGCCCTGGGTGTGTTTGATGTCGACACTACCCTAACCACCACCAATCGCACACGCGACACAGGTCAACATCCAATTGCAGAATTTCACGAGCGTGCTGCAGCTCAACGGCAACGCGTCATCGCCACCAATCGCGACCGCCGGCGGTCGCGGCTACGTCGTCGACTCCACATCAGGTACCCTTCTTGCTTGCTGACGTGGCATTCCAGCTTCGCTCACCCGTGTGTCGTGTCGTGTCGTGCGCCAGATCTGTACGCGTACAATGCGGTGGACGCGATCGATAGCTGGACGACCCCGTTCGGCGACCAGCACTACTATTCGAGCATGGCCTTCGGCGAAGACGGCACCATCTTCATCAGCGACTCCACCAGCGGCGGACTCTTTGCCTACGGTACGTACCATGCAACACGACACGCCGACCCCAGCTCGAGCGAGCCCTGACCGCGTGTTGCGTTACATGTGTGTGCGTGTGCGGTGGTGTGTGTGTGGTAAAAGGCTGTCCGACGGGTACGCAAGTGGGGTCGAGCGGTGCGTGCGTGCCGTGTCCGGCCGGCACCTACTTCGTCACCGATGGCCGCGCGCTCTGTCCCCAGTGTCCCAAGGGCAAGGTACGCGCTCTTCCCTCCCCTCCACCACCACGGCCCTTCGCTCACCATTTGAGTGTGTGCGGTGGTGCGTGTGTCATGTGTCGTTGATGTGCGCGCAGGTGTCGGATGGCGGGGGTGATGTGAGTTCGTGCCAATTCTGTCCGTCGGACTCGATTCCGAGCGCCGATCAGACCAAGTGCGTGGAGTGTCCGGCGGGATCGCAGCCCAGTTTTGACCTCACCTCGTGCACCGCCTCCACCCCCACCACCACGAGCGGCTCCGCCCATCGATCACGTAGCGCGCTGAGCCTGTTCTTCTCCTCCGCCTTCTTCTCTGCCTGACGCAGCCATGCCGCTTCGTCCCTCACCCCTCATTTTTGATTCTTCTTCTTTTCTCTCCCCCTTTGTAACACACCCCCACATCACCAACACACATGCACGCAGAGCGCTGTAACATACGTCTCATTTTATCACTAACACACACCAAAACAATAAACAAACCGAACACATCAAAACTACCACCGCGTTTGTTTGGTCTTCTCTTTGTTGGGCAACACGACAAGCGAAGCCCGTTGAGCAAAAGAGAGAGCGAGCGAGAGAGAGAGAGAGAGCGAGAGCGAAGAAGAGGAGGAAGAGCTCTCAGGCGGTGCCCCAGGTGATGACGTTGCGGTCGGGATTTCGCACGAAGCCGTTCTTGGTGAAGAGGGGCGTCTGGTAGAAGTGGTGCACCGTCGTGCCCAGGTCCATCTCTCGCGCCTGCCACACCCCGCACGCGACAGGAAATAAATCAACAAACGTGATCGCACACACGACACACGGCACACGGCACACAACAAGACACGCGCGCACTTTCGCCGGGGGGGGGCGTACCCGAGTCTCGAAGGCCGAACAGTTGACCTCCTCGCGCTTCTTGTTCCCGTGGAGCGATCGCTCGCGCACCATGGTCTGGAGCAGGTGCAGCAGGAGCTCCTCGTTGTCCCGCTTGAAGCTGATGTAGCCGCGGAATTTCTATTGCGCGCGCGAGCGAGCACGCGATCAGTGCGTGTGCGCTGTGTGTGCTGTGCGCGTTGTATGCGCGTGTGTCGCGAGTGTCGCGTGTGTCGTGTCGCGTGTGTCGTGCGAGTCGTGCGTGTCGTGTGTTGCGTGTGCGGAAGGGTACCTTCTTCATGGAGCGGGAGATGGCAAACTTCTGCGATGAGATGAAGCTCTCCAGCATCACCCGGATGGCCACATTCACATCGTCGTCGTTCACGTAGTCCCTGATGTCACACATGCACCGCGTACCGGGACACCGTGTGTCGTGTGTGTCGTGTCGTGTGTGTTGTGCGTGTCGTGTGTGTCGTGTGCGTGTCGTGTGAGAAAAGTTCTCTTGACTTTAGTGGCGCGAGCAGCAGCAGAGAGAGTCAGAGCGGTACCGCAGGTGCATCTTGGCGTGGGCCTCCGACATACGCAGCATCGACTCCAAGTGACGCACGGTCATGCACACGCCGCCCACCTTTGTTTCGTTGTTGCGCGTGTGCGGTGCGGTGCGCGCATTGTGGCCACGTTCGTGTTAGACACACGTCACCAGGAGGAGGCCTCGCGGTGAGGGGCGTTCATTGAGAGATTGGCAGAAGAGGGGGGTGGGGGTACCAGCGACTCGGTACGGAGCTGAGCGTAGAGGTTCTCCACCTTGTCGCGGTCGATGTTGCGCAGCTTGGGGTGGCACCTGCTCCGCGCGTAGGTGATGTACTTCCGCAGCAGCTCCTGCGACAGCGCGAAGCCGTCCTCGTTCTGTGTTGCGACCCAGCGACCAGCTCAGCGATCGACGCGCGCGCGGGGTGGGCGGGCGGGGCGGGCGGGGCGGGTACCTTGTTGTTGTGTGTGGTCTCGCGGCGCTCGCTGTGCGGGTGGGAGTTCATGTGGCTCCCCACCACGAACTCGGCCAGGGCCTCGTCCACGATCGGGTCCACCGTGTCACGCACCTGTGTCGGATGGACACGTGTCAACCAGGCGCGCCACACACGACACACGACACACGACACACGACACACGACACACGACACACGACACACGACACACGACACACGACACACGACACACGACGCGATGGTCGTACCACGCAGAGGATGTCGAAGCGGGACATGATGGGCTCGGTGAGCTCGACGTTCTGGGCAAAGGAAAGCGCAGGCCTGATGCAGAGGAGGGGGGAGGGAGATGAGGCCACGCACACGCGAGCGCGGAGCAAGAAAGAGGCCTCGTCAGCTGAGCGCTGAGGCGAGGTGGAGGTGTTGCGTACCGGTAGCGGCCGCCGATGGGGTTGGCTGCGGCGATGATGGTGCAGCGGGCCAGGAGCGTCGTGACGATGCCGGCCTTGGAGATCGAAATGGACTGCTGCTCCATGGCCTCGTGAATGGACGTCCTGCACCACCGCGTACCAAGTCAGTCGTGTGCGTGTGCGTGTGCGTGTGCGTGTGCATGTGTGTGTGTGTGTGTGTGTGTGCGTGTGCGTGTCGTGTTGCTTTTTTACCTGTCCTTGTCGGTCATCTTGTCGAACTCGTCGATCATGCACACGCCCTTGTCGGCCAGCACGAGGGCGCCGCCCTCGAGGATCCATTCGCCCGTGATGGGGTCCTTGCACACCGCCGCCGTGAGACTGTCGTGCGTGTCGTGTCGTGCGTTGTGAGTGCATGTCGTGTGTGTCGTGTCGTGTGCGGTGTGTGTCCACCAGGCGGCGGTCGTACCCCACGGCGGAGGCGCCCTGGCCCGTTGTGTAGACAGCTCTGTGCGCGGTCTTCTCGGCGTACTTGAGGAACTGCGACTTGGCCGTACCGGGGTCGCCCACCAGCAGCACGTTGATGTCGCCACGCACCCGATGCTTCTGCTTGTCGAACTCCTTACACTCTGCGTTCGCAGCAAAGCCGTGGAATACATTAAAAATAAATAAATAAATAAATAAGCCGTGGGCGGGAAATGCAGAGAAAAAATAAATGCATAAAATAAAAATAACCAATAAATATATTAAAACGTACCGCCGCCAAAGAGGGCCAGGGCCAGGGCCGTTTTGACGTCCTCGTGGCCATAGATGGAAGGCGCGATGGACGCGATGATCTACAAATGAATGGTGCGATTAGAAGGTTGAGGTCTGTTGTTGCAAAAGAAGGTGGTAGGTATGTGATGGGTGGTGTGTGAGCGGATGTCACGTACCCGCTCGCCGATGCGAGGGTCCTTGGACAGCTTGATGATCTCGGCCTGGTCTTCGGGCGTCAGCAGGAACGACGCGTAGAGGTCCTCCTTCTTGGTAACACCTGGCGCACGACAAAGCAGGGACGTTAGCGAAACTCAGCGCAGCGTTGTCCATCTCCTCACACGCACACGCACACGCACACGCACACGCACACGCACACGCACACGCACACGCACCCGCACCCGCACACGCACACGCACACGCACACAACACTCGCACGGGCCTGGAGGAATGCGTACAGTTGGCCTCGATGATGGTGGCGAAGACGGGGAAGCCGTTCTTGGTGTTGAGCGAGGCGTCGAAGTTGTTGCGATAGACGCCGATCACCTCGATCTCCTCGCCGGGCGACGCGCAGTCGATCATGTCGGCCAGGAGGATCACGTCCTTCGTGCGCGGGAGCCGGCCGGCCGGCACCGTGCCCGGGCTCTCCTGGAGTGTGATCTTCTGGTAGTTCCGGTAGGCCGTCTGCTCCGTGTTGATCGTGAACGGCCCCTTGCTCTCGCACTCCGTACACCTCTGCACCTTGATCTCTGCATCCCAATAATAATAATAATAATAATAATAATAATATTAAAAACAATAATAAGAATAAAAGAATAACAACAAAGAACAACGAATAGTTCAGATTCCATGGCTGGGAAGGTGCAGGTGGTTGGGTAGCGCGGTACCGGTGGTGGTGCCCTGGAAGAAGGGTCCCAGGACGGCGCCGCACTTGCCGCAGTCGTACTTGGCGTACTTAAGCTGGGGGAAGACGCCCGTGCGCCGGGTCACCACGCCGGCGACGCGGATCAGGGAGTTCAGGTGGTGCTGGCGCAGGTCGCGCAGGGAGTCCTGGATCGGCAGGTCTGTGATCCTGACGTGGACCTCGCCGTGGATTCGCTTGTACTCGGGGAAGATGGCCAGCACCACCTCAAGCGCCACCTGTACAGACCCAAGTCACAGTCTCAGTAACGTGTGCGGTGTGTGCGGTGGTACGTGTTGTGGTGAATAGGAGAAACACGGGGAGGGGACGGCGCACCTCTTTGAATATGGCGAGCACCTCTGCGGGAGCGTCTGCCAGGTACATGGCCACGTTGGGGATGGCCTTGCTCAAGTGCGGGAACCCCACGAACAGACTCTCCTTGTTCGCTATCGGCCGAGCAAGACGTCAGCCAACTCAAGCCGTGTGTGCGTGTGCGCGATCTTGCATGTATCGCGTGCGGTAGCGTGTGTGTGTCCTTGTTATACCTGCGCACATCTCCGAGATACGGCGGGTGTAGATCGCGTTTCCTTTGTCGTCCACGAACGAAGACAGGAAGCTGTGGAACTTCTTAGCGATGTGCCGCCGCGGGGCCTCCATCTGCACCCACTCGCGGACGGGTCCCTTCTTCTCGATCTCGGCAATGTCGTTCAGCTTTGTGTTTTGAGCCATGTCAGACATGTCATACATGATCTCTTGGAGCAGAGGGAGGAGGACCGAGAGCCGAACCTGATCCTCGATGGCCTGCGGGTTGATGGCACCGGTGGCCGCTTGCTCGAGCAGATTACGTCGCGTGGTCATACGGCTCCACTCTTCGTCGTTGTTGTCGTCATCGTCGTCGTCTCCGTCTGTTGGAGAAGATAATAGCGGAAGCGATGAGCGGTAGTTACAGCAGGCTACGCAATGCAAAGCCCGGACGCCATCGTGGAGCCCATCGTCGTGGCGTGAAGGTACCGTCGTGCAGCATTGCGGGCATGCGCGCAGAGGAGAGGTCCGAGTGTGGTCGCTTGCGCGAGCCCGCGCCGCCGGTGAAGAGGCTGTCCGAGGTCCCTCGGTCACGCTTGTTCATGGCCAGCTCGGCTTCGTGGCGAGTGGCCGCGGGCATCGGCTCGTACTTTGCCTGGGGTGTGCGGGTGCCACAGTCAAAAGACACGTACGCCTTGTAAGAGGGAGGACTTGCACAAAACAGCAAGATCGCGGCGGCGGGATAGAAGGGCAAGCGAACCTCGTCGAGAATGTCTTCATCGTACTTGTCCAGGTGCGGCTTGTATTCGTAGTCTCTGAATTTAGGAAGATGGCAAATAAATAATGGAATTGCGGGCACGCTGAGCGCAGATAGACGACTTACTTGGTCAAAAGGCCGTCGTCGAACAGGTCCTCGCCTTCCTCCTCCTCTTGATCCTGGTTGTCCCCCCAATCACCGAAGAGTTCCTTTTCCATCTCTTCATCGATTTCAAACTTCTTGCCCCTTCCATTGCCGCTCATTCTCTACAATCCCTCGTAGTGTGCCGTGTGCAGATGGCCGTTCGTGCAACGGGGCGATTATTGCCGGCCAAGGACAGATGTGGTTTCGAAAATGCAAATTTGATGTGCGTGTTAGCTTTCCCGCCCTTTTTCTTGGCGGGAAATGCGCCCCTGTCCGCGTCCACCCAGGCGCAGACCCTGGCTGACGCTCTGGGCGCTCAGAACATGTCGCTCTGGGCGTTCTGCACAAACATGCGTGGGCACACAAAGCGCTTGATCCACTCGTTGGCGTGAACGGCCTCGAGCCACTCGCTCCTGGAGAGCTGGCCGTCCCCGTCCGTGTCGGCCAGCAGCACCTTGTCGAGGGCTGTCTGTTCGTTCGCCTGGCAGAACTTACGAAGCTCGAGCTTCTGTGGAGTTGCAAACGCATGCAGATATTGCCCCGCCATGAGCGCGATGTGGTGCGCCAGCAGAGTAAAGCGCGAGTACCACTTCGAGCTTCATGGCGAGGGTCGGCTTGTCCGTCTCGGATACGTCCATGGCCAGCATGTTGGCAGTCATCTTCTCCGCCAGCGCCAGAAGCCGTTTGAAGTGGGCCTTGAGTTCTGCTACGTATGTACAAACGACACCAAGATCCCACGACAGCAGACTCAGTCGTGCCGCGATGTTGGCCACCACTGATGGTCATCGTGCTACGCACATTTGGAGAGGAAACCACTACGGTCCGTGTCCACGGCCATAAAGACCACTGCACATCGGGGGATAATCAGCGCCTTGCCGAAGTCTTGCAGAAGAGACTGGTCACGTACTATTGGCCTTCTCCTCTAGACTGCCCTTGGAGATGATGGAGATACCCGACAGCAGCTCATTCAACGAGACTGGAGTCGCCGAACATGGCGTAGAACAAGTGTTCAGAGATCAAGGCGTGTAGAAGTATGGCACTCATTGGATGGGGGGGGGGAAGTAAGTACTTCGGCCGTCATGGTCTACGTCGAAGAGAGAGAAGAAGAAGCTTAGGCGGTCCGGGCTGAAGTCCATGGTTGGATACTTGGCGGTGACCTTCTTCATGACCTTGATGAAGCCCTTACACGTTATGGGCTTGCCGTTCTTGCTCTTCTCCTTGAACGCCACCACTATGCATTCCAGCTGCTCCACGTTCAGGTGGGTGCTCCCTGCCACCCCCTTGCCACCCCCTCCAGTGCTCTGGTCCGCCCCCATAATCTTGTTGTCTGGCCTGGGTTGTTATGTGTTCCACTTAAACATAAAAGGTTGCAAGTGAAATCTTGTTTTGGAAAGATATGTTTGAAACTGAAACAAAGATTGCAAATGAAATCTTGTTTTGGAAAGACTAAGGGTTAGGCGAGACCATCGCGCAGACCCTGGCCGAGATCCCGTCATGTTCTGGAGCGGCCACACGGATCGCGATTGTTGCCTCGACGGTCCTCTGCGGCATCCGCATGCTCGGCACCACCTTCCTCTCCCCCTACAACACCACCACCGCCCTCTTCCTCCCACTGCAGCTCCTCGGCGGCCTCGCCTTTGGGTACGAAATGACACGACACGACACGAGTATGTGGCTCACATGTGCGTCCTGTGCGATTAGGTTGCCGTGACATCACGGCTCAATCATGTGAACGCTCTGGCGGCGTCGATCGCGTCGCAGTCGCTGGGCGCCACATGCTTTGGACGCATGGGTGTGCAGTGTGACGTCACACCACGTCCAGCGAGCAATACCCCATTACATTCACAGACCAAGAGTTTGAAGAGTTGATTAAGTGTCTACCGGAGGACCACACCATGTGACGTCCTCTTGGGCGCCACCTTCCTCTTATTCCTTCTGTCTCTTCTTGTGGCCGTAGGGGGGGGGGGTATCGTTTCCATCGCGCGGGCCTGGGGTGCGTTGAACAAAAAAATAAAGCAAACAAAAACGTGTGTGGGATCGCGAGAGCGCGGCTCTTCGCGGCGCCGAGGTGTCCAACTCTCCTCCTTCTCCTCTTCTACTGATTCTTCTTCGGCGTCTTCTTCGTGTTCTGCTGCGAACACGACAGAGTTCAAGAAGAGAATGAAAGTCAGGCCCTTGCTTCAAGGGTTGTGGAAACGCCACAGAGAGTAAGTACCGAAGTAAGTACCTCGCTGGGTGCGCGCTTTTGGTGCGTGATGTGCCTCTCGCCTTCACTGCTGACCCCCTTGTTGGCCAAGAGTTCGGCGCTTCCTTCCTTTTCTCTGATGTCATCGAGCGCTTGGAGGCTTTGGGATGTGATCGATCGCCACATGATCTTCACGATGATTGAGAACCACCAAGTCTGTGTGGAGACAGAGAACGACAACAAGGTGAGCACTCTGTCGACTCAGTGTGCGCGTGCGGGTGGTGAGGGTGCGAGCACGTACGTTGAGACAGAGAAGAATGAACAGGAGGATGTTGAAGAGTGCCCACCCGTCGGCGTTGTCATAGCCCGAAGCAATGATCCCATCGATGGCCGTCGTTCGCATCACCACGAACGGGAAATAGACCAGGCGGAAGAAGAACCTGGAGGCCAGCGAGTCACCATAATAATAATAACAATAATAATAATAAATAATAATAGAACGTTAGGCCAACACGACACTGAGCACCAAGTGGGCAGGGGCAAGATGGGCCAGCGTACCAGGAGACAGGGATCGTGCCGAAGCCGATGTAGTACACAGCCGCGGGATAGTCGACCTTACCGCCGGACTTGACGATCTTTAGGATCTGAGCCGAATACAGGAATATGTCGCACACGTCCATGCTGAACATCACCAGCATGCCGACGCGGAAGTAACTGTTACAGCGATGGTGGTGCGAGTGTCAGTGCACTGACCTGATGTAGCCATCGTCATCATCAACATCAACATCATCATCGCCAAATGCAACGAAAAAATGGTGTACCCGACGACGTAGGCACCGTAGAGGAGAGTTAGCGTCACAACGTGATGCACGATCATGACGGCGAAGTCGCTCTTCTTCGTGTCGAGGAAGAAGTGGGTGTAAACGCCATGCAAGTACCACCCGATCTGCAGTGAGTAGTAGAAGCTGATCTCATACCTGGCACACAGAAGGCACTGTCAGGCGAGTGGTGCCGCAAGGGATTAGCGCAAATTCCGCTCTGGCTTCCCATTACAGAAGTCGAGATGGCGAAGATGGCGTACTCATTGGCCTGGCGAGGGAAATTGTCGAGGAAGCTGACCATGGGGTTCCAAAACCAATCTTGCTTGAACAGGTAGGCAGCATTGTAGGACCATCCCCAAGTGTAGAAGCCCACCTGCATGATGGCCTCCTCCAGTTTGGTATAATGGGAAGCCTTGAGGTTCAGGGGCTTGCCCAATGGCTGTACCATGCACAAAATTTAACTCTATAAATTAATTTACCCATCTCAAAAAAGCGAGGATGTTGCTGCGATGAAGCGTACCTTGACGACCCAGCGGGCGACCACAAGGCGAAGGAAGGTAAAGAAGACGGCGAACCCCAGGATGCGAAGGTAGAACGCCGAATCACCATACCACGAATCGCGATGGATGATCTTGTAATAGCCATGGGGGACGACGCGTCCGGCAAAGATTTCTACTGTGGAGAGCACGTGCGGCGACGAAGCCATGATGGACCACCCCGAAGCAAGAGGAGCTCTTGCGATTTGTTGTTCTTCTACGCTGCAAACCACCGGTGGGCGGGAAAAAAGAGATGCACTTTATCTTCGGACACAGAGCGTCCTCGTGGCCTTTTCCTGCGCGCACGCGAGCAACCAGAGGTGTCCGCCACCGTCGTCAATCGTAACAACAACAACCAAAACCAGACGTCGCGGCGGCGGGACGACACGTACCCGACTCGCTCGACGCGCGGCACTCTGGCCCGCTTCGTTCATGAGCGCTGCCGCCTCGTTGTTCTTAGGCACCAATGGCGATTCGTTAGCGATTGAATCACGTGTGGTGCTGAAGTTGCACACGCAGGCCAGCACGTGAGAGTGATGTTGACGAAGCCCACCGAGTTGAAGGTGAAGTCGATATAGCTCCCATTGTTGGCGCTTTTTCTCCTAACCCAACAACTTCTGACCAGGGATTCCTTGGCATCGGGTGATGGCTCAGCCAAATCAAGGGTTCACTTGTAAACAACACTTCATCACCAACACACACTTCAGTTCCCGCCCTAAGCATACATACAAAACGACCATGTGACTTGCAAGTCCTCTCTCCAAAGTTGCCTTTTTACCACAGGCCATGGCCGCCGGTCTTCTTCAGGCGCACACCTGCCAAAGAGAACAGAACAGAACACCAGGTAAGACATCAATAACGCACGGGCCTGCGGCGCACGATGACCATCAAGCCAAGACGTACCTGCGTAGCGGACGGAGGACCTTGGGTTGCCGTTGGCGTCGAACCCGCCAGCCGCGGGAGATGCGGCAGTAGCAGGTGCCGGCTTGGGCGCAGCAGCAGCGGCCACGGGCGTCGGCTTGGGCTGCGGAGACGACCAATCACAATTCAAACCGTCAGCCTCTGTGAACGATTGGATTGTGGTGGTGGGGGGAGGGAACGTACAGCAGCCGCGACCGGCTGGGGCCGAGAGCCAGAGGCGCCGGAGCCAAGGCCGGCAGAGGGCGTGGCGCGCGAGCCCGAGGGCGAGGAGCCGAACCCACCGGTCGGGGCCGGCGAGGCGCGCGAGGTCGCCGGCGCTGAGACTACCGTGGGCGGGGTGAGGGCCTTGTTGGGCGCGATGGTGGCGCTCCGGTTCGACACGAGGGGCGACGACGGCGTGCCGTTGCTCCGCGATGCCGCAGAGGCGGCGGCGGGCGAGGCGGGCCTGGCCTGAGCGGCCGCCGGCGGTGTGAACTTGGGCGCCGCCGACGGGTTGGGGGACCTGGGCGGGCTGGCCGTCGGCGTCGGCGCCTTGATCGCCTGCACCTGGAATGTCGGCAAGAATTCAGCTCGCGTGCTTCACATGCCACATACCACATGACACGCACACGACACACGACACACGACACACGACACACAACAGAGAGCGGGACGTACTGGGGCCTTGGTGGGCGCGGGGCGGGCGGGGGCGGCCTGGGTGCGGCTGACGGGGGAGTAGGGGGCCGGCGGCGCGGCGGTGGGCGTGGCCGAGGGGTTCCATGGCGGAAGGGTCTTCATGATGGGCTTGAGGCGCCGGATGACGTCCTTGAACGAGGGACGCGCCGACGGCTCATATCCACAGCAATCTGATCGTGTGCGTGTGCGGTCAGAGCGTGTGCGTGTGCGTGTGCGTGTGCGTGTGCGTGAGCGTGTTGCGAGCGATGTCGTACCGATGGCCACCTGCGCGAACTCGGGCGGGCAGTCGGCGGGAATGAGCTTCTCGAGCTGGCTCACGTTGAGGCCGAACGCCTCCTGAGGCTTTCGCTGGAGGTGGTCGGAGATCTTGGCGCGCGTGATGAGCTCGCACAGCACGATGCCGTAGGAGAACACGTCCACCTTGTTGTCGTACTGGAAGCCCATGATCATCTCCGGCGCCATCCAGTCGTCGGTGCCGCACAGCGTCATCGGCCGGTTGGACGCATTCACCCGCGCAAAGCCCTGGGCGTAAAAAAAAAACAAAAACAAAAAAACAAGAATACATATAAATAACAAAAAATTGAATAAATTACGGAAAAACAAAAAGAAAGAAGTACGAAGTCGCAGATCTTCAGGCGCCAGTTGTCGCCGACGAGGAGGTTCTTGCTCTTCAAGTCTCTGTGGATGACGTTGCGCGAGTGAAGGTACCTGCGTGATCGATCGCGTGGTGGTCCAGAAAGAAAAACAGAGAAAGTTGAGCCGAGACACGCTTGTGCGGGGGGAGAGAGACACCAACAAGGAGAAAGAAAGAAAGAAGAAGAACGAAGAACGAAGAAACAAGAACGAAGGCACGTACGCCATGGCGCAAGCGATGTCGTGTGCAAGATTAACGCGCATGGCCCAAGGCATGCTCTGTTGTTGAGCGAAAAAGGAAAAGTTAAGAACCAATTCTTGCATGGTTGGGAGGGGATGCCATGGCGTACGATCTTCGAGTCTTTGAGGAACTTGCGCAGGTTGCCGTTGTCCACGTACTCGGTGATGATGAACAGCGCACCCTCGTGCTATGATTGATTATACACGAGCCGACCACCAATCCCAATCAGCACACATTACTTTGGGCTCACATGAAAAAGAACGAAGGCTGGTCTCGTTTTCGTTTTCGTTTTTTAGTATGGAGAAAAAAACGAAGACGAAGACGAAGACGAAAACGACGAATGAAAAACGAAGAGGGCAGAGAGAACCAACGTACCACGGCGATACCGATGAACTGGACGATGTTGGGATGGCGCATGCCCTTGAGCACGTTCACCTCGCGCTCCAGGTACAGCAGACCATCTGGGTCCTCTTCCACAATCCTGCACGCGGCGTGTAAGTACCGGGGGGCAAAAAAAGGGGACTAAAACAGAAAATAAAAATAAAAATGATGACGTCGCACTGCGCCCACCACCAGGTGGCACGAATGCTATTTTTGTTTTAATTTTAATTTTAATTGATTCATTCATTTTTGACTATAAATTTTTGACTATAATTTAATTTTGTGGTGAACTGTGTGAGAGGGGGCAGTCGAAGTAGAATGGAAGAAGAGATGAATAAAAGTGGAGAAGGGAGGAGAACAAAACAAAGAAAAAAGAGATGGAAGGAAAGTGGAAGGAGAAGTGGGGGAAAGGAGGAGCTCGCACTTTTTGATGGCGACGGGTGTGCCAAAATATTCGCCTTCGTAGACGGAACCAAAGCCGCCCTTGCCAATCTCCTTGCCAAAGTCGAGGTCCTCGTAGTTGATGTTCCACGCCTCATCGAGGTTGCTGATCAATCCTTCGTCGGCCATCTTCAGACACAATGTGAATCGATCTCAGTGTGCGCAGAACACAAAGGCCTGGCGCAGGACAACCACCCCGTGGTTGTGTTACCCCTTAATTTAAATCATCATTAATTAATCGCCGACCAATAAAGGAGTGCCACGTCGCCATTAAACTCCCTGGCTCCGCGGATTTCCTTCATTTCTTGTCGACACAGAGCTTCTCCCTCTTGCTCTTGGGCCTGCCAGTGTCCAATCCTGCGTTTATCACATTGTACGACACTCTCTCTGAAGTGTGCAAGCATGTCCAAAAGGTGCAGATAAGATATAAAACCCGCGGCGCGGCCTGACCGGCTGGGGCCTCACTCGCTTGCGCTGGCACACGATCAGGGCCACCGCGAGGCTCACCACCACGAGGCCGCCCAAGACCGCAGGCACCGCGATTGCCGCCGCCAACGCCGGCGACAACCCGCCATCGCCATCGCCATCGCCGGCGGCCGTGGTCTTGACGGTGCCGACAAACACCGTCGAGTCGTAGGTGAGCGGCCCGACGGCAAAGTAGGGGAAGCCGAAGCTGAACACCACCCGTCGCGCATCGTCGGGGTCCAGCTCGGCCGTGACGGTGATGGTGCGCTCGAGCTGGGTCGGCCCGAACAGGGCGACGCTGAAGGTGGTGACGAAGGTCACGGCGGGCAGGCCGCCGACAGTGGTGTTGGCGGCGGTGGTGGTGGTGGCCACCTCCAGCTCGGCCCCGGCCACGGAGGAGCCCGCCACTGAGGTCGAGAGCAGTTGGGCACCGTTGCCGAACACGACGCCCGGTTCTTCGGTGTTGAGCACGGCGGTCAGGTTGGGCACCGGCACCACCTCGGGCACGGACGGCGTGGAAGCCGACGGAGAGGCAGAGGGTGATCTGGAAGGCGACGTGGAGGCCGACGGTGATCCAAGGGCGACGTTGAAGCCGACAGTGATCCAGAGGGCGACGTGGAAGCCGAGGGCGAGACCGAGGGTGGTCCGGAAGGCGACGTTGAAGCCGACGGTGATCCGGAAGGCGATGTGGAAGCCGAAGGCGAGGTCGACGGTGATCCGGAAGGCGACATTGAAGCCGAGGGTGATCTGGAAGGCGACGTGGAGGCCGACGGTGATCCTGAAGGCGACGTGGAGGCCGAGGGCGATGTTGAAGCCGACGGCGATCCTAAAGGCGACGTGGAAGCCGAAGGCGAGGTCGACCGTGATCTGGAAGGCGACGTGGAGGCTGAGGGCGAGGCCGCTGGTGATGCGCAAGGCGACACCGACGGGGAGGGGGCCGCTGGAGAAGCAGCCGGAGACGACGATGGCGAGGCTGCCGGCGACTCTGCTGGTGAGGCCGACGATGAGGGCAATACCTGGAGAGAAGTTGTGTTTCGTTTTGTTTCGTTTGTGTTTCGAGAATGTAGAGGGGAAATTCGTACTCAGGGAGAAATCGCCGAGCCAGCTGAGATGGTGGTGCGGCCCAGCTGGAGCCGTGTGCAGCCATCCGCCACCTTGACCCCGGTTGCCAAGAACTCTGTTGTGCTGATGCTGAGGTCACCGTTCTGGTGCAGCGTGGCGCCCTCGCAGATCAAAACTCCTGCCATAACAGACGACGTTGGAATTGAGGTGGTTCCGTTGGAGACGTGGGGTACCTCCGCCACGGAGCTCGAGCGCCCCTTTGAGGTGAAATGGGGCGCATCGATGGCAAGCCACGGGCCACTCAACTCCAGCGCTCTGGTTGACGAAGTGACAGATAAATGGCTTAGCAGAAGACAGAATGAGCATGAATGCCGCAGCAACAGCACGTACTGAAGGGTGATGTTGTTGGTGGTGACCCGGACCTCCTGGGGGAACTGCGGGTGTTCAGCCTAGCGGCCCCCTTCAATCACGATAATGGCATCATAGGTGGCTTCTCGGAGTGCGTCAATGACCCTCGGGTACAGGCACACAGCTGCATCCGAGCACACGCGTAGGGCTCCACGCACTGAACACAGCGCACGGGGATACGACGCTGTCAGAGGAGAGTCGAGGGCCTCGTGAGGGGGAGGGGCCAAACAAACAGATAAATAACAAAAACAGACTCACCAGGCGTGCACACAATTACCACAAGGACCAGCCCAAGCAGTGCAGATAGGCCCGACTTACGTCGAGGCATCTGATCTCATAGACAAGGCTAGCCTTGTCGGCCCGGTCAATAAATCGCGGAGAGGCCATGGTCCAGACTGGTGTGCGCGCAGTGGGCACAAAGGCGGAGAAGGTCAAAAAAGGAAAATGCCATTAGCCAAATTTTTGTCGACGCTAAAAATGTATCGGAAAGTTACGATAAATTTCAGACCTCGGCAAGGAAAAAGAAAAGAAAAGTAACTCGGGAAAGGTGCCTCTGAGCAGCTGGATTTTTGTGGTAAAACATAAAAAGCCGAAAGATCATCATCAAGCAGAGGGTGGGAATCGAGCCGAAAAACACAAAATCTTCTCAGAGAGTAGTGCTACGAAATGAGCGATAATCGCAAACGCTACAGAGAAACAGGCGCGGCGCCTCTCAACTATGTAGCCGGTCTGGGTCGAGGTGCGACCGGTTTCACCACGCGATCCGACATCGGTCCCGCCCGCGTCATGCCCGCCTTCCCCGGCGCTGCACAGGGCGCCCCCGGTGCCCCCACCCCCGCCCCACCTCCCGCAGGCGGCGGCGGCCGCGGCGTCGGCGTGCCTGCGCCGACTTTGGTGCGGCGCCCGCGGGCTACGTGGCCGGCGGCGGCCGCGGTTTCGGCGGCCGCGAGTACACCGCGGCCGAGGGCGAGGAGAAGGAGCGGCTGGACTACTCCGAGTCGAGCTACGACGAGTTCGGCGGCTACAGCCACAGCATCACCGCGTCCGACCCCTACGAGCAGGACGACGAGGAGGCCGACATGCTGTGGCTCGAGGTCGACAAGCGCATGGAGGAGCGGCGCAAGCAGCGGCGCGAGGTGCGGGCGCAGGCCGAGTCGGAGCGGCTGCGGGTGGAGAAGCCCAAGCTGCAGCTGCAGTTCTCCGACCTCAAGAAGCAGCTGGCGGGCGTGTCGGTCGACGAGTGGGACGCCATACCGGACATCGGCGACCACCGCGGGCGCAAGGCGCGGCCGCAGCGCTACACGCCGGTGCCGGACTCGATCGTGCTCGACAGCGTGCGCAAGGAGCTGGACAAGTCCAACGCGCTCGACGCGCGCGAGCAGCGCTTCGGCGGCCTGGCCTCGACGCTGGCCGGCGGCGCGCAGACGCCGGCCGGCACCGTCACGGACCTGAACCAAATCGGCGCGGCGCGCAAGACGGTGCTCAACATCAAGCTGCACCAGGTCTCGGACTCGGTGAGCGGCCAGACCGTGGTCGACCCCAAAGGCTACCTGACCGATCTCAACTCGATGGTGGTGTCGACCGACGCCGAGATCGGCGACATCAAGAAGGCGCGGCTGCTGCTCAAGTCGGTCACGACGACCAATCCGGGCCACGCGCCCGGCTGGATTGCGGCGGCGCGGCTCGAGGAGGTGGCCGGCCGACTGGCCCAGGCGCGCAAGGTGGCGGCCAAGGGCTGCCAGGCGTGCCCCAAGAACCCGGACATCTGGCTCGAGGCGGCGCGGCTGCAGTCGCCCCAGAACGCCAAGGCCATATTGGCCAAGGCCGTGCGCCACATCCCGCACGCGGTCAAGGTGTGGATCCAGGCGGCCAACCTCGAGGCCGACGCGACGGCCAAGAAGCGGGTGCTGCGCAAGGCGCTCGAGTTTGTGCCGACGTCGGTCAAGCTGTGGAAGGCGGCCGTGGAGCTCGAGGAACCCGACGACGCGCGCATTTTGCTGTCGCGCGCTGTCGAGTGCGTGCCGCACTCGGTGTCGATGTGGCTCGCGCTCGCCAAGCTGGAGACCTACGAGAACGCGCGGCGCGTGCTCAACAAGGCGCGCGAGACCATTCCCACCGACGCGCGCATCTGGATCACCGCCGCCAAGCTCGAGGAGGCCAACGGCAACGAGGAGGGCGTCAAGCTGATCATCAACCGCTCGGTCAAGTCCCTCTCGGCCAACGGCGTCATCATCGACCGCGAGCAGTGGCTCAAGGAGGCCGAGGAGGCCGAGCGCTCGGGCTTCGTCAGCACGTGCCAGGCCATCGTGCGCGAAACGATCGGCATCGGCGTCGAGGAGGAGGACCGCAAGTCGACGTGGATGGACGACGCCGAGAGCTGCCTCGCGCACGGCTGCGTCCAGACCGCGCGCGCCATCTACGGTCACGCGCTGTCGCTCTTCCCCGGCAAGAAGTCGGTCTGGCTGCGCTCGGCCTACCTCGAGAAGAACCACGGCACCAAGGACTCGCTCGACGCCACGCTTAAGAAGGCGGTGGCCTACTGCCCGCAGGCCGAGATCCTGTGGCTCATGGCGGCCAAGGAGAAGTGGCTGGCCGGCGACGTCGACGCCTCGCGCACCATTCTCACCGAGGCCTTCCGGGCCAACCCCGACAGCGAGCAGATCTGGCTCGCCGCCGTCAAGCTCGAGAGCGAGAACCACGAGCAGGACCGCGCCCGGCAGCTGCTGGCCAAGGCCCGCGAGCGCGCCGGCACCGACCGCGTGTGGATGAAGTCGGCCGCGCTCGAGCGCGAGCTGGGCAACGACGCCGAGGCCCGCGCCATACTCGACGAGGCCATCAAGAAGTTCCCCCAGTTCCCCAAGCTGTGGATGATGCGCGGCCAGGTCGACGAGAAGTCCAACCCGGAGGCCGCCCGGGCCATCTACCAGCGCGGCCTCATCAACTGCCCGCAGTGCGTGCCGCTCTGGCTCTGCACGGCCGCGCTCGAGGAGCGACAGTCGGCCATGAAGGCCCGCTCGCTGCTCGAGAAGGCCCGGCTCAAGAATCCCAAGAATCAGGAGCTGTGGCTGGCCGCGATCGAGGTCGAGCTCCGCGCGGGCAACGCCAAGATCGCGCAGACCCTGCTGGCCAAGGCCATCCAGGACTGCCCCACGGGCGGGCTCCTCTGGGCGCAGGCCGTGTGGATGGAGCCGCGGCCCAAGCAGAAGTCCAAGAGCGTCGACGCGCTCAAGCGCTGCGACAACGACCCGCACGTAATTGTCGCCGTCGCCACCGTGTTCTGGCAGGACCGCAAGGTCGACAAGGCGCGCAGCTGGCTCAACCGCGCCGTGGTGCTCAACCCGGACCTGGGCGACACGTGGGCCTACTTCTACAAGTTCGAGAAGCAGCAGGGCACGGAGCAGTCGCTGGCCGAGCTCGTCGCGCGCTGCGTGCGGACCGACCCGCGCCACGGCCGGTACTGGACGCGCGTGCGGAAGGCGCCCGAGAACGCGCGGCTCAAGACCGACGAGGTGCTCAAGCTCGTCGCGGCCTCGCTGCCGCATCCGTAGTTATCCTGGTGGAGATCGTGATTCTCATTCCCCCCTTTTTGTCCACAACCAAAACAAATAACAAATAAAAATACCAAAAACAAATAAAAATAATATTATAATCAGAGTACGAAATTCGAGGTATTTCCCGAACACAGATAAGAAATAGTTAATTTAAATCAAATAATCAACATTCGATCGGGCAGAATGAGCGACTCGGTTGTGGCTGTACCTCCCTCCTCTTCCTCCTCGAGCGCGGCGGCTACGCAGGGGGCGGTGCAGACACGACTTTCTACCTCGGGCGCTGTGGTGCCCATTCGACAGCTGGGCTTCATCTCTCGCTTCACCAAATCGATCAAGAAATATCTCTTGCAGCCCTTCGTTGTGGGCTTCGCCGTGGCCCTTGGCATGAGCTTTGGTACTTGCCCTTGCTCGCACTACAATCAAATTAATCGCGAGATCTTACTCTCCATGCTTGTCCTTTTCATGTCTTCACAGGCTACTCAGCGTACGACGCCATTGTGCATCGGGTGGCTACCTTCTGGAAGAGCTAGCTTGGCATTCCACACAAATACAAACACCAGTAAATTATTGTGCCTCAATTTCTTCTTTATGATATTTTATATTCATCTGTCCAAAACAAAAACGCAAGATGGAGGTGAGTGAAGAGGCAGCCATAATCATTGACAACGGTGCGCACTCCCGCTCGCACGCTGTGCCATGCACGCACATCCTTGCCGCGTTGTCGCTCTCATTTCGCGTGCATTTGCGTTAATCGCATGCAGATCCAATTATTATCTCCACCATTTAATTGTTGCTTTGTGCAGGCTCGCACACATGCAGGGCTGGCTGGTCCACCAACCCCCAACCTCGTCGTACGCTCTCGCCCACTCTCTTAAAAGTTCACTCGTAGTGCGAGTGCTCGCGCCCGCGCCCACAACTCACTGGGCACCGTGCCGTGGCGCTGCGGTCACAACAGTCAAGTTTAGGCCCGTGGTGGGCAAGGCTCGCGCGAAGAAGGGCGGAGAGGAGGCGCTGCGCACGTATGTGGGCAACGACGTGCTGAACGCCGACATCGCCCTCAACAACCTGCGCACGCCGTTCGACTCCAGCATCGTCACTCGACTCGACGTCCAGGTGCCTCTTGCCTCTTCTTCTCCCTCTCCACAACCTCGTGCTCTCGCTCTACGTGGGCGCTGCGCTACGCCAGAGAGTCTCTTGAAGTCAAAAAAAAAGTCGAGTTGTGCTGCTGACGGCGCGTTCGTGGTTGATGGTGTCGTGCTGTTCCCCCAGGAGCAAATCTTGGACCACATCTTCACGAACCTACGGATCGATAGCGATCGCATCACCAACCCCATCGTCATGACCGAAGTCCTGTGCAACCCCAGCTACTGCAGACAACGTGCGTTGTGTGACTCTATCAACCCCGGCCTGCTGCGCTTTCACCTCTTTCTGTTCTATCAAAGCTCAACGCTCAACGCTCGATGCTTGCAATGTAATGTTGTGTATCAGAGATGTCGGAGCTCCTGTTCGAATGCTACAGGGCGCCGTCGGTGTGCTACGGCGTGGACGCGCTGTTCTCGTACTACTACAACAAGAAGCGCCTGCCGTTGGAGGGGCGCGACGGGTTGATCATCGCCAGCGGCAACCTCGCGACGCACCACCTCCTCATCGCCGACGACAAGCTCAACGGATCGGCAGTCAAACGGTTCCACCACCACCACCGCACACGCACACGCCGTACACGCACACGCGTGCTGACGTGGTTTGGCTACACTACGCAGAATTCCTCTTGGCGGCGGGCGAGCGACCGACTTTCTGCAGCAGGTGCTGCAGCTCAAGTACCCCTACGAGAAGACGCTGTTCGCCACCCCTCGAGTAGAGGTTCACCCCCTCCCCCCTCCCTCCCTCCCCCCCCCATCAAACCGCACCTCGGCTCCACTTCCTCTACGCCCCCCTTTTTTGTCGACGAGCTGGCTGCGGCTGTGTGCGTGTCTGGGCAGCACTCACTGATGGCGTGTGACTCGGACCGCTGCTTGCAAGCAGCAAATGAAAGAGCAGCACTGCTACGTGGCGTTGGACTACCTGGAGGAACTGCGGCTCTTTCACTACGACCGGGACTTCACAAACCGGCAGATGCGGACCGTATATATTGACCCCCCCCTTCTCGTTCGTTGCTGTGGTGTACCGTTTCTCTTAGAGTCGTTTCCCCCCCCCAACCTCTCATTGTGCGTTTCGTGCGCGTTGTGTTGAATGGACGCAGGTTGCGCTGCCCACCAGCGGACCAGCGCCGATCGAAAAGGTCATCTCCGAGGAGGAGCAACAAAGGAGAACGCAGGCCAGGAGGGAGCAAGGCCTGCGGCTCAAGGCGATGGCCGAAAATCGGAGAAAAGAAAAGGTTGGCCAGCCCTCTCACGCATGTGGCGTGTGCGCTTACGCACGCGCCACATAGGACTCACATCAGTCGACGTGTGCGTGTGCGTGTCGTGTTGGCGCACGTGTAGAGAAAGATGCAAGAGGAGGAGCTGAAGGAGCTCAAGGCCACCAAAGCGCTCAAGGAGACCGACCCAAAGAAATATGAGGTGTGCCCTTACCTCTGTCCCCTCCTCCATGCCATGGAAGGCTCATCCCGCCCCCTTGCGTCGACGCGCCAAAACAGAAACGGCTTAAAGTGCTGCGGCTGGACGAGGCCCAGCTGAGCAAGACCATCACAGAGCTCACCAAGTCACTGCAGCCCAAGGAAAGGAAGAAGCGAGACGACGCCAAGGTAACGCCCTTGCTGGTGTGTGCATTGGTGGCAGCCGTGGTGCTAACCTGTGAGAGTGGTGTGTGTGTGTGTGTGTGTGTTGAGTAGGAGCGCAAATGGAGAGAAGAGGAAGACGAGCGATTGAAAGACCCGGAGGGCTGGGCTTCGCAGCTGCGCGACCGCCGTGCAGCGCTGTTGGCCGCGATCGAGGGCCGGCGGAGGCGCAAGGAGGTGGAGGGCGGCCGACGCGGCACGGCCTCGGCCAAGCGGATGCGCGCGCTGGCTTCGGCGGCCTTCGACCGAAAGGGCCGAGCGCGAGACGACGACGGTGACGCCTCCTTCGGCGCCAAGGACTCAGACTGGAACGTCTATCGCACCATGGTAAGTACCCAGCGGCGTGTGTTGCGGTGTGCGCCTGCCGTGCTGTGTCCCGTGTCTCGTGTGTGTGCGTGTGTGCGTGTGTCGTGTGTCGTGGCCGACCAAGAAGCACGTTGCGTCGTGTTGTCAGGCTGGCGACGAGGAAGACGAGGAAGAGGCCAAGGAAAACGAAGAGGTGAAGAAGATCGAGAAGATGTTGGAACGGCACGGGGAGTCGATCAAGGCGCCCTCCGTGACCATCAAGAATCCTCTCTTCGACCTGAGCACCTTCTTCATGGCCACTGAGCGCGTGCGCGTCCCCGAAATCTTCTTTCAGGTACGTCGCACGTTGGCGTGTGCGGTGTTGCGTGTGCGTGCGCTGATCATTACTCACACCTCTCATCATCGCCCTCATCGTCATCAACACACACACAGCCTTCGATTGTGGGTGTCGACTGTATGGGCGTGAGCGAGCTGAGTAACTACATGCTCAATAGACTCCCCGAGCCACAGCAGAGCTCCGTGGCACAGGTACGCTCATGCCTCCGGATAGCGGCACATGGCACTAACCGATCTGTCCAACGCACACACACACGACACGACACACACATATTACACACACGACACACACGACACACACATACAGAACATTTTCCTTACCGGCGGCAACGTGCTGTTCCCCAACTTCAAGGAGAGGCTCGAACGCGACCTCCTGGCATCTCGGCCCTACGGCTCCAGCTTTGCCGTCAGCCTGGTACGCCCTCCCGCCCTCTTTTCGCTTCCACTGCTATCACTCACGCACACGCACACCCCACGCCGCACATCGCACACGAAGGCCGCGGACCCTTTGTTGGACGCCTGGCGGGGCATGGCGGCGTGGTCGGCCGCGCCCCAGTTCCAGCAGTCGGTCATCACGCGCGCGCTCTACGACGAGCACGGCCCGCAGTACTTGGCCCAGCACATGGCCTCCAACTTTTACTTCGTGCCCTCCTCTGAAGCTGCTACCGCCGACGAGTGAATGAACGTGTGCATCATACCCCTCTGCTTGTCCAACATCTTCATCCACCACTACTCGCTCCTTGGGGGGGGAGTATTTCTTAGTATTTGCTTCATCGTGTGGATGGCCTTTGATGCCCCCCCCCCTCTACATGAGAAAGACCTCAGAAGGCGTACTACAGCATGTTTGTAGTGTGGCTGAAAGAGGAAGAGAGAAAGAAGATGGAAGAAGATGAGAGGACGCGGATGGAGGAGTGCATCGCGGGGAGCTTGGTGGGGCTGGCGGTGGGCGATGCGCTGGGCGCTCCCGTGGAAGGCAGGAGCGGCGACGAGGTGGCCATCATCCTCACCGGCGGCCACGCACCGCTGCGGCCTGCCATGGCCGTGGACCACTGGGACGAGCACTGCGTGCGCGCAGCCTGCGATGCCAAGAAGGCCCACCCCCACGGCGAGGAAGGTGGTGCCCCACTGCTTCTATTTATTTGTTTTTGTGCTTTCCGTTCTTTCTTTTTATTTGTTGATTTTATATTTATTATATTTATGTTTCTGGAATGTGAGAAAAGGTGTGGAATGCGGGTGGGACTACAGGCCCAACATGTACGGGGTGCAGGGCATCTACACCGATGATACCCAGTACTGCCTGTGCGGCCTCCAGTCCATCTTCGAGACCGGCCACTTCGACCCACAGCGCACCACCGAGGGTGCGTGCACTCTCCACACAGACTTCCCTTCATTGTTTCTTCCTTCATTTTTTGCCAACCGACTTCGATGGTGCAGTGTTCAGCCGCCTGCGCATGTCCAAGGGCTCGGTCACAGGGAAAAGCTTCGGTCTGTTTCGCGGCACGGGCCAATCCGGGAGGTGCGCTGGCGTTGGACACTCTTGCGCCCACCAGACTAGGGTTCTGATTCTCAAACGGCAGGAAAGCGATAACGAGGATGGTCAACGGAGAAGACTGGCACGCGACTGGCCAGTTCACTGCCGGTACCCCAAGCTCTCCGCGTGTGCGCCGATTGGACAGTTTTAAATCTGTTAAATTGATTTGTTGATGTTGGTTACAAGGTAACGGAGCGGCCATGCGCGTCGGCCCACTGGGCGCGTTCTACTACGCCGACATCGACAAGCTGCTGGTCAACACCATCGAGTCGTGCCTGCTTACCACTCGCGACCCACGGTTCGCCTTCTTCTCGCTCGTTTCTGCAGTTGACCCGCGCCGGCTGACATGCACCGGGCCGCAGGGGCATCGCCGCTGGGCTGGCCATCGCCATTGCCTGCGCCTTCTTCGTCGGGCGTGCTGCTGGCCAATCCCATGTTGTCGACAAGCCATTAGCAACGCGCAGTTCAGACATAGACAGCCACGGCTCTGACGACAGCGACGCCGATGACGATAGTGACGACGATGAAGACAATGACGACGATGACGATTTCGATGCGAAGCAATTCATCGGGTTCGTGGCGGAGCACTGTCGCCGCGGGGAGGCGCTGATGCTGGAGAACTATGGGCGCCACCTGCTGTTCCCGGCCAAGACGGAGCTTGACACATCGGCATCGGGGTCGACCGCCCACAAGCAGCAGCCCCCGGCGAGGCGCGGCGGTGGGAAGGGGAAGGTGAAGAAGGGCCGGCAGCGGGAGATGGAGCGCGGGAAGCGGGCCAAGGGCGAGAAGAGACGACCACCGGCCAAAGACACGTTGCTCACCAACAAGCCACACGACCACCGCTCACCTGATCTCGAGTGTATGCTCTCTCCTCTCATCGCCGTGCGTGTCGTGCGTGTCGTGTCGTGTCGTGTCGTGCGTGTCGTGCGTGTCCTGCCTCGTGTCATGTGTAATCGAGTGCGATTGATGTAATCTGTGGTTCCAGGCGTACATCAGTTCTCTCAGGCGGTGAAGCAACTGGCGAGCCTCGTCAACAGGAGCCTTGATCGGGCGGGGATCGACATCATGAAGAGGGTCTACTGGCCCGTCGTTCTCCTTTTAGTGAACACCTTTTCTAATCTGCTTCGGCACATTGTTGTTGTGTGTCAACACAGGCCCAGAAGCTGAGCAGCCGGAAGGTGACCCACCCGTGCCAGGGCTTCGCCTTCTGCTCCGTCCTGATGTCGCTCCTCGCTGTGGCATCGGCGTCGTCCTTTGAGGAGGCCGTGGTGGCCGCCATCTCCATGGGCGGAGACTGCGACACGTACGCCGTCCGTCTACCATACCACCACGCGCAGGTGTGTGGATTCATAATTGTTGTTGTTGTTCGCAGGGTCGGCGCCATGGTGGGCACGATGGGCGGGTCGCGCTGGGGGCTCTCAGCCATCCCCAAGCGATGGGTACGCTCCACGCTCGATTGATCTCGCATCTCTACACGCTCACGACACGACGCGACGCGACACACGACAGAGGAAGGGGGTGGCGAACTCGGAGGCTCTGCAGGCTCGCGGTCTGCACTTGGGCCAGCTGGCCACCGGCAGACTAAGCGTACAGCCAATCGAGGAGGAGGAGGACCTGAGCGCGCCGATAGGCGAACAATGCCACGTCGACGAATCATCAAGCAACAGCGAAGAGGACGAAGACAGCGACCACGAGCTGGACGCGATCAGAAGAGAAGAGAATGGTGGCAGGAGCGAAGACGAAGAGGATGCGGGGCGAGGGTCCAACAAGGCAGCAGTGACGTGTTGCTGCCCGCACCACTCCCTGGCCCAGCTGGTGGAGATGGAGCGCAACCCGACCTGGCGCGTTCACGAATGAAACCTCCTCCGCCAATCTCTGCCGCACGACGTGCTTGTACCGCTGACAAGTTTGAAGTCTGCCGCGTCATGATGATCCACCCAGGTTCATGTCGTCTTCTTCTGTTTATCTTTCTTAATATTACCGGCCAATCACAGCTGGTTGCACAATCAGTGTGTCGACACTTAACCTGGTGTTGGGCTCTGCGTGTCTTGTTGGTTGTTTGGGCCATTGCTCGCACCACCCGTCCACCACAAAGATGTCGAGGATTTATCTGTGGGCACTGGCAGCGATCTTCGCCCTGCTGGCCTTTGGTGCCGGCCCTTCTGCCGCCCAAGCCCCCGGCTTCAAGGTCACCCTCACCCAGAACGGTACCCTTCTTTTGTTATCTTTGTTGTTTATTACAATAAATGTAATACAATACAAAAATATATTATTAAAATAATACAAATAAGTGTTGTACCTTTGGCCATTGAGTTCGATTGTAAAAGAATGTGCGACTGTGCAGGATTGAACTATGCGAGGCAGGTCGCGGTCGACTTCCTGCAGAAGGCCTTCCAGTCGGTGAGCCTGCCCGCGCAGGCCGGCATCGCCCACGCGCCCGTGCTGGGCAAGGTCTTCTGGGAGCTGCAGGACATCCAGCTGTCGGGCCTCAGCCTGCCCGACTCGGCCATCACCATTGTGCCCGGCCGAGGTGTCAACATTGCCATGTGCGTTGCATACACAACTTTAAGGTTTTGAACTTTAACATTTGTAAATAACATAGTGACGATGATCAACAGCGAGGGCGCGTCGTTGGGCATCACCATGAACTTCTTCTACCGCGAGTTACACTGGTATGAGACTACATGCTGTGTTGCAATGCAATATTTAAATATTCATAATTCCCGGTTGCGACGATTGGACAGGCCGCACATGAGGGGCCGCGGTTGGCTGATCATCGACGTCATCGGCTCGTTCATCAACGTGGGCATCGATGTGGGCGAGGCCGGGGGAAAGCCCACCCTTGCCGCCTCCTCGTCGAGCTGTGAGATCGGCAAGCTGCTCATCAAAGAGCACGGCGGTCCTAGGCACTAAACCCCCCCCCCAAACAAAGGACCCGCTTCTTCGTCGCTAAACAATCTCTATCTCTTCTCAGCTGGCTCTACAACTTTTTCTTCAACGTCTTGCACGGTCTGATCAAGAAGTCCGCCGAAGATGCCATCGCCACCGGCATCACCAAGCTTCTCGACAGCGTACGCCTTATATGACTGATTGTTATTATTATTTATTTAATTATTATTATTTATTATTCGTTGTTTGCCTTATTGGGTGGTTTGTGTATGTTTGTTGGCGCAGGGGGCGAACGCGGCGTTGAGCACTATCCCGTTCGTCGAGAAGTTCGGGGACGTGGCCCAGGTCGACTTCTCGCTCGTGTCGGCGCCCACCTTCGGCGGCAACTACCTCACCCTCAACTCCAAGGGCGAGTTCACCTCCCAAGCCCACCCCGTGGTACGCCGCACTCAAGCTCAGGACTTTGAAGAATGAGGGCGCCCGCTCACCGTCCAGTTCCTGGATCGATTGGCTCGCGCTTGGGATTCCTAGAACCCGCCGTATCAGCCGGGCGCGATGCCCGACGAGGTGACGGGGCAGATGATGCAGATCATGCTGAGCCAGTACGTTGGCAACTCGGCCGGCTATGTATTCCAGCAGGCCGGCAAACTCCACGGCTTCCTCTATGACAAGGTACCCCACAACACGCTTTTTTCAGCTTTCGCCAGCGCTCATGCCACAACGCCAGGATCTGCCGTCGTGGTCGCCTATTCGCCTCAACACGAACAGCTGGGCCCGTGCGTCCTCTCTTCTGATGAAGACAAGACTGGTGGTGGCGTGACTGACGGAAGGTCGGGTGCGCGCACTGCTGCAGACATCATACCGGGCCTGACGCAGAAGTACCCCAACCACGAGATGGAGGCCGAGCTGGTGGCCTCGGCCCCGCCCTCGGCCTCCTTCTCACCCAGCGGGATCGTGATCAACGGCCCCGGCCAGATCGTCGTGTCCGTCATTCCCCCGAGCGGCCAACCCGTCCCCGTCTTCGCGATCAACATCGCCTTCTCCGCCAGCGCCTCGGTACCGACTCTCCAACGTAGTGCTATCATTATCATTATTGATATTTAAAAAATGGTGAATACTGATTGGCGGATGCCACCCACTCACAGGTGACCGTGCGAGGCGGTAGGATCTATTCCACCATCAGTTACCTCAACTCGCCACTATCGCAGGCTGTACGTCTTCTTCCTACATCTTCTCATGAAACCATGCGGTGGGGCTGACGGTGATGTTTGGTCGTTGGTGTGCCGGGCCAAGTGGTCGAATGTGGGGCCGATCGCGCTGTCGCTGCTGGACGGCATCATCCGCACCCTGTCCACGGACGTCATCGTGCCGTTCGTCAACTACTACCTTTCGCACGGGGTCAACATCCCCATCATCGAGGGCGTCCAGCTCGTCAACCCGAGCATCCACTACGGCCAGGGCTACCTCGCCATCTCCACCGACATCAGCTACACCGTGTAATCAGCCCGTTGAGCGCTCAAACCCCTGGCCACGGTGATTTGGTTGAACAAATTTAAGGAGGCGACGCACGTCGGCGCGGTTTTCTCCGCGGCAACTGGCCAGATTTTATTCCATTTGGTTCCACCATGAATTCCTGTCACTTTGTGGCGACCAGGGCAGCCTTGAACGTTCATCCTGTACACTCCTCACACGAACCTCCACCTTTTATTTGTTCATTTATTTATTTAGTCTAAACAACAGAACACACAACACAGCACAGCACGATGGCACGTACCCACACACTCAGCATTGGCACGGCGCTGCTGCTCCTGCTGGGCATCTTGACGCTGGTAAGTGCCCTGGACATGGACATGGACATGGACATGACGGCGATGGAGCGGATGAAGCGGGCCGCGGGCAAGAAGGTGGAATGCGAGATGGAGGGCGATTCGGTGGTGTGCAACGGCACCACCTACTCGGAGGCCGAGGAGGACGACTTCCCCACCCCGCGGTTCTGGGTCGATCTAGCCGTGAGCGCCGGCTTAGTCTGCCTCGCCGGCCTCATGTCGGGCCTCACCATGGGCCTCATGTCCATCGACTTCCTCAACCTCCAAATCCTTGCCAATGGCGGCGGCACCAAACAAGAACAGATCTACGGTACGCCTGCTATTATTTTATATATATATTATTTATTTTATTGTGTTGTCATTCGAATTATTGGGATTTATTGGTTTAATTGTTTTATTTTTTATTATTTTTATGATTTACAGCCAATAGGATCATCCCGCTGGTGAAGCGTCATCACCTTTTGCTGGTGACTCTCCTGGTGGCCAATGCGGCGGCAATGGAGGCTCTGCCGCTCTTCGTGGACCGAATCGTCGGTACTGTGGGCGCCATCCTCATCTCCGTGACCGCCGTCTTGCTCTTTGGCGAGTACGCTCGCCCACACGCCACACGACACGACACGACACGACACGACACGACACCACACGCGTGGAATGCACAGCCTGATGATGATGCGTGTGTTGTTGTTGTATGAAGGATCATTCCCCAGGCCATCTGCACGCGCTACGGTCTGGCCATTGGCGCCAATCTCGCCTGGCTGGTGTGGATCATCATCATCCTTCTCTTCCCCATCTCGTGGCCCATCAGCCTGCTGCTCGACTTCCTTCTCGGCGGCGAGCAGGGCACCTTCTTCCGTAGAGCACGTACGTCCTGCAATTTTGTATGATCATTTATTTTTTTCTGCTCCGCAGAGATATTGACACTTAAATGTTGTAAAAATTTTGATTTTGTGCAGAGTTGAAGGAGCTGGTGAGCCTCCACGGCGAACAGGGACCCGACCAGGAGGCGGGCGACTTGCTGGCCGCCGGCGGCGAGCTGGGCGCCACGCTGACCAAGGACGAGGTGACGATCATCAAGGGCGCTCTCGACCTCTCGAGCAAGATCGTCAAGGACACCATGACGCCCATCGACAAGGTCTTCATGCTCGACATCAAGGACCGCCTCACCGAACAGAAGCTGGACCAGGTACCACGCCGCCCGCTCGCGCACCTACTTTTAGCGCTGGGCGGTACTGACGGCGGGGAGCAGATTCTCCAGACTGGGCACAGTCGCGTGCCGGTCTACCGAGGGGGCAAGACCAACGTGGTCGGCATGATCATCGTCAAGAAGCTCATCAAGCTCAACCCCGAGCGAGCCACGCCCGTATCGGTGCGGCACTGCCGAGCCTGATCTTTGATGCGTTGGAGAGCGATTGCTGACTCTCATCACACATCCTGAGCAGGACGTGGAATTGGTCAGGTTGCCCACCGTGAGCGAAGACACGGAGCTCTACCCTCTTCTCAATCTCTTCCGGCGCGGTCACAGTACGCTTCTTTCTCTCCGACACACACTCTCACTCCCCGGCGTTGCTTTGCGCCAGCGCTCTGGGATCACGGACTGTCGCTCTTGCGAGTGCGAGGCCTTTCTTCGAAGCGTACTTACGGCGCTAACTCGCTCGTGTTGCGTCGTCGCAGGTCATATGGCTTTGGTGGTCGACGCGGTGGACCACGTCACCATCCGGGGCATCATCACGCTGGAGGACGTCTTCGAGGAACTCATCCAGGAGGAGATCCGGGACGAGACTGGTAAGTTGGCCAACTCCTCACCCACACAAGACTCCGGGCGTGAGCGGTGCGACGATGAGTCCGGCCTAACATCGCGCACCCCCCTGGTCTATCTTTGCCTTGTGTGTGTGTCGTGTGTGCGACGCAGACGCTATCAGGGGCATTGCAAAGGAGATGATGGCGCGTCAGGAGTCGCTCTCGCTCATGCGCGGCCAATCGGTGATGAACATGCCTCGAACCATCGCCTATCCCATGTAATCCGCTCCACGGAAGCTGCTGAACTCAGGCCTCAGGACAAGCTCTCCTTCCGCCTCGTTCCTCTGATTGCCTCTTGCACTCTCGCCCTGTGGAATTCCACGAGGCATGTTGGGCACCCACAAGTTCGGCATTCCAAAGAAGTACCTTAAAAATTTAAACATTTCCTGTCATTTGTCATATTAATAGTTAAAATTCCATATATTCTGGTTAGTACATCAAGAATTCCAAGAATCAGGGAATGCGGCTTTGCGGCTTTCATCTCCCAGTTGCCCTTGCCCAGCTCTCCTTGACACCAATACTTGAAGTACTATCGGACCGTTGCGTTGCTGTTTCTTCTTCGACTTCTTGTATGGAGAAGGATTGCTCGAGCAAGGAGGAGAGAAGAGGAGCCACTCCGCCAACGCACCGCAATCGGAACGACGACACGACTCCAATCCAACCACAACAACATTCAACACCGCCCCTGAGAATGTCTGCCGATGTGGAGGAGAGACGAATGGCGCCCCAGAATGCAATCGGTGAGGAGGTGCTCGAAGTGCGCAAGCCTTCGCTCACCCGGAGGATGTCGATGGAGAAGCGGGTGGTGCGACGCGGCAGCTCGCACATCTTAATCGACGTACTAAGTGATTCGGTAGAAGTGGAAGAGATTCACGACATTACGTCTTCGAACGACCACAGTGCCACCTCGCCTCGCTTCTCTGCCTCTTCTTCTTCGATCGCCCCTTCATCATCGGTGAAAGATCACAACAGCCTCCTGGCAGAACCGAACAGGCCTGCCCATCTCGACAAGCATCGAATCACCATCGCCGCCGTGTCGCCGCGTCTCAGGCGAAGGCCTATGAACGACAAGGCTGCAGCACGCAAATCATCGATGCCCGATGGAGGAGGGAAGCAATCGAGTAGCGAGCCATCATCCGAACCACCGGCCTCCTCGTACTACGAGCCGCAGCTGCGTTGTGGGGTCTACAGTATGCAGGGCCGCAGGAAGGCCATGGAAGATGCTCATACGATCGATCTCGGCAGCGGTAGCGGCTCCTACGCGCCGCGTTCGGCGGGCGCCTCTGCCTCTTCATCAGATGGCAGCGGCGGCAACGACGCCAAGGAGTCCAAGCCCGACCACGGCCACCCCTCGAGGGCCGGCGTCGCGGACGAGCTCTCAAACGCCCTCAACATGCCCTCCTCCCCCGACGGCCTCTGCGCCTTCTTTGGCGTCTACGACGGTGCGCACCTCCTGCCTGTTTTATTTATTGCGAATTTCTTTTTCTTTTTATTCTTTCTTTATTATTATTCCTTTATTCCCTTCATGTCTTCACATTCCACGCGACGGGTGTTGGCGTTGCTCACTCACGAGCGTGCAGGACACGGTGGCAAGCGCGCATCGGACTTTGCGTCGACGATCCTGCACCATCACATCCTGACCAACGACCACTTCCATACCGACCTCAAGCTGGCCATCCGCGAGGGCTTCCAGCGGACGGAGCAGGAGTTCCTGGACATTGCGCGAAAGGACAACATGGGCGACGGCACCACCGCGCTCATCGCCTTCATCAAACGCGCCCGGCTCTACATCGGCAACATCGGCGACAGCGAGGCCGTGCTGTCACGCAACGGCACCGCCATCCCGCTCACCACCGTACACAACCCCGGCAAGAATCCAACGTACGCTCGCCCGTGCAAACGAGAAGCGTTTCGCTGCTTCGTGTTATCGGTGATTGACCGATTGCGTGACGCTGGTGGTTGGTGCAGTGAGATCGAGCGTGTGAAGCGCGAGGGCGGCAAGCTGTACCACGACACGCGGCTGGCGCACCCCAACCTAAACCCGTCATTTTTCAACCTGGGCGTGTCCCGGTCAATGTACGCACACGCCCTTCGCTTTGCTTTTCGCTTTCGTTCTCTTCATCGTCGTCGTCTTGGCCTAACACGTTCGTTCTCGGTTATTCCCTCAACAGTGGCGATCTGCTCTTCAAGCACCCCGACTTCACCAAGGGCAAGCCGTCCGGTCTGACGGCCGAGCCCGACGTGGTAGACGTCGCCCTCGAAAAGACCGACCAGTTCATCATTCTTGCTTGCGACGGTACAGCCAGACTCGCTCACGTCTCTTCGTTCATTCCTTGCGTTGCGCTCAGACCGTGACAATTACAATTTTCTCGTCCGTGTGGCACACAAACAATCGCAGGTCTCTGGGACGTGATGGACCACCAGCAGGCAGTCGATTTTGTGCGCGAAGCCTTGAAGCAGGACGACGACCCGCAAGTGGCCAGCAAGGCGCTTGGCGAGGAGGCCTACAAGAAGGGCAGCCAGGACAACATCACCGGTAACCACGCACGCACGCACGCACGCACGCACGAGCTTACTTGGTCTCTTGGCAGTTGTCGTGTGTACACTGAAGGAGGACCTCGGCGAGGGGAGCGACGAGGTGGAGGAGCGGGAGCAACGAGGCAGCGACGAGGTGGAGGAAGTGCGCGTCGTGCGCGCCGAGCTCAAGGAAGACGTGCCCTGGTGAGTGGTAGCTTCATCGGTGGGCCGCCCTGGTTTGCCCCCTTTTATGTACATAGTGGTCATGTTGCAACAGTAAGATAGAGAGTGCTACCATAACGTGTCGATGTCGTCGTCATCGCCATCGGTCAGCGCGTCGTCATCGGCCGTGGCGCTGTTCTGCGTCTCCCCTCCTTCGCCATCATCGGTCGGCGCCTGGTGCCTGCTGATGTTCACCACCATGATCTCCTCGTCGCGGTAGGTGGCGTCCAGGTCCTCCTCCCGCACCTTGCGCGCGACAAAGGAGAACTCCTGGAGCGTGCGTGCGAACACCTGCCTGCTCTCGTGGTCGTGTCGCTTGATGGCCAGCACGATCTGCGTGTCGGCGGCAGCGAGCAGGTGCAGCCTGGATTCATGGTTGGTGGTCAGTCAACAGCTTCTGTCGCACGAAGCTCATGTGTGTCGTGTGTGTTCAAAGTACGTTTTGATCAGCGGGCGCATGAACCGATAGTCGTAGACGACGTCGCTGCCCAGGATCATGTCCCACCGGCCCTGGCCAGCTTCGCCCATAGTCGACGGCTCGGTCCCCCTGAGCTCAGTGAGTCGAGGTCGTTGGTGGTCAGGCTTTGCTTTTTCATTTCTTTTCTTCCTGGGCTTGTCTTGGTCGGGTGGTGATACCAGCTGTAGTGGGCGACCGCGGCGCGTTGGCGCAGCTCTGCGGGCACGTTGTCGTCGATGTTCTGCTGCAGCTGGTCAAGCGCGTAGACGTCCGTCATCACCACCTCGGCGCCCATCAGCACTAGGGCAGCACACGCAGACACAATCATACCCCACACACGCACACGCACACGCACTCGCACACACACACACACACACCAGTGAGTGTGTATTGAGGGTGAGCTCGCGGTGGGCTACGGGCGTGGGCGATGGTACATACCAGCGGCGATGCCGACCAGGCCGCAGCCGCTGCCGAGCTCGATGATGCGACGGCCGGCCAGCCCGTCGGGGTGGTACTGGCGCTCCAGGTACTTGGCCAACACGAGACTGCTGTCCCACAGCGTGCCCCCCACCGTGCCGGGCGACGTGACTGGGGGCAGAACCAGGCGCAAAGGTCAGACAAAAATTCCCCTCACCACCCCCAAAGTGTTCGCGTAGGGGCAAACGTACCTCGGCTCTGCCGAATGGTGATGGGGCGGCTAGCAATCTCCCAGTGGAACGCAGCGTTGTAGCGCTCCTCGTCCGTCTTCCACTCTCGACGCCACGCCCCCTGCTCCATCGCAGGCCTGCTTCGGTTCCAGCAATAAAAATAAAATAAGAAACCATAATGAAGGGAAGAAAAGAAATGAAAAGGGAATACACTTTTCCTTGGGTCCATTGATTTTTTTCATCCACGAGAAGATGGCGCACCACGGCGAGAAGCCCGAGCAGAGCCTTGAGGACATGGAGGCTGAGCTCTCCCAGCCCAGGGGTACACTTTGTTCTTATATTGCTTTTTAAATCGGTTCCTCGCCGTGGACTTCGACCAGATGTCGCCAAATGCCCCCCCCCCGGTTAGAGTGTCAATTGAGGCCGGGATTTATACAAGTGGATCGCTCGCTTTGAATTTTCAGTAAATCACCACGGCCATCACTAATCTTGTGCCCATTTTTCTACGTGTCTAGAAATGTTGATCTCCGAGGAGGAGATGGACGCGGAGCGGTTGCCCATCGGCTACCGGGACTACTGCGCCCACCTGCTGGTGCCGCTCAACCGCTGCAGGCAGGAGTGCTTCTACCTCCCCTGGAAGTGCACCCACGAGCGTCACGTCTACGAAGGCTGCCAGTACGAAGAGTACGCGCCCCTACTTCCATCTCTCGAGCTTCCATCTTCATGAATCCAAACACTGCACTCGTGGAGCTTGAGTCTTCTTTCGTGCCATGTTCGGCCAAGCCTGGCTTTGTAGAGACCAACAGTAGCTGATGGCGTTTGCCCTTTTCCTCTGTTGGATGGCTGGTGCAGGTACAAGAGGAGGAAGAAGTGGATGCTCATCGAAAAGGAGAAGCTCAAGAGGGCGCAGGAGAAGCAGGCGTAGGGGTCTGCCCGCATCGACGTCTTGGCCTGCGCTAGACCCACTTTCGACTGTGGTGTGAAGCACAGCCAGTGGGCGCACGCACGTGTGATCCTCTACACAGTGTTTGTTGAATAGACCTCGAGATCATCAGTTTCAGGGTCTTCGCGTTGCGCTCCTTCGTTGGACCCCTTTAACTCTCTGTGTGAAGCACACAGCCAGAAGTCGCACACGCACTCGCCACCGCACACAACACACGCGCATTCCCGACATACCGCACACGCAACAAAACCAACGAAAAATAAAAATAAACAAAGAAATAGTAATCGAAGAACGGAAACAAGCTGGTTCCCAGAGCAGCAGTTGTCGCACCAACTGGGTACGTAGAGCGAAGCATTGTTTTACACGCACACGCCACCATCCACATCAAACCTCAGCGGCTGCAGCACTCCAACCCAAATTTTGTACAAATTAATTCATATTTATAATTTTCATTCCATTTGCACAATCGTAGAGAGAGGCAGGAGTGACAACGATCGATAGGATGGAGAAGATGAACACGAATGCGGCAGTGAGCTCGCGTACGGCGGCACGACGCGCGAGGGCGGTGGCTCGGCATATGGGCCTGGTCACGGAGAGCATGAGCGGTCTGGCCGTCAACAACGCGGCCAAGACCAAGGAGGTGGATCAGGAAAAGCTCCGGCTCAAGAAGGAGCAGCGCAAGCAGCGACGCGAGGAGGAACGGCGTCAGCTGGGCGAGGAGCGCGTAGAGGTCTTCAACGTCGACGTACCGCTCCCTCCACTCCTCATCGTTATGCGCCGTGCTAATGCAACACACACACACACGATCGCACACGCACACGCACGACCGCACACGCACACAGGTGATGGCGGAATATGTGCTGGGCAGCAAGTACCGGGCGCAGCGGCGTACGGTGACGGAGAGCGTGAAGGCCAACGCCGAGCTGTTCCCCTACAACTTTGAGCTCAGCAAGGAGGACCAGCGAGAGCGCGTTCTGCAGCAGGTGCGTAACCTAACCACACACGCACATATCACCGCACACGCGTGCGTTCGCTCATACCACGTGGCCACACAGGTGAGGTGGATCGCCGCCAAAGGTTGGGCGTCGTTGGATATGCTCAAGTACGTCTTCGGACCCTCGGCTCGGTTTGGTGTTGTTGTTGTTGTTGTTGTTGTTGTTGTTGTTGTTGTTGTTGTTGTTGTTGGAAGGCGGTGGCTCACGTTGTGTGTGTGTGTGTGTGTGTGTGTGTGTGTGTGTGTGTGTGTGTGGTGTGTGTGTGTGTGTGGTGCGGCCTCACAGGGAGGACCCCACCATGTATTGCAATTCGCTGGAGCCGTTTATCGGCTACGACGGCTCCATCGCCATCAAGGCAGGCGTGCATTTCCTGGTATGGACCGCGACACACGCACCACCGCACACGCACACGCACACGCACACGCACCACCGCACATGCATGCAAAACATAGCTCACCGTTGGCTGGGCTCCAGTTGTTTGGTGGATCGGTGGTCAATCTGGGCACGGAGAGGCACCAGAAGTGGTATGACGCCACCAACAACCTGGCCGAGGTAAGTCACGTCGCGCTTCCATCATGTGACGCTCGGCCCTGATCCTCAACCAATCTCTCTCTCTCTCGGTCTCTGTCGCGTGTGTGCGTGTGTGCCTGTGCGTGTCGTGTGTCGACACAGGGCGGTTGCTTTGCCATGACCGAGCTGGGCCACGGCTCCAACGTGCAGGGCATCGGCACCACGGCCGTCTACGACAAGGCCACCGGCGAGTTCGTCATCAACACGCCCACCGACGTCGACCGCAAATGGTGGATCGGACATGCCGGTAGGCCTTCGTTCTCACGCACCGCACCGGCGCGATCTAATCTCTTACATCGCTCCCGTGTCACAGCGCACGCCAAGAACGCGGTGGTGTTCGCCCAGTTGAACGTGGACGGCCAGGAGCACGGCGTGCACGCCTTCGTCGTGCCTCTGCGCCCGCGCGACAGCAACGCGACCTATCCCGGCATCCTCATCGGCGACTGCGGTCACAAAATGGTTCGCGTCGCCGCCTTCGTCGTCGGCCAGCTGCAATTTCCCCGAGCTCACCTTTTCCTTCTATTTCTCTTTCTTTCTTTCTTGTGCACGCGACAGGGCCTCAACGGAGTGGACAACGGGTGGATGAAGTTCACTAACGTGCGCGTCCCGCGCGAGAACCTGCTCAACCGCTTCGCCGACGTGCAGCCCGACGGCCAGTACGTCAGCTCGGTCAAGAACCCGCGTACGTGCCCACTTCCCCCCCTCCCTCACAAAGCCACTCCGGTTCGATGCTGGGTCCTCTCTCATCGTAACCGTCCGACGTGTTACACTGCAGTGAAGCGCTTCGGGCGTCAGCTGGCTGCGCTCACGTGCGGACGAGTGTGTCTGGTGTCGGGCTCGTCGGCGACGCTGTCGGTCGCGCTGACCATCGCCGTACGCTTCGCCGCCGGACGCAAGCAGTTCGGCCCGCCCGGCGAACCCGAACAACGTAACAACGACCCACGACCCGCACGCAGCCCCCTGCGCACATAACTTACATTTTATATCTATTTTTAATATTCCCTGCCCGCACAGCCATTTTGGACTACATCTCGCACCAGCGCCGTCTGATGCCCATGCTGGCCAACTGCTACGCCTACCGACTCATGGGCCACTACCTGCTCGATCTCTACAAGAGTACGCCCACCAGCGCACCAGCGCACTCGCACAATGGCTGACGTCACGCTCGCGCGTAGATGCGGACAGCAACAACGCCAAGGCCATCGGTGAGCTCCACTCGCTCTCCGCCGGCGTCAAGGCCGCCGCCAGCTGGTACACCAACGGTGCGTCTCTCTCCCCATCCGCGTTTTTCCCCCCCCCCAATGTTGGCTCGAGCGCTGACTGGTGGGAGGCTCGCGCGCGCGCAGTGGCCCTTCAGGTGTGCCGTGAGTCGTGCGGCGGGCAGGGCTACGCGGCCTACAACCGCTTCTGCCACCTGCGCAACGATCACGACATCTACCAGACCTTCGAGGGCGACAACACCGTGCTCATGCAGCAGGTGGCCAAGGACCTCCTCACCCAGTACAAGAAGCAGTTCGACGGCAAGCCCTTCTCCGGTACGAACCAGCCACTTCCCCTTTTATTCTTATTATTCGTGTAGCAATCGTCTCTCACCGCACACACACGACCGCACACGCACGACCGCACACAGGCATGCTCAAGTACCTGGGCAAGCAGATGGGACACGTCATCTCGGAGAGCAACCCCTACGTCACCAACATGGCCTCGTGGACCCACCTGAGGGACCAGGAGTTCCAGAAGGAGTACGCTCTCGGTCCCCAACTCAACGTTGCAACGTCGTCGCGGTGGCCGCACCGGTTCGGGATGTATGCGTGTGTGGTGTTGACCGTCATCACCGCGGCGTGCAGTGCGTTCGACTACCGGGTGGCCCGGCTGCTGCACAACACTGCGCAGCTGCTCCAGAAGCGCGCCAAGAACAACGACTTCTTCACCGCCTGGAACCAGACCCGTACGTACAACCTATATTATAATATAGTACTATTATAAATATATTTATAGTAGTACCTTGTTGGTGCAATATATGGCTATTTAGAATATATACTTACTAATGTTGTTTCCACGTGACAGTGCCGGAGTTGTTGCATGTGGCCGAGGCCCACGTGGAGCGGGTGGTGGTGAAGCAGTTCGTGCGCCGCGTGAACGACTGCCCCGACATCAACTGCAAGCACGTCCTCAAGCTCTTGTGCGACCTCTACGCCCTGACCAAGATCGAGAAGGACCTCGGTACGAGAGCCCCAATCCCCATCTCACACCGCCGCCAGCACTGGCGGTAAGCGCCTGTCACTCATCATCATCGTTCTCATCATCGTCGTTCATCTGCTCGTGATGCTCATGTTGGTGCACACAGCCGTGTTCAGCAAGGAGGGCTACATCAAGAAGCGCAAGGCCAACGCCATCAGCGAGCTCATCACCGAGCTTTGCCAGGAGGTCCGCATTCACGCTCTCCACCTCGTGGACGCCTTCGAAGTCGACGACTTTATCGTCCACGCCCCTCTTGGCCTCAAGGTGCGCCCACACACGACACACGACACACGACACGACACACACACAGCATGACACGACACACGCAACACTCACCCCACACCCCACACGCCTAACGAGCGTTGGTGATTATGTGTGGGAGCAGCCGGACGGACACGACCCTCTGTTGCGGGTGCTCAACTACGTGCAGACCAACTATGCCACCTACCCGCAGAGCTCCTGAGCTCCCCGTGTGTTCTTGGCCTGCAAGATTTAAAGAGGCAGATGACGTGGCCAACAAAAATAAACAATTAAAATTCAAACCTGTGATTTTAATTTTAATCACAAGGATGTATCTGCAGAGTGCTGGCCGCGATCGCGGCACGGAATGGGACGAGATTCAGAGGCGTATGGGCAATAAGCCGCAGCTGGAGGAAGGCGATGAGGATGACAGTGAGGAAATTGATTACGGCCGCGCCCTCAAGAGCAAGAGCGAGAAGCTGAAGGAGGACCTCGTGGCCAGCAACGCCTCCTACGAGGAGGTCAAGGAGCACGAGGACGAGCTCCTTGACGATGACGATTTCTTGGAGGCCTACAGGTGCTCATTTCCCATTTCCATCACTGATTCATTCCACTACGCGCTTTGATTTTACACAGCAGATCGGCTCAACATGATTCATTCCACTACGCACTTTGATTTTACACAGCAGATCGGCTCAACATCTTTTGCCCACATGCAATGCAGGAGGAAGAGGATCGCCGAGCTGCAGGCCAAAGCGCAGAAGGACGTGTACGGCGATCTGGTGTCCATCTCCGAGCCCGAGTACAAGGAGGTGGTCAACACGCCGAACACGTGGGTCGTCGTCTTTCTCCACAAGTCGGGGTACCACACACACCCTTTCTCCACCTCCGATCTGGTGGTGGTGCTGGTGCTGTTGTTGTTGGCATTCACTCATTCATGCATCATCACCTACCCAGCATACCCTCGTGCCAGCTGATGACGCAGATCCTGCAGCGACTCGCCGGCACCTTCAAGGCCACTCGCTTCGTCAAGATCGATTCCCAGGAGGTGCGCCCACACCACACAACACGCACACAGCACACAGCACACGCACACGCACACAGCACACAGCACACAGCACACACTGCATGCAACAGCACTGGTTTGAAAAAATGTGGTCGAATCGTTGCACGGCCTGTACAGGCCATTCACGGCTACCCCGACAAGAATCTGCCCACGTTGATCATCTACTACAACGGCGACCTCAAGAAACAGTTCATTGGCGAGGCTGCCTTTGCCAGGGGTGACCCGACCGTCGCAGGTACGTGTCGTGTCGTGTTGTCTTCAGTTGAATCCAACTTAACCTAAGGAGCAGACTGAAGATTGGAGCCCGGCCTCACACTTGGTTGTGCTGTGTGTGGCGTGTGTGGCGTGTGTGGCGTGTGTGGCGTGTGTGGCGTGTGTGGCGTGTGTGGCGTGTGTGGCGTGTGTGGCGTGTGTGGTGAAGACGTTGAGTGGAGACTGAAGCAGGTGGGTGCTGTCGACTCGGACATGGAAGAGGACCCAAGCAAGAACAAGGGGCCATCGGTACTCTTTCCATTCTAAGAAGCTTCTTCCCATACGCCATTTCGGCCCATTCACCCTGTGGCGTGTCCATGTCCGTAGGTGCGGCTCAACTATGTCGCCGCTCGCTCGCGCAGGGACGAAGACGACTGAGCCAGCAACGCGTTGTTGTTTGCACTTGGCGAACGGTACACAAACAAATAAAGATCCCCCCCCCCTATTTATGATTCATGTCCCTCTTCCAGTTCGGGCAAGCACGTGGCGAGCAATGCGAGGCTCTGACGCAAGTAAAAGAGAAGGGGAGAGAGGCAAAAGGAGAGGAGTACAAACGACGGCAGCAGGGGGAGAGGAGGAGGCTCAGGAGAGGACTGGCAGCAGGGGGAGAGGAGGAGGCTCAGGAGAGGAGGATGCGGCACGGTGGATTCCCGGGTGGTCGCCCACCCCAGTACTAACACCGCCTGGCGCAGCTTAACTTCGCTGTTCGGATGGGAAGCGGTGCTTTCTGCGCAGTATGGCCGTATCCATCAGGCATTGGTCTCTCCATTCACATGCTACTGCGTGCCTGTGATCAATACCTAAGTGCACTTACTGTATATGTCCTCCTTGATGTGCTCATCAGTTTGAGTACTGGTGTTGCCTAAGTGTGAGGGGTAGTCTGGTGGTTTAGACAGTGCTTATTCCATGATCAACTGCAGCCAGACAAGGTGGCAGATACTCTGGCAGCCCCTCTGCAACTGTCCATGCTGTTGCTTCTCACTGTCATAAACAATGGTGGGTGTTGCAGGAGCCATTACGTACCATGGTCACAGTGGTGTTATAAAGTTGTGTGATCAGTCAGGTAGATGCTGCAATCATGAACAATTGCAACCTACATGATGGTCAATAAAGAGTAGATGCCTATGGTGTGCATCAGACTGCAAAATGGTGTGCAAACGTCAGAACAAAATAACAGATAATTGCAATCCATACACATTGGATTGCAGCAATGTACAGAAATTGTAATGCCAAGGCACATTTGACCTGCTTCTTCTTGAGTGCTGCAGTCTTGGGTTTCTTGGATTCAGACTTCTTGGGTTTGAGAATGTCCTGTAGTTGCAGGCTCTGGCAACAATGGTCAGTGAAAAAGAGTAAGAATGAAGTGTGAGTACTGATGTGGGTGTCAAAGTAAGCTTACTTTGCATTGTTGTGTCCCAAAACAGCTGGGTAATGTGGCAAATACACCAGCAGGGCCAAACCCCAAATAGGTCTGGGCTCTGAGTAGTTGATTCCATTTCACAAGCGTGGATGAGGTGACAGTTGGCTCCCTCTGCTTCAGACTGGGCGTTCTTCATGGCAGCAGTCTGTTCATGGACAGTGCCTAATCTGTCATCACCACCTCATCATCAGGCCCTCCAAGAACTTGCCTGTCAAAAGATGTGCACAGTGAGTTTGGTAAGTTATCAAATAGACAAACCAAGCAGGTGAACCATACCATTCTGGGTGGAACACACTGCTTATTCCAGAAGTTGAGCAGTTGCTTCTCAGGAGTGTCTACGCAAGCAGTAGCATGTGAATGGAGAGACCAATGCCTGATGGATACGGCCATACTGCGCAGAAAGCACCGCTTCCCATCCGAACAGCGAAGTTAAGCAGCGCCAGGCGGTGTTAGTACTGGGGTGGGCGACCACCCGGGAATCCACCGTGCCGCATCCTCCTCTCCTTTTTGCCTCCTCCTCTCCCCCTGCTGCCAGTCCTCTCCTGAGCAAAACACTTGAGTAGTGTTGGCCATTGTTCACAATAGGTCATTCGTCGCAGGGACTTTGCTCTTCATCTTCTTCGTCGTCTTCCTCACTTCAGTATGGCGGCATCCGGCGTTCCTCTCCACCATCATTGCTCTCGTTGGGTGGCCGTCCCTGAGAATGCAGAACGGAAAGCGTCCGGTGGCGCCGGAGAAAAGCGAAGGTCTTCGCCTTTTTGTTTTGTTTAGTTTTGGTGTTGAACAGAAGCGAGGCGATGGAGGCGAAGGCTGTCGTTGGCGAGGAGGCCTACTGGAATGGGCGCTGGACGAAGGAGCCCATCACGGTGCCGGCGAATGACCTCTCCGTGCTTCGCGGGTTCGGCTGCTTCGACTTCCTCACGACCTACCAAAGGTGCCGGCACCGTAGTCACCCCCCCCCCGGGGGGGCCTTTGTAACTCAACTACTAATAACATTATGAAGTAAATGTAGCACTGTATTATTATATTATTGTATATATTAATTATATTATATTGCTGGGTGCAGGCGTCCCTATCGCACGAAGGAGCATGTGGCGCGCCTCTTCCACTCGGCAGAGCTGCTGGGCCTCACCGTGCCTGCCACTCAGGACCAGGTGCGCATATACTTCTAATAATAAATAAATAATAATGATAATAATCAATAAACGTTTTTATCTCCTATTTTATATATATCTTTTTAAATTCATTTGTTTGTTTTGTTTGTTTACAAGGTGGTGGAGCTGGTGCACGAAGGCATCAAGCGCAACGCGCACCTGCCGGAGCTCTACATCAAGATGACCGTTACTGGTACAGCCCACCAGTGCGCCATCTTTTTCCGCGTACGTAGCGCCTCACAAGTTGTGTTCTCTTCTCTCTCTCTCTCTTCTCTCTCTCTCTCTCTCTCAAGGCGGCGTGGCCAAGGACGGCAAGGCCCTGGAGCCGGGCGAGTCCTCGTTCTACGTCACCTTCGGCCCTGCGGCCCCTACCCCTGCGTCCTACTACCAGAAGGTACCGACACCGATCCACCGTGCGGTGGTGCGTGTGCGTGTGCGTGTGCGTGTGCGTGTGCGTGTGCGTGTGTGTGGCTCGGGCTTATCCGCATGACACTCAGGGTCTCCGACTGCACACGGCCGCCTACGAGCGCTACATTCCCAAGGCCAAGTCGCTGGGTACCGCAACCGCACACATGCTTGTGGCGCGCGTGTCGTGTTGCGCGTTGTGCACTATTTCTAAAAACAACATTTATGTATATATGGCTGCGTAGCGTACATGGCGGGCGTGGTCAACTATCGCAAGGCTAAGGAGGCGGGCGTTGACGACGTGGTCTACGTCGACCGCCACGGGCGCATCTTGGAAGGTACACTTGCCCAAGCTTCCCTGCGTGACAACTGTGCTGACGTCACCACCGCCACCACCTGCGCCACAGGTCCGACGTGGAACTTCTTCGCCGTGCGCGACGGCAAGATCCTGGTGCCGCACAACGAGCTGGTCTTGACGGGCATCACGGCTCAGTTCGTCGAGGAGGCCGCCAAGCGGCTCGGTGGGTTCCCCCCTGCGTTGCCACAGCTCCGAACTCAGCCCGTGGACAATCATAGTTTAACTCCTATGTGTGTTTGTTTCAAAACCGACGATTGCAGGGTACGAGATGGTGTTTGAAGAAGTGCCCGCCTCGCAGATCGAGTCGTTGTCGGAGGCCTTTGCCACCAGCACCACCAAGGTACCCAAAGTAGTGTGTCATCTGCGCCGAGAGCCCGCACTGACGTGGCTTGTACAGGGAGTGATGCCGATCACCGAGATCGACGGCAAGAAGATCGGCGACGGCGCCGTGGGACCGATCGTCACTGCGCTCATGAAGGCCTTCGACGAGGAAACGCTTGCGCCCTCGTAGAATTGACATCCCCCTTCCCCTCCTTTTGTTGGTTGGTTGGCGTTCAACAAAAATGGATTTTAAAAAAACAGAGGCTTAGAGTAGGGCGAAGTGCTTGGTCTGGTCATTCAACAGATCTCATCCAGGTCATGAAGTTGCAGCTGCTTGGCTCAGGCCACTGAACATCAAAGTGGAGGGGATTCATGCAGCAGTCGCATGGATGTTTGTTGCCTGTGTTGGCTGTGTTCAGGGAGGGATGGTGAGAAACACTGTCAGGCATGCAAGGAAGGTGTGGGTGTGTGGGGGGAGGTCACCTGACACAGTGGGTGGCTTGCCTTCATAGTAGTCAGCTGGGAATGCTTGTGGCTCATGAAAAGGGGGGCAGTGGCCCTATCACTCAGTTTGGATGAATTGATTTTTGAGGTAAGTTCTACCAGGATGATGAACAACAACCACAACTCCTTGAAGAAGATCAATGGCAACATCACCTTCACTGACTCCAAGAATGACTGCTACATCGCCTTCATGTGCCCCCCCACCTCAGACATGTTAAGCCACCAGGTGCACCTCCACGGCTTCTTCATAATGTTGGGCCACCAACTGGAAGACTTTGTATTCCACCACTACGCGCCCTCGCCCAGCCCCGGCGCAGCGACAAAGATGAGGTGCCGGGGCGGCGTGATGGTGTGCGGGTGGTGCTGGTGGAGCTGGGCCGACGCGACGACCAACTGGAAGTGCTCGAGGCTGTAGGTGCCGGGCGACATGAAGCACGGCGTCACGTCGAACCGCACCTCGCCGCCCGCCGGCACGCTGCCGGCCTGCAGCACCGTCGGTCCGGTCCAGAAGTAGTGCTGCTCCACATCCGCCTCGGGCTCCACGAGCGCCACCTTCACCGAAGCGAGTATTAATCGATGTGTGCGGTGGTGTGTGCGGTGGTGTGTGCGGCGGTGTGTGCGGCGGTGAGGTGGTACCTGTTGCTGGCGGGATACGGACGAGGTACGACGGCGCACGCCCGGCTGCTGGTGTGTCACACGCGAGCCGCCACCACCGGAGTAGGAGGGACGCCGCGGCTGGTTCGGCCGAAGGAGCTCCAATCGCACGCTCAGCTCTGCGCGCATCGATGCGCGCTCGCGATCGTAAGCAATAACACACACACGCACACACACACACACACACACACACACACACACGCACACACACAACACACACACACACAACGACACCGATCAAGTTTGTGTGCGCACCGACGCCGGACGTGTTCTTGACTTGAATCGTGGCCGGCACAACACACGGCGCACCGTCAAACTCGTGCACTACCTGCATGCGGCCAAAAAATTAAATCAATCAATAATCATAATAATAACAAATATAAATAAAATATACAATAAGAAATAAGTAATTATTTTGTAAGGCCAAGGACAGGGGCGTTTGGTTACCTGTCGCGGCGCGACGACAGAGAATCGCAGGGGCTGCTCCAGGCCGGCTTGGCTCAAACTGGTATCTACATTGGCATCCGTCCGAGGCGGCCCTGCGCACATAAGACAATATGTAGAATATAGAGAAAATGGATATATAGATATATAAATATATAAACATGAACGACCAAACTTACATCGACAGAAATGAAAACAACGTACGGGCAGCCGGTGGTGAGGTGGGCGAGCAGGGGAGGTATTGGAAGCCGCGGTGTACGACGCCACCGGTCTTGGTCCGCCAGAAGACCAGCAGATCGAGCGCCGGCGGCGGCGGCGGAATTGGATCGCCCGTGAGCCTGCAGACAACCGCACACGTCAGTCCCTTGAGCCCACGACACACAACGCACGACACGACACGTACGGGTCGAGGTTCATGAAGCCCAGCGGCACGAGGGCGGCCATGTGCCGATCGCGCTCCACGCTAAGGAAGCTGTTGTAGGGCTGCTCGCGATGGTCGACCTCCGTCGTGTCATCCTGCCGGAACCGCCGAGCGAGTGAGTCGAGCGACACACGACACACACGACACAGCGGCGGGGCTGAGAGCGTACAAAGGTGAGATGGGTCCCGACGCGGTGGTCGTTGGAGTCGTGGTCGTCGCGTGGCAGAATGCGGAGGAAGAAGGTCTTGGTCTGTCCGGGCTCCACCCGGTAATGCTCCGGCGCGCCCGCGTCCGCCGCCTTCTTAACACTGCTGCGCCGACGTCGCCGCGGCTTGGGCTCCGCCGTCTGCTGACCGTGTGCCACGTCATCATCGCCGCCTCCGTTGTCGTCGCGGGCCGCGGCGAAGATGACGTCATCACCGGCGGCGGAGGCGGCTGCGGGGGCGTGGAGCGGGGCGAGGGTCCACTTGCGGGAGATGGCGGAGACCTGGTGGAGCCGGAAGGAGGTGTGGTCGTGGGCGTTGTTGGAGAGGGAGAGGGCCAGGACCTGCGAGGCGAGGTCCATGGCCGACACGCGCAGCCACGTGCTGGCGCCGACCGACGGACGCACGCGCACGCTCTGCGCCATGCGGTGCAGGCGGTAGGCCATCCCCGTTTGTTGGTGGTGGCCGCTGTGCCTCTGCTTCGCCTCCGCCTCCTCGCTTTCCACGCTCTGCTCCTCTTCAGCATTCTTTGAATTCCACACCACACGCGACACGACACGACACGGTTTCAGTGAATGTAGGAAGGAACGAGCGGGCGGGCGGAGGCCATACGTGCGGTTGGTAGTAGAAGAGGAATCGGAAGGTGGTGTGGCCGGTGGTGGCGGCGCGGATCCAGACGGGCAGCGACACGGCCTCGCCGGGACCCAGGGCCTTGAGCCAGCTCAGCTTGACCACGCTGCCGACCTCCTCCGCCGCCGGCGCGCCAAAGGGCGGGTTCCACGCTGCAGGGAGCGCGTGCGGCAGCTTCGAAGACATCGAATCGTCGACCTCCGCGGCGGCGCTCGGATCATCGCCGCCGATCAAGAAGAAGTGCGGATGCGAAATGCCCACACTGATCCCCTCCAGCCCCATCTGTAGGGTGTGGCGGGTGTGGCGGGTGTGGCGTGTGTGGCGTGTGCGGCGTGTGCGGCGTGTGCGGCGTGTGCGGCGTGTGTCAACCGCACGCAGCTTACGATCGCGATTGAGCGGGGAGAGCGTACGTGTCCGATGTTCTTGAGGCGGAGCGTGAGAAGGGCGACCTCACCTTGCAGCATCTGCTCTGGAAAGTGCTCGAAGCTCGCCTGCCAACCCAGAGACATGCGTGGTGACGTCAGCACCCACTAAAATATAACACACACACACACACGCGCGCGCGCGCACGCACACACATACACACACACAGCTCCCCTCTTGGGTGCGTACCTCGATGAGCGGCATGGCCCCGACCACGTGAATGGCGTTGTTGTCGGCCGGTGACGACGGCTCGCTGGCCGGAGGCGAAGCAGAAGAAGAGGCGGAGAGGGACGAGTAACCGGCGCCCGCCGTAGACGAGTGCAGCTGCCCGCCGCCGCCACCGCCGACGAAGCACTTGTGGAGGTTGATGAAGTTGGACTGGCCCCAGAGCATGCCGCACAGTTTGAACCCGATGCCCTCGATCACCAGCTGGCCCTCCACCAGGGGCACCACCCAGAACAGCAACTGCGCATACCGCACATACCGCCGAACGTGTGAGCGTTGGACGGACTGGAATGCGAAGCAGGCAGGTGGGGGATTCGTAGTACCTTCTGTTTCTCCTGGGCGCGCAGGACGTGGTTGAAGGGCTCGACGAGGAACCTGGGCGAGTCCTCCCGCTCGTGTGCGGCGTCGGCGTCCACGGGCACGTGGGTGCACACCAGCTGGACGTCGGTCAGCTGGATGGGCACCTGGAGCGGATTCCGCACTTCCACCTCAATATAGATGTACTCTGCATTGCACGCGAGTTAGGCCTCATAGGAACCACAAGCACACGCACACGCACACGCACACGCACACACTGCCGCACACTCACCAACGCACAACACGCGCGGCGGCGAAGGAGAGTACGTTACCTTGAATGACCGACACCGGTCGGGAGGACGGCAGCGAGGAGCGCGGGGCCGACACCTGCCTCAGCACTCGGCTCTGAAGCGAGTCCCAGAGCTTCTGCTCGCCGCCGCTGTCAATCAATGGCACACGACACGTTAGCCACACGTGCACCGTGTCGTGTCGTGTTGCGTGTCGTGTGGCATTGTGGTGGTACCTGGAGGGGTCGTAGGAGGCCAGGAACAGACGGACCGACTGCTGGTCGATCACGGGCACGGGCAGACACGAGGCCACCAGCTCGGACGACGCGGTGCTCGTCTGGGCGATCTGGGCCGCCAGGTGGAGGAACTCGCGCAGCAGCGAGTTCTGCGCGGGCGGCGGCTGGTGGCAGTCGGAGAACAGCTTCTGGAAGAAGGCGAGGCACCGCTCGTGGTTGCCCACCAGGAACGAATAGCGGGCTAGCTTGATGTGCAGGCTGTCGCCAATACCGCCCCAACCTCGGTTCTGTGTGTGGCAAAGTGTGAGCGTTCAACACACACGCACGCACACGCACACGCACACAACCGCACACACACACACACACACACACACACACACACACACACACACACACACACACACACACAACCGCACACGCATCGCTGCACACGGGGGTTGGAAGGTACCTCGTAAAGGGAATATGCGGTGAGGAGGCAGCGGAGGCCATGCCGCAGCTGGCCCACCTCGCAAAACTTGCTGCCGGCGGCCACCAGCTCCAGCCCGAACTGTCGAAGGCCGGGCGTGGCCTGGTGCAGGAACTGGAAGGCCGATTGCTCGTGCAGCAGCGCCGCACACGTGTTGTCCGGGAGCGCCAGTGCCGTTCGCTGCGGAGAGAACACGAAACGAAACGAAACGACACACGCAAACTGAGTTACCAAACACCGATGACGACGACGATGACGATGAGTCGGACAGACCTGCAGAGTGAGCGCAGCCTGACGAGGAGAGGAGGTGGAGAGCAGCTCGGCCAGGAACACGCTCGCTCGGACGGCGTGCGTCCAGTTCTCGGCGCGCCGGTAGCCGTCCCATGCCGTCTCCAAATATTGCTCCACCTGCAAGACAGTCGTGTTGTGTCGTGTTGTGTCGTATTGTGTGTTGTGTGTGTGTGTGTGTGTGTGTCGTGTGTGTGTTGTGTGTGTGTGTGTGTTGTGGTTTAGCTCTCTCCTCAGCGTCTCCTGCGCGAATGTGATGGGAGGCTTACGTCGCGACGAGGTCCCCTGGGCGTGGGATCGGACATGAGCGTGGCCAGGCCCATCATCTCCTGCGCGGCTGCGTAGTATTCCGGGCCGCACTCTTTCTCCGATTTGAACTCGCCCGCGAGTTGCTGTCGGCCCACCCAGAGTCAGAGCCAAGTCAACGTCCCCACAATGCACGCGACGCACACGACCGAAGGTGGGTTGGTCGGCCTCGATCGAGTCGAGTCGAGTAGGAACTTACTTTGTAGTTGGCCAGGGCCAAGTCGTACATGCCGATCATGAACTCGAGATCGGCCAACAGTCGCGTTACCTCCTACACACGCATAGAGGGGGTCAGCTCAGTGGGGCGATCATGGAAGCTATTCGGGGGGAGCGGTACGTGAGCGCGGCTGTCAGGTCTGCTGGACGGGGTGGGCGCCGGCTTCGCGGCCTTGGCCCGGCCAAACTTGAGGCCCATGAAGGACGACGCTCCAAGCGCCATCGCCGTCACAAAGCCCTTCCTGCGTGTCGTGTCGTGTGTGTGTGTGTTGTGTGTGTGTGTGTGTGTGTGTTTTACGTCGGTCACTTAACAAGTTTTGCTGTTACGACACATCGCTCGTGTGCCTGTGAAGGGAGCGCGAACCTGTTGGCCATGACCTGCTCGTGCAGGCGCCCGATCACGGACTGCATGTGCTGGGCCACCGTCTTGGCGCTCAGGTTGGCGATCGTTTCCTGAATATTCCGCACATCTTCGCCCGACAGATACCAACCAATGCCTGCGTGCACAAAGCGCGCGGGGGGGTGAGTGTGGTTCGAGATGAGGGCCGCCATGACGTTGGTACGCGTGGTGGAGGCTACGGAAGCCGACAAGCTGCTGCTGCTGCGTAATGGGACACCGTTGCCAGTGGCGCTACCTGCTTGATCCGATGGGAGCGAGTTGAGCTTGAGCAGCGCACAGTCCTTCCCGAACGTGGCTCTGATCTCGGTGAGCGCTTGCTCGGCACTGCCCAGTGCAATGAAACGCGACACACGACACACGACACACACACACGACACACACACACACACACACACACACACACACGAGATGTCGCGTTAGACTTGCCTGTGGTAACGCTGAGTAACAACGCCACACGTACTTGGGCGGGTTCTCGGCGGCGTTGTCGTGCAGGAGCAGGTGGAACTTGGCGATGTTGGGGTCCATGAAGCCGTCTTTGAAGATGGGCGGCAGGTCGGGCGGCTTGTACAGGTCCAGGAAGCTCTTGGTCACATTCTCCTCGCCCGTCGAACTCACAAACAGACCTGGCCCACGGCAACGCAAAAAAACATACATTTTGTTTAGTGCAACAAAAACAAATAAAAATACAAAATAACAAAACAAATAAAAGTGATAAAAGAATAACATATAAAATGCGAGTAGTTAGGGCGCCTGTACAGGCGACCGGCACGTCGAAGTGTTCGTAGGGAGCCGGCCCGATGGAGCGCAGATAGGCCCAGCGATACTGGGTGTACCAGGGCGTCACATCCTGCCCCTTGCACGCTGCACGTCGCACCACCACCACAGCGCCATGTTCAGTCTCGTGTCACCACCTGGAGGGGATGGCAGCGTTTGTGAGAAGAGGGCGCAGCATACCACGTAGGAAGGAGGCCACGCCGGCCGGGTCCTTGAGGGAGAGCGGCGGCGCGTAGGCATCATCTGCAGATGAGGCCAGCAGACGACGCAGCGCTTCGCTTTCGCGATCACCCAAACCACCACCTGTAGCGACAGCAGTGGCAACCCCGCTCTCCTCGGCATCGCCGCGCGGCGTCGACGGGGATGCAGGCGTCGATGCGGGGGGCGAGGGGCGTGTAAAATCTTGGAGATCAGCGAATCGCAGCTGGAAATCGCGTACGGCGTAGGTGCGATCATTGGGGCCGCGTGCTGCGAGGGTGCGTGTGGTGTTCTGTGATCGAAGGACCTCGACGACGCGGCGCCCATTGCGGGCGCACACGGCCTCGGCCCCGGGCGTGGCAATCACCACGCACGTGGGGACCAGCACCCCACGCACCAGCTCCCCCATCTCCATTGTTGTGCTTCGTTTGCTTATTTATTTTGATTTATTTTTTGTCGTAAAATACAAGATAGAATTGCTTTCATAATGCTGGTTGGAAAGGAAGAGAGAGGCAAAGAGTTTCCAGTGCATTAGTTGCTTGGCCAAGTGATGAAAGAGATGAATAAAATGGTGGACGAAATAATGCTGCAGGTTTACGAGATTGTCGAAAAGCATGTATTCATATCTTCAGGTGCATCGTAGAACTCGTCTGAACGCGTCAGGGGATCTACTCGTGCTCCTAGTACCAGTGCGAGCGGGCGATCTGATCGTGCTTCCAGTTGCCCCACGTGTAGATGGCGATGCCGGCAAGGATCGGGGGGGCGACGCGGGGGAAGTTGTACTTCCACCTCTTAATCTGCCGGGGGATGAGACCGGTCCAGAAACCGGGGAACATCTTTTGACGGAAGGGAGAGAGCGTGTAGGTAGTCCAGCGAACGCCCTGCATCATGAGCACGAGATGATTAGCGAATTGGCCGGTGCTAATGATAATTAATTGGCCGGTGTAGCGCAAAGCGGCGCAGCAGTCTTGCTGTAATAAAAGAACAGCTTCCTTAGAGCATATGCGCAAAAAGTGCGGTTCATTCTCAAAAGCATACCATTGTGGATGATGTGGTCGATTACTCACTTTGGCACAACCGCCCCACACCCTTGGGCCTTTTCCTTCTGCCCGGAGTCAGACAAAAAAGAAATAGAAGAAATTCATTTTCTCTCTACACGAAAAAGTGCTGCAAACACGACACACACGACACAACACACGACACAGCACAGCACACGACACAACACAACATCAAAACGAAGACAGATGCAAAAGAGAAAGGGCGGTGAACGATGACTCGGCGGCAACCATGGCTCAGGACTCTGGTCGATCGGGGTGCTTGGCGATGAGAGCCGCGTAGAAGGCGCGTGTGTCCACCTCGGTCTTGGCCTTGGCGTCGAACACGACGCCGTTCTCTCTGAGGAACAGGAGGCCCGTCTTCTTCCTGTTGCCGAACGCGAGCTCCGACAGCAGCCAGTTCACATCGATCGTTGGTCGGTACCTGCGCGCGCCGTGTTGCGTTGCGTTGCGTCGCGGCACGAAGAAGCCAAAGCAACAAACACATCAGCACAGAGTTGGGGAGAGAACAAGAGAGAGAGAGAGAGGCGGAAGCGTACGCTTTACAGATGGTCTTGAGGGCCGTGATCCGCATCTTCTCAATAAAAAGGTCAATGATGTAAGCGCCCATGTTGGGCGTTTGTTTATACAGTTTAAAGAAGTTGTGGTAGTCCGACATGGCCAGCGCCGCTCGCACCTGTCAACGACCAAACGTCAGCAATCATGATGGAACACCGTGAACCATTGAAAGTCTCACAACCAAAGCGTTGCCGTGTGTGTGCGTGTGTGGTGGGGCAGGGTACCCCGAGGGCGTGCGCGATGGGCCGAGCTTCTCGTTCTCGCGGGGTGAGCTCGGCCATGAGGAAGGCCACGTCCGCCATGGAGTTGGAATATAGAGAGTGGAGTATCCTGTAGCCGGTGAATTCTTCGACGTTGCCCTGGTCTTCTACTTCGTCGTACAGTTCGATCAGGCGGGATTGACAGGCATTGAACTCATAGACATCGCCCTGTTTGGTTGCGCCGTTGAACTGTGAGTTGGCTGTCCACCTCGCGTACTGCGCGAGCCAACAGGAAAAGACGTACGTTTTGCAAGGCAAGACGCGCATGTTTCTCGTAGACTTTGATGGTGAAGCCGTTCTTGATGTGTTGTACCTGGTGCAAAGGAAGATGAACATGAACTGCGTGAGCGTGACCGTTCGTGCGTAGGACCCGTACATGGGAAAAAGAGAGAGGATGGCGGTGTACCGTGAGATCTTGACGGATGGCCTTGAGCTGATTACAAGTGTAGATGTAATCCGGTTTCTGCGAGTACTTGTCCAGCAGCGCCTTCAACCACTTCTTCAAGATGGGCTCCGGCCGCACAGTGGATGGGTCGGGAGCCTGCACACAACGGAAGGAAAAGGAGAAATATTAATAAATCACGCGGCGAGACACAACTCCTTAAAAAAAAGAAAATGATAATAAACAGAAAGATAAATGATAGACTAATGCCAGAAAAGGCGTCAGGAGCGACGTACAGAGGTAAGGCGCAGGTATTCCTTCTCGAGAGTAGTGCATGTTCCTCGCACCACCATTCTCTCCCAGTCTTGGTCGTCCATATCACTGGGAGCGCATTAGCCACAACGCATGTGAGCGTGGGTAACTCATTCAGCGGGGCAACCATCAGAACCAAAGAACGGTGAGTGCGCGCAAGAGTACGTACAGGGCCACGGACGGCTGCGAGGAATTGCTGCGCCGCCGACGCGGCGCTTGCGTCCCCACCTCGGCAAAGCGAGCGCTTCGCAGGGCACGCCTGTCGTTACCTCCCTCCAAGCTCATCAGCTGCAGTTGTCTGTTCGACCGGCGCAAAAGAGGGGAAACGTTAGGCCGTCTCACCACGAATAAAAGCCATTGGGGGGGGCAACGATTACTTTGATTTCTTCGGCTCTGGTTTCATCTTCTTGCGCGACTTCTCAGCAGCGTTTGGGCTGGGGGCCTCGGCGGGTCTCTTTTGCTGCTGCTCCGCTCCAAGCCTGCGCGGGTTCGCCATCGATGATCGTCAACACTCTTGAACAAGAGTCAAGTGTGTGTGTGTGTGTGTGTGTGTGTGTGTGTGTGTGTGTGTGTGTGTGTGTGGGCTCTTCATACCTGGGAAGCGCTTCCGTGTCCCAGTTCTTGGTCCACATGCTTCCGTCTTGCATCGTTTCGCTGATGACCCTCTTCAGCACGGTCTCCATCTCGTTCCTCTCCTGGTCGCTGGTGCACGAGGCAAAGGCTCGCTCCACATAGGCACGCAGGTTTGGCGGCCAGCCACTGGCCGTGCTGGCCGTCCCATTGCCACCGGCGGATTGCATGGCCTGTGGCGTAGACGTGACCGGCGTCTTTGGCTGGAACTTGCCCTGCGCAACGACCCTGTTCGGTGTGCAACCAACAGCCCGAGGTGAGTACTTCTTGCGATTGTTTTTCCAGCTGCGGGCAAAACAAGGTGCTTCAGGCTCCAGACGAGGTGACGTTACTTGGCGTACGAGGGGTTGCTGGGTCGCAGCTGGAACGAGACCTTCGGCTGAGGCTGAGCAGAGCCAGCGCTCAAATACGCCGGCGCTGGTGCATGCGAAGCCACAACACACGAGTCCTCATCAGAAGGGGACTCGTGTGTGTACTCACTCAGAAGACTGCCACACACGTACCAGAGGGCTGCACGTAGCTCGTGGTGGTGGGCTGGGTCGGGTCGTACATCTCCACCGCCGCCTTGGCGGTACTTGCCGCCGCGGGCGCTGACGAGGCGGCTGCTGGCCCGGCCTGCACGGGACTCCCGTACCTGGAAGCGACGACGGCCGCCAGGCCAGTCAGCAAGAGCCCTCCCACGACTGCACGGCCCCAACGGCCCGGACCGAGAGCTCTGATGAGGATTGGGAGGTGACGTACCCTGTCATGCCGTACTGCTGGTAGTAGGCTGCCCACGCTGCGGCGTGCTGAGCTTGATAGCCCTGGGGCTGACCGGGGTTAGCAGCAGCACTCGTAGGCGTGGTAGCCGCAGTCGCTGGCTGGGCCTGCGCGGTCTGGGGTGATTGCCTGTTCGTGCGGACAAGATGGCCAGGCGATGAGCGCGAATGTCGAGGTCCATTTGTTACGTAAAATCGCAGAGATTGCCCGCCATTGCGCCGGGGGGGGGGAAGTTACCAGGCCGCGTAGTAGGCCGCCCAGGCATTGGTGTCCCATGTCTGTTGCTGATTTCCATAGTAGGACGCCGCTGCCTGATACGTCGGCCCTCTACATGGAATCAAGGTAAATTATTGACATTTGAGTCAAATTGGCGTTGTGAATGGTGAAGTTAGTACGTGGAGAACCCGTACCCTGGTTGCTGCATGCTGCTCTATGCGTGCCAAGTGCTTACCACCAAATCCAGCTCCCTCTGCAGTGATGCTTCCACAGCAATGGTCCGGAATCTGCCTCTGGAGAGAAAATGTTAAAAAAATTGAGTTGAAAGAAAAAGAAAACGTTTTTGGCGCGAAGGCAAAAACAACAAAACAAACATGGAGCACGATGGCGATGAAGATGATGATTTGGAAGGCCAGGAGGACGAGGCGGAGGAGAGGGAAGGCCCGCGCCGATTTTTTGGGTGCTACTTGCTCACCTCGCGCAACGAGGCGTACCGACGGCACACCTACATCGGTTTCACGGTCAATCCCTCGCGACGCATCCGCCAACACAACGGCGAGCTCGTGCAGGGCGCCAAGCGCACGCGCACCAAGCGACCCTGGTAAGTCTCATTTCATTTTTTTATTATTAATTTTTTGTAAAAACCTAAAGAGCATTTTTTTGCCTCTGGGCGTAGGGAGATGGTGATGGTGGTGTACGGCTTCCCTTCCAAGACGGCTGCGTTGCGCTTCGAGTGGGGCTGGACCTATCCGCAGAAATGTACACCAGCTACTCCCACGTTCAGTGTTGGTAAATCCCGTTTCTTTAACACGTGCGGTGCGTTGCGTGTTGTGTGCGCCGTGTCCTGGGCAGCCAGGCGTATCAAGGAGGCGCTTTCGCATCGCGACCTCACCAAGCTCGGAAGCCCACACATGCTCAAGGCCCGGTTGAGGTACCGTCCGTGCTTGCTTGTCTCTCCACCTTGTGTGCCCCATCAACCCGAACCATTTCTCCACTGTCGGCCGCCACACAGGTTGATGTTTGAGCTGCTGCACGTGACCCCTTGGAATCGCTTCCCACTGGTCATCCACTGGCTCACTCAGGTCTGGATCGCAGCAACATCGCCTGCCAGGCCAACGCTGATAACAACCGTGAATGTGTTATTTATTTATTTGTTTGTTAGGAGTACCATCAGCTCCTCGACGGGTGCCCGCCACCGCCGCGCCACATGAAGGTCAACATTGGGTCGCTGGCTCAGATCGAGCCCTTGTACAAATCAAACACCAATGCTCAGGGTGCGTTCGTCACATCCCTACTGCTGAGTCAGGCTTGTGCTCGACTGAACTCAAGTCTGTGCTCTTCTTCGCGGCTCCGCCAGATTCTGACAGCGAGTCGCTTGGCTCGGACAGCGACGGGAGCGGCGACGAGGCCTCCAGTCCCGACAGCTCGGACGGCGAGGCCGAGCGAAGACCAACAACGGCCACTACGACCAGTACAACGCAACGGGAGGCGCTGTGCTGCTTGTGCAGGACCGTGATGAAGGAGGTGCACACCACCACCGCCACCGCACATGAATGGTTTGCGTGTGCGCTGACTACTTTCGTTTGCACTGTCAACCAGGACGAGCTGAAGCTGCGCTGCTTGAAGCGGTCGTGCAAGCAGAAGGGCCACATGCTCTGCTGGGCGCAGCGGTTCCTGCGCGACCAGCCGGACGTGCTGCTGCCCACCACCGGGACCTGCCCGTCGTGCCAGACCGCGCTCTCCTGGCCGGAGATGCTCAACGGGTGAGCCCCACAGGTTCTGCCTCTCCCCTTCGTTCTTGAGCTGGTGGTTTTCAAAGTTAAATTGTAACACATTACAGTTTTAATGAAATTATAGAGAGTACATGACTGTGGGCATCTTGAAATCGCATAGTTCTCCAACTCCCATGGGATGAAACCCCGTATCTTGACACCTTGATCACGGTCCGTGTGTCGGGTGTGACCTGCAAGTGAGCGGCGCAAGCCCTCGAAAGGCGTTGCAAAATTCGCGGGAACCAAACTTTATGGCAGTGTGCCTTTCCTCGGAAGTTGTGCGGGTCGTGTCGCTGTTGGTCAGTTCTCAGGAGTTTTATGGAGAAGGTCTGGACGCCTGTCGGACCCTCTGGAGCTTGTGGGAGTGGTCAAAGCCAGGGGGCAAGGGGCAGCTCGAAACACAAACACAACAGGTCCACCCCCCCACCCACTTCGCCACTATGGCTGCGCGGCAGGTTCAAGTGGTGCTGCCCTTCAGCGAGGACAAGGACAAGGCCCGAACGAAGAAGATCATCCACACCGTGCGCGGGTTGCCGTTCGTCTATGGATTGTCCATCTTCGAGGGCAAGCGGGAGAAGCTGGTGGTCTTCCGAGTCACCCCCAAGGCCACGGGCAAGTGTTTCTACGCGCTCCAGTCCCTCGGCGTACGACCCCTTCTCCTGTCTTTCACTCTCTTTGTTCTATTCTTGTTCATTATTTGAATAAACAATAACCACTTCTTTTTTGTTCATTATTTGAATAAATAACCAATTCTTTTTATATATATTTATCATAAATATCTCTTCTACTCTTTTCAACAGGTGGGGCAAGATTTCGGGCATGTGGACATCGTGGCCTTGCACATCACCGTTCCGCGCATCAACGTGCGCAAGAAGCCGCTGCGCAAGCGGTTCGAACGACACCAACACCCCACGCAGCTCCCTCTTGTTGTGTGACCTCTCATCATTGTCTCTTTCCATTTGGCGCAAACGCTCAGACTACAGATAACGGACCGGTACTCGGTGGAGGAGATCTGTCGAATGGTGGAGGCCCAGAATGTGTTCACCTTCGACTACCTGGTGTTCGTGCTGTCGGCGGCTGTCATCGCATGCTTGGGCCTGACCACCAACTCGGGGGCCGTCGTCGTCGCGGCCATGCTCATCTCGCCCCTCATGGGACCCATCGTCGCCGTGGCGCTCGGGTTGGCCATCCAAGAGTGGTCCATGGTCAGGCGAGGGTTCATCAACGAGCTGGCGGGCACCCTCCTCGTGTTCCTCACCGGCTTCTTCTGGGGCCTGGGCACCTCAGTCTTCCCCGGTTTATGGGAAACCGACGAGCAGGAGGTGCGCACCATCATCACCACAGGCGATACTAGATACTTCGTTCTTCGTTCTTTGCTTTTCGTTCTTTGCTCTTCGCTCTTCGCTCTTTGCCCATGTGTGGTTGTGCTAATCTGGTTGCGTTTGCCGCTCGGCGGGGATGCAGAGCCGAGGCACCTATTGGGCGAGCGTGGCAGGCATAGGCATTGCCATACCGTCCGGTGTGGCTGTGGCCGTTGCCATCGCAGGTGATGTTTACACTCTTCGTTCCAGATCCCACACACACACACACACACACACACACACACACACACACACACACACACACACACACACACCAAGCTTGTGAGTAACGTCAGAGTTGCGCTTTGCAGGGGGTGGGGCCTCTTCGCCGATCGTGGGCGTGGCCATCAGCGCCTCGCTGCTGCCGCCCATCGCAAACGCCGGGATGCACTTCGCGCAGGCTCTCATGCAACGCCTGACCGACGAAACCGCCACGGATGACTGGGAAACGAGTTGCAGGGTAACGCCGAACACACAACACACACGACACACACACGACACACACACGACACACACACGACACACGACACACAGTAACCTGAACACATTCTTCTTCTTGTTGTTGTTATTCCCTGCTCCTGTTCGGCACCAACTTCGTGTGCATCGTCTTCTCGGCGCTGCTGCTGTTCCGAGTGAAGGGCGTGAAGCGCAGGCGGGTCGACGTGTCGGCCCTGGTCAAGCAGGCCGAAGAGAAGCCGCGAACCGAAGACGACCTGAACTTGTCGACCGACAACAGGAGCACCTTCGAAGGGGGTGATGACCGCGACTGTTTAGAGGAGGAGCATGGTCATCTGGCGGTGGAGGGTCCAGGCGCCACGTCCTCGGGCGACATGGAGACCATCACCCTCACAATCAACCCATTCGATGATGACGATGATGTGTACCATAAACAGAGTTAAAAATTACAGGTAATATGAAAACATATTATCACTCTGTCTTTATGGTCATAGGATATAGGGGAGAGTTGAGGTGCGACCCAAAAAAATGTGTCTTATTTTATAATGTGTCTTATTTTCCCTCTTAAAATAATGTGTCTTATTTTCCAAGCCAATCCGAAGAAATCAGGGCGAAACTTCGCTCTGCCTTGTTGAAGGCCCGGCGAGCTGCGACAGACCAAAGCGCCAACACTAGCACAGCTGGTGTGGAGAGAAGAAAGATGAACAAGAGTGTCGCGGGGAAGCGCAAGAGGTCCACAAGCGACCCTGCACAACAACAACTGACACAACCCCCAACCTCCAACAACAACGAGACCGCCCTACCTCCGACAAAGTTGCCACGACAGACGTCCTACGCGCAAGCCAACCTCCTCTCCTTCTTCAGCAGGCCGCCCCCCAAGCAGCCCAAGGAAGAGGACAAGGGCCGGGCTCGACTCGAGATCGGCTACGCCCAGGCCGAAGAAGAGCCCACGACGAACGAGAAGGAGAAGGTTGAAGAAGAAACACAAAAGCGACAAGAAGAGAGGGAAGAAGAAGAAGAAGAGGAGGAAGAAGAAGAGATGAAGAAAGGAGGTCGTGTGGCCCAGCAGCTGCTGTGGAAGGGTGCGAGTAGTAGCAGCGCGGGCCGGACCTGCGGCGGACGGCCCGGACCCGAGGGCTGGCAGGAGGTGTGGGATCGCATCGTACGATATCGAGCAGAGCACAAGGTTCCCCTCCCTCCATGATGAAGAGCGACTGGGGTGGGCTTTGAGTGAGCGGCTGCCTACCTCACACCACGCGTTCGGTCAACTGCGAAGGCGCCGGTGGACACCATGGGCTGCGGGTCGATGGCCAATCGCACCGCCCCGCCCCAAGTCCAGCGCTTCCAGACCTTAGTGGGCCTCATGCTGTCCAGGTCTTCTTCCTTTCGCCTTGTCTTCTCCGCTAAACCAACCAACCAACCAACCTTTCCAACCTTTCCAACCTTTACAACCTGCACAGTCAGACGAGAGACCAGGCAACGGCCAAGGCCATGCGCCAGCTGCAGGACAGTCTAGCTGGCGGGGTCAACGTACATTCCATCCCCTTCCCTTCTTCTGGTGACTTTATTCGATGCATCTTTATTCACTTCATCACGGCCGATTTGCGAGACATGCATTCAACACTGTTATTGTGCGGTACTGTGCTGATTGGCTCAACCATCGGTCGAGTGCTACAGGTCTCCTCCGTCATGGCCACGCCTGAAGAGGACATAGCGGCGCTGATCAAGCCCGTTACATACTTCACACAGAAGGCCAAGTACGTCCTCAAGCCCACACGATGACGGCTTTCAGTGCTCCGCGGCTGGCTGAACGCAGCGAACAGGAACATCAAGAAGGTGGCCGAGATCTTGCACACCCGCCACCAAGACGACATTCCAGCCACGTTCAAAGGTCTTAACATTTTGATAGTCCCCCCACATCAGATCGTTAGGACTGAACAGTGTGTCGTGTGTGTATCACACGGCAATGGCAGGGCTGACCGACTTGCCGGGTGTGGGGCCGAAGATGTCGCATCTCTGTATGCAGTACGCGTGGGGCAAGACGGAGGGCATTGGGGTCGACGTGCACGTCCACCGCATCAGCAACCGCCTCGGCTGGGTCCGCTCCACCACCCCCGAAGCCACGCGCAAGGTAAGTTGTTCTGCGGCAGCCACCACCACCTCTTCGATGCACGCCTTCGCGGATCTGATTCTCAAGCTGGGCGGGGGTGCAGCAACTGGAGGAGTGGTTGCCGCGGGAGCACTGGAAGACCATCAACAACCTCTTCGTTGGCTTCGGGCAACTGATCTGCACGCCAACACACCCCAAGTGCGCCGTACGAGCTCCCCTACTCTCTACACCAAGTGAAGTGGTGGCTGACGGGAGAGCAACGCAACGCAGCAATGTCCGGTCAACACGCTGTGCCCCACCGGACGGACCAACCTGTCGCTTGTCTCTGCTCCTCTCCAGCGTTGACGATGGGTTTCTCTCTCTCTCTTTTGTTTTTTGTACGTTTTATGGGACAAAACAACGTTTGGGGCTTCCAGTACGGATTGCCTGGCGATCGATCAGAAGAGCTCGGTGGCCTTCTTCTTGGCCGACTGCTTCCACTTGGGCAGCTTGGGCCACTCGGCCTTCGAGCAGCCCATCACCGTCGCAAACTCGGCATCGGACAAGTATATCTGATATGATGATAAGCATTACGCCACAACAAAACAATATTATAACAAGCAAGCAAACAAAGTTTAGCGATTCGTTACGGCACACAGACCATCACCGGCCGAGTCGTGTGACATGGCTACTCTACGTACCTCGAGTTGTGTGAGATCGAGGTCGTCGACGTTCACGCGCGCCTTGAGGTCAGCGTAGGAACGCACGATGCTGGTACCAGCACCTGAAACGCACCGACACACAAGAGAAGCAACTCATGAGCCGCTACGCAAACAAAGAAGAAAAAAAAAGGTAATCATAAATATAATAAATATAATATAATATCATAAAAAGGTGAGTACCGGGCTGGGGCGAGGCCGGGGCGGCGGGCTCGGCGGCGGCCGTCTTGGTCGCCGACCCGGACGAGCTCAGCGACGTGCCCGACGACGACGACGCGAGCGACGGCGTTGGCGAAACGGTCCTGACGCCCGAGCCCGACGAGTTCAGCGAGCCCGGCGGCGACACAGTCTTGACGCCCGAGCCCGACGAGTTCAGAGAGCCCGGAGGCGACGAGACGGTCTTAGCGCCCGAGCCCGACGCCAGCGACGCAGCGCCGGCCGGGGTGGTGGCGGTGGCGGTGGCGGTGGCGGCCTGCTCGGACTGGATCTCCTTGACGAGGCCGTCCATGGTGCGGCCCTTGGCCAGCTTGGCCATCCAGGCCGGCTTGTCGCCCTCGGGCTTGGCAGGGGTGGCGGCGGTCTCGCTGGCCGACGAGGCCAGGCTGCCGCTCGGTCGCGACTTGAGCTTGGACATCCACGCCGGCTTCTCCGGCTGCGCCTCCGCCGCAGGCTCCTGTGTGTGCGCGTGTGAGGTGTGTGCGTGTGCGGTGAGTGGTGTGTGTCGTGCGCCGTGCGGAATGCGAGGAATGCAGTACCTCGGCGGCGGCGGCGGCGGGCGTGCCGTTGGTCTCGCCGGCGACCTCCTTGGCCACGGGCGACTTGCGCAGCGACCCCTTGAGCGCGCCGAGACCGCCCACGATGGCGCCGATGCCGGGCATGGCCACGCCGCCAGCCACGGCAGCCGCGACCGAGGGCTGGCCGCCCAGCTCGGCCTTGAGCTTCGGGTCGACCTGCGACTCAGTCATGTTGTACGGGTCCACCAGCTCCAACAGTTTCTGCTCCCACCCAGATGCGACTAGGTTAGTGTGTGTCGCGTGCGTGCGTGTGTCGTGTGCGTGTGTCGTGTCATGGAGCTCACCGGCTCGTTGGGCTTGATACGGGGCATGCGACGGCTGGCGGAGGCCTTCTTGCCGCTCGGGAAGATGAACGAGCCGCGGCGGGACGCGGCGCTCTCGTCTTCTTCGGTGACGGCCGGCAGCGCGTCGGACGACGTCGACGCGGTCAGTTCGGTGGGCGTGGCGGCCGCCTCCTGGGCAGCGGGCGCAGCCTCCTGGGCCTGCGCCGTAGTGGCCTTGACGGCCTCGGCCTCCTCCTGCTCCTTCTTGGCCTTCTCCTCCGCCTCGGTCTTGGCCTTCTCCGCAGCAGCGGCCTCGTCGGCCTCCTTCTGCTTGCGCGCGGCCTCGGCCTCGGCTTCGGCCTTGGCCTTCTCCGCGGCGGCGGTGGCGGCAGCGGCGGCCTCATCGGCCTCCTTTTGCTTGCGCGCCGCCTCGGCGTCGGCCTCTTCCTTCTCCTTCCTGGCCTTCTCCTCCGCAGCGGCGGCGGCCTCGTCGGCCTCCTTTTGCTTGCGCGCCGCCTCGGCGTCGGCCTCTTCCTTCTCCTTCTTGGCCTGCTCCTCGGCGGCGACGGCAGCGGCGGCCTCTTCAGCCTCCTTCTGCTTGCGCGCAGCTTCGGCGTCGGCCTGCTCCTTCTCCTTCCTGGCCTTCTCCTCAGCGGCCGCGGCGGCCTCCTCAGCCTCCTTCTGCTTGCGCGCAGCCTCGGCGTCGGCCTGCTCCTTCTCCTTCCTGGCCTTCTCCTCCGCGGCGGCGGCAGCGTCGGCCTGCTCCTTCTCCTTCTTGGCCTTCTCCTCGGCGTCGGCCTTGGCCTTCTCCTCCTCCGCGGCGGCAGCAGCGGCAGCGGCGGCGTCGGCCTGCTCCTTCTCCTTCCTGGCCTTCTCCTCGGCGTCGGCCTTAGCCTTCTCCTCCTCAGCGGCGGCAGCGGCGGCGTCGGCCTCCTCCTTTTCCTTCTTGGCCTTGGCCTTCTCCTCGGCCTCGCGACGGGACTTCTCCGCCGCGGCGTCGGCCTCCTCCTTCTCCTTTCTGGCCTTCTCCTCCGCCGCAGCGGCAGCCTCGTCGGCCTCCTTCTGCTTGCGCGCCGCCTCGGCCTCGGCCTCCTCCTTCTCCTTCCTGGCCTTCTCCTCTGCGGCAGCAGCGTCGGCCTCCTCCTTCTCCTTCTTGGCCTTCTCCTCGGCGGCAGCGGCCTCGTCGGTCTCCTTCTGCTTGCGCGCCTGCTCGGCCTCGGCCTCGGCCTTCTCGCTCTTCGTCTTCTCCTCAGCGGCGGCAGCGGCGGCGGCAGCCTTCGGTCTCCTTCGTCTTCTCCTCCTGGCCGACGTCGGCCTTGGCAGCGGCCTCGGCAGCCGCGGGCTGGGCCTTGGGCTGCGCCTGCGCCTTGGGCTGGGCCTTGGGTTGCTGGGGCTTGGGATTGGGCTTGGGCTGCTGCTGCTTGTCCTGGCGTGCGGCGAGGCGGGCGCGCGCCACCTCCTCCTCCATCTGCTTCTTCTTCTGCTTCTGGTTCTCCGCCGCCTCGGCCTGCGCCGCCGCCGCGGTCACCGGCTTCTTCTTGGCATCGGCCGTCGTCGTGGCCGTCGCGGCGGTCGTCGACTTGGACTTGCCGCCGGCCTTGGCGGTGGCGGGCTTCTTCTTGGCGGCGTCGAGCTCGCGCAGCTCCTGCAGCACCTTGAGCACGTCGGCCGGCACCCCGGTGTCCTTCTTCTTCTGCGGCTGCTCCTTCTTCTTCTGGGGCTGCGGCTGCGGCTGGGCCTTCTTGACGGGAGCGGGCTGGGCCGGCTTGGCAGCCTTTTGGGCGGCGGCCTGCTTCTTGGCGGCGGCGACGGGCACGACGGCGGGCGAACCGGGCGCGATGAAGTCCTCCTGGATGGTGAACGTGGCGGCCTTGCCGCGCGGCGACGGCGATCGCTTGCGCTGCTGCTGAGACTGGGACTGCGCGACCTTGGCTGTCGCCAAGGCGGGCGCAGCGGCAGCGGCGGGCTTGGCTCCCTTCTTGCCTGCACAGATCGGCGAGCGCGCACGCGATGAGACACGACACACGACACACGACACACACGACACACACACGACACACACACCCTTGGCGGCAGGGGGCTTTGGCTGGGCCTCCTTGGCACGGACGGGCTTGGGCTTGGGCTCGGCCTTGGGCGACGCCGCAACTACGGCGGCCGTTGTGGACACAACAGCGCCGCTGGGCGATGCCTCGGCGGCGGCGTGGGCCTGCACAGGCGCCCCCTGCTTCTCCGCCTCCGCAGCCACCGCCGGCGCGGTCTTTTCCTGCTGCTGGGGCTGTCGTCGCTTGGCCTTCGGCTTGGCTGGCTTGCTCTGCTTTCTTCGTCGGGCCTTGGCCGAAACCTGGCGACACGCACGACACACAGCACACGACACGACACGACACACACACGACCCGATCCGTAAGTTGTAAAAATGCAAAAAAAAACCAAGTGTAGAGGGGACTGCGTACGACGGGGGTTGAGGAGACGGGGGTGACGTGTGTGGTGTAGGCCGGCTGCCCGGGCTCCACGATATCAAAGCCGCGCCGAGCGCTCGTCTGCTCCTTCTTCGGTGCCGTCTGCGTCTTCCTGTACCAGTCATAAATATAAATACAAATACATAAAAATAGAAAATACCAATACGACAAAAAAGGAAAAATAAATAATTAACTGCGCGAAAAAGAGAACGAAAGAGAAGAGGGAAAAAAACGAACTTGGCATTCGTGGAAGGGACGGCAGGCAGCTGGTTCGGCTGTTTCTTCTGCTGGGGCTGCTGGGGTGCGGCCTTCTTCTTGCCGTCAGCGTTCTGCTGGGGCTGCTGCTTCTTCTGCTTCTTCTTACCGTCGGCGTTCTGCGGCTGCGCACTGCCGTTTGTGGCAGCAGCGTTGGTGGCGCCCTGCTGCTGCTTCTTCATCTTCTTCGAAGGGCCGGCAGATGGCGCGGACGATGAAGATGAAGAAGATGAAGCCGCAGATTTCGGCTTGGAAGATTTTCCGGCAGCGGTGGCCTTACCTCCGCGCGGCTGTGCATTGTTCGAAGTGCGAGGAGCGTGCATGGCGTTTGTGTGGTTGCCCCTTTTCTTTGCGACCTAATCTCGCCTCGACTGCTTGATTGATTGATTTGATTGTCAATCTCTGTGCGTCACTGAGAGAGCGCGAAAGCGGAGCTGACAGTCTGCCTTGTTGGTCTTTATTGGGGCAACCTCGAAATTTCGCCTTCATCGAAGAAGCCTCAAAAGGACGTGGGGCATGCCCTGCTAAAGTAAGAGACCCTTCCTAATCTTGTGAAATTGTGCAAAGGTACACTCCCTCCATTCCCACTTTATCTTTAGAGCACTCTGTCTCACTGGATCTGTTTGAGAATGTACATAAAATGCTCATCAGGTTTGGTTTAGCTCCAGTTCTTGTTGGTTACTGAAGAAGGCACCAGCAAGACTGTTGTTTTGAGCAGTTCTTCTTTCTTTGGGCTTAGAAGACAAATACATCCTGGACCCGCTGACCAAATCGTTTCGTCCATCGAGGGCTCTGCTTGATCTGCACCTGGTTGGCGACGGCGGCCTTGGCCTTGGCCTGGTTCGCGGGATCGTGCATGAAGCGTCGGAGTAAGTCCTCCTTCAGCGTGTCCATCACAATGAACGTCGAGTCGTCTGTGTAGAACCGCTCACCATCTTCTGGTGTGTGTGTGCGTGTCGCGTGAGCGAGGCGGCTTGGGTGGTGCGGAGGTGCGTCTGGCCTAGTACCTAGTTCGATGAAGGAGACGCCATCTTCGAGAGCGGTCTCCATGAAGTCGAAGTGGTCCAGCATCACGCTCGCGTCGGCAGCGAACAGACCGCGGCCGCACTCTCTGAGCTGCGAGGTGATGCGCTTCTTCATGTCGGTGTGGTCCTGCCCGGCGTTGAACCTGAAGGCGGCCGGATTGATATCCGACGTGTTGAAATAGATGCGCGCCAGACCGTCCACAAAGTCGTTCTGCCGATAAACACAGACGAGCAAGAAGGTGGTGAGTTGGTGCGGCGTGTGTCATGTACGTCGCCGTGTCGTGTCGCGTATTTTAGCTGTGGGCCTTACCATGACCTGCTTGCGGTCTTCGCTGTCGCTGCTCACAAATAGCATCACCACAGGCTGCGAAGCCTGCGCGGGTGGACAGGCGGAGAATGGAATTCGTTTAGCGGCTGCGGCTGACCGACGACCACGCATAACGCGTCCCGTACCCGCTTGCCGAACAGGACATTGCTGATCTGGTCGACGTTGGCCAGGGCTGGTTCGGTCGCGTAGTTGGCCTTGCTGTACTGCAGCACTTCCGTATACTGCGTGTCGGTCCCCGCCCAACGGAGGTGGGGGCACCAAAGGTTCAGTACATGTGCGCTCGTCAAGTCTGGAGGAGCTCCGTTTGTACCTTCTGCGCATCGAGCTCCTGAGCAAATCGGTTCGAGTCCATGCCGCAGTTCCCCCCAGCAGCGAACGACGCGTAGGCGGGATTGTAGACTGTAAGCACGTCATACGACACCACACGACAGTCAGCCGTGTGTGTGTGCCTTGGCGTGACACGATCGGTGTTTGGACGTACGCGAGTAGATGAAGGCCGGGATGAGCAGGAGAAGCACAAAGGCAACGGCCGCGGTGCAGCTCACGCCACTCCGACCCGAGCTCTGCGCGGTGGCCCGCTTCCTGGCGCTCTCCCTGGCGATCGCCTCGCTCGCTCGCACGGCCGCACCCCTCTTCGGCCTCCCTCCGCCACTGATCGTCTCTGCCGTCGATGATGCGCTTTCCTGGATGACGGCGGCATCTTCATCGCTGACTCCCTCTCCCGATCTGTGCCTCAGGCCTTGAAGAATCGAATGTTAATTTGAAGTGTGATGGTGGAAAGAGGATTGTGCATTAGTGGATGAAGATTGATGGACGCGCACCATGTATTTCTCGTGCCAGGTAGGCCTCGCGATCCTCATCATGCTCCTCCTCCGCTTCGAAATCGTCGGCCGTGAATTCGACCTCGTTGTCCTCTTCCTCCACGTCGTCCTGGGGCCTGTAGTCATCATCTGATTCCTCCTGCGCGCTCTGCTTCCTCATCTCTTCCATCTTTGCCGTGTAGAACAAGAAACGAAAAAGAACAAAAAAAAAGTGGTGTGGCACTTCTTCGAAACAAAGGGAAAGATCGGAGGCTGGAGCGAGGTGACCTTTGGTCCGTCACTTAGAGGATGAAGGAGGCAGCCAGAGGGAGCATACCACAAGATGAGAACTGCAGCTGCTGAGCTGAGCGTAAGGCGGAGGTAATGGCTCAGCCACTACTCTGTGCGAAGCCGCTACACTTTTTCAGAGGGACCAATGAACATTCAACGGGGGAGGAGAATAGCAAAGTGTAGCGGCACAAGAAGAACGACAGCATCATCCACCGCCGCCAGAAGCAGCACACATGAGCATCCATCAATCTCCCGGCCGAATGATCCTCCGTCCCCGCCGCCACACCCTCGGTGTTGACCCCATGGCCACCTCTCCCATCCGCGTAGACGAGAGCGCCACCAACGTCCATGACGTGGAGGCCTCTACTTCTGCCGACGATGCAAACAACAAGGACAGCAGCAACACGGAGGACCAAGACGCCGCCTGGACCAACGAGCCTGAGTCCGACTCGAGCCTCGACCGCGCGGAGGAGCCCGAGTTCAACTCGACCGACCAGACCACCCGCCAAGCGGCAGTGCAGGAAGCCAACCGCCTCCTGCTGACGGCCACGCGGCTCATGATGAGGCTCGCTCTCCACGCCACGCAGGGCCAAGTTCCTCAGGCCACGGTCGCCCTCCACTGCGAGCTGCTGGACATCCTCGAGGCTCTTGGAGCCGAGGTCGGCAGGTGCGTCTGACACTACAAGAGCTTCCTCTACTTCACTACTTTCCACTCGACGCGTAGGCCCTCTCCCATTGTTAGCATTGCATAAAAATTTCTACACGCCACCTCAGTGCCTGTACCTCGCTGGAGCACCATGGTAGCTCTTCTTCTTCTTTACGGCATCATCAACCAGACCACTTGACAAAATGCTGCCTAGATCAACCATGCAATGAATTGAAATGTGTAGTAAGCGGCTTGATTCCATCTTTCTCGGTCAATGTCATCATCGATGCCAGACGCACATCATCACACCTCGGGCGCGGAGCCGAGGGAGTAGTGGAGCATGGCGACGGTCATGAGGGTGGAGAGGATGGCAAAAAGGAAGAGGATCTTTCTCATCGTTATCCGCATCCGACGCGGCGGCTTCTTTGGTGCCGTTGACGGTGGCGGCAGGCTCATCTTCTTTGTCTCCGGCCTGTCGTGTGCGCGTGATCAGTTCTGGGTGTCGCGCGCGTGTGTGTTGCGTGTGTGTTGTGCGGTGGTGCGTGTGCGCCGTGCGTGCGTGTGTGATGGGGAGAGGAGGCGTACGTGGAAAGGTTCTTCCAGAGCTGGCCGATGGAGTGCTTTTCGTATTTGTTGTCATCGACGTCGTACGAGGGGTCGGCCGGGCCACCGCTGTCGAGCGGGCCACGGAGCGGGGCCTTGCGGGAGGTGATGCCCTCGAGGGACCCGCCCGCCTTGTTGGATCCGATGTCGAAGCCTGCCAGATCCTGCGAGCCCGGGTTCGAGGGCGGCTCCGGCCCAAGGCCGAGCCTGCGCGCGAGGTAGCTGTCCTCGTCCAGCTCGTGCTGGATGGCCGACATGTCGCCCAGCTCCATCACCACATGGTCCCTGTGCCCGTCCGCCTAAGGCGCACATGTATCACGCTGCAGTGTGAGAGCCACAATCGCACCGCAGGAATGAAATGGCACGAAAATACACCGCCCAGGCAGTGTGTAGTCTCGCGCACACTGCACGACACGACGTGGCATAACAACAACAACAGAGGAGATGGTGTGGCAGGGCCTGGTTACCTTGGGCTTGATGGTATCGAGCCAAGGAGCGTTGTCCAGATGCTTCAGCAAGGTCTGCGCCAGCGGCGAAGACGACCCGGGTGGCGGGATGATCGGTTTCTACAGCGACGGCCAAGCCACACAAGGTGACTGTGATGAGCTACTAACAACAAAGACGGCGGACTTGAAGAAAAAGAAGAAATAGGAGGAGGAGCAAACCTGACAGGTGGGGCAGGTGAAGCCCGCTTGAGCTGTGTTTGGTGGGAAGGAGGCGCAGTGCACGTCGATGCACTCGGGATGGAACATATCTGTGCACGAGAACGCACGGCCAGCATTCGACAGGAGTGCCCCACGTTGAGCAAGAGCTCCAGACGAGCAGCACGAGAAGGAGAAGAGATAGGGAGAGAGGAGAGGAGGGCGACGTACGAAGGCAGGTTAGACGGAGAACGTTGTCGGGAGTGACGGGGTCCTTGCAGATGTGGCATACGGGCGGTTCGTACTCGGGATCTTGAAGCCATGCCACGTAGGTATCAATGGGACACTTTGGCAGCAATCACAAATCAAGAACAAATCACATGGGGCGCCATTAGTCACCCTTTCTGCGTAGAACGATTGGGTGATGACGTGTCGTACGGTTTTGTGTTCAGGGCAGATGCAACCTTGGCAAACTGCCTTTTTGTGCACAAAACAGAAGAGGTCTGTAATGTTCATACATTTGCAGAGCCCCATGTTGATGTTGATTCGTATCGTTCGATTTCTGGCTCTCTATGTCAGATTTTGCCAACTAGAGGGTGGCCGCAAATATCCGGCGACGGACGACGCAAGTGTCTGTTTGGGGAGTCAGCACATTCTCCACGAGTTGCCGAGCTGAAAAGGAAAATAACACTCAGCAATCCTTGAGACAATGCAGTCATCAGAGGACGGATAGACTTCTTCAAGCTACACCAGTTCAGCACCTCCCCGATCTCTAACGATTTCTTTTCGATCTTTGATAGCCCACGTAGCTCAATCACGTCAAGCGTGGGGCAGGAGCCTTCCTGACCGCAAAAAACAAAAAACAAAAAAAAATCCCGCACACGTCACCAGCTCACCAAACCACTTTGAGCACTCGCAACGGACAGAGTGGCAAATCGCGAGTGACCTACGCCACAAGACTGACGCCATCTGCACGACGAGGATGAATATCTTCAGGATCATTGGCGATCTTATGCACCTGTCGAGCATCCTTATGCTCCTCTGGAAGATCAGGGCCACCAAATCATGCGCGGGTAATCGAATCGATGAACATATTTGCCTTCCTTTCTCAACCAAGTAGTTCTGCCCTCATCTCTTTCACTATGGTGCAGGCGTCTCGCTCAAGACGCAGGAAATGTATGCGCTGGTGTTTGTGACACGCTACCTCGACATCTTCTGGAACTTCTCCTCCCTCTACAACTCCATCATGAAGATCATTTTCCTCGGCACCTCCTTTGCCATCATCTACTTCATTCGGATGAAGTACCGCCACTCCTACGACAAGTACGCCCTGCCCCGTGTTTCGCTGCCCCCCCCCCCGCAGTGTGTGGTCGTTCAGCATAGATTGCAGCGATGCTACAATTCAATCTTCCAGGCACCATTTCAATTCAATTCGAGTGGCGCCCACCTTCGTGGTCGGTGGAGCGCAGCAAGTGCATAGAGCGTGCGCACCTTGCAAGTGCCTCCGTCTGATCGTTTTCTCTTCTCTTCTCTTCGACGTCCACCGCTGCAGGGAGCACGATTCGTTCCGCGTGGTATTCCTCATCGGTCCGGCGCTCCTGCTGGCGCTGGTGTTCAACCCCGAGTTCTCGTTCTTCGAGATCCTGTGGGCCTTCTCCATCTACCTCGAGGCGCTGGCCATCCTGCCGCAGCTCTTCCTCCTCCAGCGCACCGGCGAGGTGGAGACCCTCACCTCGCACTACATCTTCGCCCTGGGCGGCTACCGCGCGTTCTACCTCCTCAACTGGATCTACCGCCTCGCCACCGAGCCAGGCTATTCTAACTGGATCGTTTGGATCGCTGGGTAAGTCGACACGACACACACACACACACACACACACAACACACACACACAACACACACACCACACACACCACGGCGCACTGCGTGATACGCTGCAGAAGATCACGATCGGAGAGTGTGTGTGCGTGTGTCGTGTGTGTGTTGCCTTAGTCGAGTCCCTTTGGCTGACATTGTTGTGTGTGTCACACCTGCAGGTTCGTGCAGACCGTGTTGTACATGGACTTCTTCTACTACTACATCCAGAGCAAGTGGTACGGCAAGAAGTTCGTCCTTCCCGCCTAAAGATCTTCTGCTGTCGAGGAGAGAACGAACGCTCGCCGCTCCCGCTACACGCCTTCTTCTTCTGACCCTCCCGCGTACTTACCCGCATCTTGATAGTTTTGAGAGAAGAAATATACAAGAGAGTGGTCTTGCTCGTGGCGTCCCTTCTTTGCCCTGGCGCCATGGCCTTGCATTTATTTATACATAAATAAATGTTGCTACTTATTGTTTATTTATTTTCCTATTCAGGTTTATATCTGCGAAAAAGGAAATTGAAGCCTCCTGCCCTCAAGTTATTGATCTAGACACAACAACAGCAAACCAGGCGGGTTGAGTGCAAGCCAAGAAGACAACACGGCCCAAAGAGAGGTCAGAAGAAGTAGAATTAGAGAAAGACAAAGGACAGTAGATAAGATGGGCGAACCGCAGGAACAGCAGGGAACAAAGGCGATGATGGTGATGGGCAGCACCTACCACTCCTACACGGCGGGAGAGAAGAGGGCCTTCTGCATTCGCACCAACCAGCTGCTTGCGGGCGACCCCGATCTCCAGGACATGCTCCCCATGGACCCCGACTCCAAAGATCTCTTCGACGTCGTCTCCAAGGGCATCCTTCTCTGGTTCGCCACTACACCCTCATGTTTTCTGTTATTTATTTTTCTTTGTTTTTCTTTTCTCTCCAATTCAATTCGTATGAATCGATTCGATTCCGTGCTGCGGAGGCGTGCCGCTGCTCGCTCACAACGTGACGACCATGCCTGACACATGTGAGCAGTAAGTTGATTGAAAAGGTGGCGCCCGGCACCATGGACAAGAGGAAAACCAACCTGCGGGCAAAGGACATCTTCAACGTCATGATCAACCACAACGCCGCCATTGAAGCCGCCAAGGAAGCCGTACGCCCCAAACCACCCCTCTTTGTGGGCTGCTACCTGCGTTGGCTGACCGCTGTGTTGGTCTACAGGGCTGCAACATTGTCAACATCGGTCCTCAGGACTTCGTAGACAAACAAGAGCACTTGATCCTCGCCTTCATCTGGCAGCTCCTCAAGGTAAACGCGCCGCACACGCACGACCGCACACGCAAGGCCGCACGCATGCTAAGGGACACTTCGCCGCACGTACCGTACACAGCTGGAGCTGCTGCGGGGCGTCAACGAGGTGCAGATGGCCGAGTACTTCATCGAGGCCGAGATGACCAAGGCCGACGTGGCGTCGGTCGAAGGCGCCCATATCGAAGCCACGGCCACGGCCACTGCCTCCAGCGCCAAGAAGTCCCCCGAAATGGCCCTCCTGAGATGGTGCAGCACCCCACTCACGCGCACCAACCTGAACCCGCGCAGGGCCTCACCGCCTCCCCTTCCTCCTCCTCCTCCTCCCGCAGGTTCAACGCCCTGCTCCACCGGGTCGAGCCCAAGGTGCCCGAGGTCCGCAACTTTGGCGAAGACATCAAGGTGCGGCCTCTCTCTCCCTCAACGCAGAGAAGCTCGTGATGACGATGACGTTGGTTGCGCCGCACAGTTTCGATGACAGTCTGTTGACTGCAGCTTTTTCTTCTCCACTCGCGCGCCAGGGCTCGGAGGCGTACATTGTGCTGATGAACCAGATCTCGCCCGACATGTGCAGCCTCGACGGCCTTAACATCCCCGATCTTGTACGCCTCTGCCTTCTTTTCTTTTCTTTTCTTCTGCAAACTCACCACCACGGGACTGTAGGATCAACGCGCCGAGTTTGTGGTGGCCAACGCATTCAAGCTGGGCTGCAACCCGTTCGTGACCCCCTACGACATCGTGCAGGTGCGCTCCGACATATACATACTCTAACCCACCCGCATCCTTGCCCACACCGCACACACACGCGCGCGCACACACACTGAACACTGAACACACGCACACGACGCACACTACAGGGCAACCGTAAGCTGAACCTGGCCTTCACCGCAACGCTCTTCCACAAGTACGCCGAGTGCGCCGAGAAGCGCAGGCACGACGATTTGGTCATCCAGGCCCGAGTACGACTCCCTAGCCTGTGACTGTTTTTCCTAACTCTCAACGCACTCACGGCACACGGCACACGGCACGCACAACACACAGGAGGAGGCGCTGCGCAAGAAGCAGGAGGAGCTGGAGGCGATCCAGCGTGAGGAGGAGGAGCGAAGGCGGCGCGAGGAGGAGGAGCTCGCCCGGATCGAGCAGGAGCGGCTGGAGGAGGAAGAGCGCGTACGGCGCGAGGAGGAGGAGCGCGAGGCTGCCGAGCGCGCTGCCGTCGCCGCCGCCCAGGCCGCCGAAGAGGCCGAGCGTGCGCGGCTCGACGCCGAGGCCCAGTCCCTGCGCGACGAAGAGGCCCGGCTGCAGAGGGAAGCTGAGGCCGAGGAGACCCGGCTGCGGGCCGAGGCCGAGGCCGAGGCGCGGGCCAAGCTGGACGAGGAGGCGCGGGTGAGGGCCGAAGCGGAGGCGGAGGAGGCGCGGATGCAGGAGGAGGCCCAGAGCGCGCAGAGGCAGGAGGAGGAGGCGGCCCGGTGCAAGGAGGAGAGGCGGAGGGAGGAGGCGGCCCGGCTGGAGCGGATCGCGGAGGAGGAGCGCGAGCGGTTCAGGAAGCTGCGGCACGAGGAGGAGCGCGAGCGGATGCGGAAGATCGAGGAGGCCCAGCGCAAGGAGGACCAGGAGGCCGAGTACCGCGAGGAGGCCCAGCGCAAGCGCAAGGAGGTCGAGGACAAGAAGAGGTCATTTCCACACACACACACACACACGCCACACACACACACACACACACACACGACACACACGACACACACACACACACACTCAACCAGCCGCACACTGATGGATTACTGTGGAGCAGGCAGCAGATCGAGCAGCGCGAGACGGAGCGCTCCGAGTGCCCGGTGGTGCTGTTCGTCACCGACGCCCCGGAGGAGTTTGCGGCGGCCGAGGCGCATCTCACCTCGCAGGGCCGCAACGCCATGTTCTGTACCATGGAGGACGTGCTCGAGCTGATCGAGCGGACGCAGTCCGACCACATCGTGCTCACGGGCCTCTTCAACACGTACGTGAGCGCGCCACACGACACGACACGACCAACGACACGACACGACCAACGACACGTGTGAGCCTGATCTGATGATGTGTGGCGCAGTAACGAGGAGGACCACGACGCCGAGCTGGATGTGGCGTCGTCGATCGTGGAGAAGTACGGCGAGAAGAAGAAGGTGATCTGCTTCAACAGCATCATCCAGAAGAAGCCCATCCTGCAGAAGCGCTGCGAGGCCTTTGGCCTGAGCCCTGTCAAGTAGCCCCGCCCGCCTCCCCCTCCGCCCAAATGCATCGCACTTGCCACAGATTGACCAACACGACACTCGCGCGTGCAGGAGGGGCAACACGCTGTGGAAGCTTCTGGGCATCAAGGACGCTCCGCTGCAGGGCGCCAAGCCCAAGTACGCCCCCCCCCACTTCTCTGTAACAGCGACAGACCACACTCGCTCCCTTGGGTTCGCACTCACGCCGCTGCCCTTACCACTGGTGTTCAGAACAACAACCAAGGCATAGGTTGAAGGCTGCAGCCCTTGCTGGTCGCACCAGCGGCCCACGCAAGCAGGAAGATCGTGCTCGCTGTAAGTTATTATTCGTTACCACTTGGTCACCAACACAACACCAAAGGCCAAGCCTTTCCCTTGTCCCCTGCTTGCTTCGTGTGGTTTCATTGGGAAGAGAGAGAAGCTTTGTTTTTGGCGATGGTAATGGACACAAAAGACTTCATCTTCTTTAGAAGGACACCTTGGAGGCGTCGAACTGGAGGCCCGAGGCCTGGAGCTGCTTGACGAGCTCGCGGCTGTCGGCGACGAGCTGGCTGTACTGCTGGAAGGTGGCGCTCTGCTGACGGAACTGGGCGAGCTCGGCGGCCTGCTTCTGCGCGAGCGGGAGGGCCTGGACGGCGAGCGGGTCGGTGGTGACGATGTCGGTCATCTGGGCCACGTGGAGCGGGCTCATGCCCGACGACTCGAGCGACTTGGCAAAGAGCTCCTTGTTGGTGAGGATGTCGATGTCGGCCTGCAGCTTCTGGAGCAGCTCCTCGTGAGCCTTCTTGGCCTGCTGGTCGAGCGCGTCGATCTCCTTGACCTCGGCCGACAGCGCGGCGAGCGCGTCGACGAGCTCGCGCTTGACCAGGGCGTCGAGGTTGCCCGACAGCTGGGTGCTCCAGTTGGGGTTGAGCGTGGCCGACGGGTTCTCGCCGTAGCTGAAGTAGAGCGTCGGGTCCTCGAGGTAGCCGGCAGTGCGCGACGCCATGAACTCAGTCAGGAAGTTGTGGTTCTTCGTGTCTGTGTTGATGTTGTTTTTGTTCGTTTTAACGGGTGAGCATAGAGGGCCTACGTCGCGGGGGGGGGGCACGCGTACTGACGGCGGTATCGACGGTGGGCTGGATGGTGGGGTTGGTGACATGCTCGAGCTCCGCCTTGAGGAGCTGCTCATCGTACTGTTGTCCAAAGATTTTGGCGAAAGACAGTCAGTGTACGGGGCGATTGGTAATGGCGGGGGGGGGGGCTAAATGGCCGAATTGCAGTGCGAAAATAAAGAAAATGGGGCAGCAAATTTCGCGAGTACGTACGGGCTTGATCTGGACGACGTCCTTGAAGAGGGCACCCTCGGGGGTATCAGCCGAGAACTTGGCCTCGAACTGGCCGCGGGTCTGGTTGGCCTTCCTCTGGACACCCTCTTCGAGCTGCGCCTTGCTCTTGGAGGTGAAGGGTCGCGTGGGGTACTCCGCAGTGGCAGTGTCGCCGATGACCTGGAACTGGATCTCATCGACGTTGGGCGAAGGGGCAGCCGAGGCAAAGAGGCGCATGGCCTGAGCAGACTGCCTCTGACCGAGGATTACGGACTGAAGCGGGGTGTTAAATGGAGGCCATTGTGCCGGATACTATCTTCTTCATGCAATCTACGCGCAATTAACGTAAATACTCGCTTACGTACCCTGGGAACCTGACGGAGACCTCGCTTCATCATCTTCTATTACTTTGTAATGTGCAAGCTCTGCGAGAATTGGCCTTCGGGTCGTTGATCGGCTTCGCATTTTTATTGTCGACATTCACTTGTCGACATTTTTGAGGTGTGGTATGTACAGAATGCTCACAGTTGGGCTGCTTGCTGCTCAGCTGTGGGCAAAGATGTGAACGGCGTTGTTGAGCTGGGTGATCTGGTTGCTGCAGCTCTCCTGGATGAGCTGGGTGAAGCGCGCGGAGGCCTCGGCGTCGGTGAGTTCGAGCGCCAGGGCGCGACGCAGGTAGTCGAGGTCGTCCAGGCTCTCGAGCTGCGACATGCCGCTCGACACCATCATGGCGAAGAGGGTGATGAAGAGGTGGCCGTGGCGGCGGATGACGTTGTAGGCCCGGCAGCAGTGCGACACGAACGAGCGGAAGTTGGACGAGTCGAGGCCGCCCATGGCCTGCACGAAGGCCGGCGTGAGCACGAACGGCGTCGTCTCCCGCGGGATGCCGGCAAAGGTGACCCGGCGGCCCAGGAAGTAGGCAAAGTCGATGTGGAAGAGGTTGCCGCCGTAGGTGATCATGATGTTGTCGTTGTGGCGGTCGCCCACGCCCAGGATGTAGGTGGCCACGCAGTAGCCGGCGCAGGACAGGGTGAAGTTGGTCACAGCCTCGCGATAGGCCGCCTCGGTCGGGTTGCACGCGCGCAGCCACTCGGCCAGCGCCGTGCGCGAGAAGGCGCTCACGGCGCCGCCGCCGCCGTAGGCCTGCGAGATGGCGCTGGTGGTCTCGGAGTTGGTCACCACCTCGATGATGCCCTCGTCCTTGCCCGTGCTCACGGCGCGGTAGGGCTGCATGTGGAGGTCGAGCCCCTCGTTGCGCCACAGCTGGTCCATGATGCGGATCATCTGCAGCGAGAGGATGTCGGTCCGCAGGTCGTCGCCCACCTTGAAGATGATGTGCGCCGTCTGTCGCTCGCGGTTCTCAAACACCAGCCACAGCGGACTCTGCAATAGTTCATTGCACGCGCACACGAAACCGGTCAAAACGGGTCTCAACGCGTTGCGTGTGCGTGTGCGTGTGCGGCGTGTGCGTTATGTACCGTCATGGAATCCATCACTCGGCACTTCTCAACGAGCAGTCTCGACACCTCGAACCTGCACAAACGCGTTTGCAGTTTCACAGTCAGCGATCACGGCCCCGGCAGCACAATAGACACAAACGAAGCGCATCGCAGCGCAGTGTGAAGGATGAAGGCGTACTTAGGGTTGTAGGGGAGGAGGAAGGACGAGGGCAGCTCGAGGAGCCTAAGCTTGGCCTGAAGCACCTTGGTGCGCTCGTCCTTGGGCACCTCCTTCAGCTCCTTGGCCACACGCGCGAACTCGGCCACCACCGCCAGCTCTCTCTTCATCTCCTCCGTCGTCTGTACACGCAAAAATCAGGAAAAAACAAGCAATCGAGAAAGAAAAAGAAAAGAGGGTCGGGAATGGGAGACGCACGCCGTCGTCGTCGCTGGCGGCCAGGAAGGCTTCGATCATCAGCTTGAACCGCGCCGAGTGGCTCTCGTTGTGCAGCTCGGACTGTCTCGACACACCAACGGTTGGCACACGGTGAGCTCGCGATCAGAGCGTGAAATGAAGTGATGCGAAGCGCGGGGGAGAGAGAGGTGCGCGTACGGTGAGGTGCCAGAAGAAGGGGTGGCCCAGCACGATCGAGCGCATGGACCGCAGGAAGAGGAACTCGAACAGGTGGGAGTAGTGGTGGGGCTCGGACTTGAGGACTTGGATGAGCTGAGGCAGATATTCGACCAACTGCCGATCCGTGAGCTCTCGCAGGCAGTTCACCGCATACCTCCGCACCTCCGTGTCCACGTATCGCGCTCCCAACAGCTGCATTGGCACGCGACACACGACACACGACACACATGACACACGACACACACACGACACACGACGCGTGTTATTTGAGCAACCACACGAAAGTGCGGTGAGGTGCGAGGTGCGTACCTCGAGCGCATGAACCGGCGGGAGGGGCGGCCAGTTGGCGAGGAGGGCGTGAATTGCGGCGATCATCTGTCGGTTGGTGGAGGGCGCCGCCAGGAGAACCTTGGCCAGGGAGTAGGGCCGTTGCGAGCGGACGTAGCCACGGTACTTCCACACCAACGCCTTCTCCTCCGTGCTCATCTCGTAGAGCGCGTCTACACGACACGACACGACACACACAAGCGCATGGTGAGGGGACGCCCCCACCACACACGACCCACCCGCCAAGTGAAGAGGACAGTCGCAAGGTACCTCGCATCAGGATCAAGTAGAGCAGGGGCTGCTCGTGCTGTGCCGGTGTTTCGCCATGCTCCTCTCCCTCCTCCTCCGCCTCCTCGTCCCTGGTCTGACCGGTGGCGTCGGGCTCGGACCGACGCGTCTCGCCGGAAAATGATATGAGCTTGGGCGACGTCGCATCGAACTCGACCACCAACGCCACCTCCTCTGCGCGTCATGACGGGAAACAATTTTAATATAAAATATAAAATAATATCTAAATATAAATAAATAAATAAATAAATATAATGAAGGGGGTAGGTACGGCGAGGGGAGCCGGCGGCGGGCGTTACGAGGGACCACATCGGGAGGCAGTAGGAGCCGCGCCGCAGGACGCCCCGGAAGTCGGCGTAGGTGATCTCGGTGGCGGCCAGGGGCACCGTCTGGTTGGCCGGCCGGAACAGGTTGGTGATCATGCCCATGGCTCCGCCGCCCTGGGCCTTGCACGCGTAGAGCGTGAAGCAGAGCCGTGCCTCCCGCGGGATGTTCTGCGCCGAGCAAACGTTTGAGACAGAGCGAACTGCGCGCGCCCGCTTGTGTGTCGTGTGGTGTCGTGGTGTCGTGTGTGTCGTGTGGTTACCTCCATGCTGAGCAGCTCGGTAACGAGCCAGTCCTCCCAGATGGGCTGTGAGGGGAGCACGGGCTGGGTGTGAAGGACGGGCGCCAGAAGCTGCTCGCCAAAGTACAGACTGAACGCCACAAAGACGTTGACGCGATCGCCCTCAATGTCCAACCCGTAGAAGGAGTTGGCGTCGTAGAGGAGTTGCTTGTTGAGATTCTCCACGCTTTTCACCTTCACCTCGAATCGCTTGCTCACGTCGTGCACATGAAAACAGTTTTGTACAGCTGCAGACACTGGTTAGTCGCCACACGACACGCACACGACACACACACACGGCACACACGGCCCACACACGACACAGAGCAAATGCCTTGGGCGCCCGGTTGGGTCGACGTACTGAGGTCAAAGCCCAGCCCCTCGTCGGCCTCGATCGAGCAGAATGACTGCTCACCCGCGGGCGAGTCGTCGACGGAGGCGCCGTCCGTGTGGTGCAGCTGTGCCTCGTACGGCAGCAAGTCAAATTCGATCGCTCGCGACTTAGTGATGGCATCCCGCACGTAGACGATGGAGTGCAGGCTGATGTCGGCGTCGACGATGTACTCGTTCAACCGGCCGCATCTGATCATAAAATCTTCGATCGCCGGCAGAGCCCACGAGACCGACATGTCCACAGCTTGCGCGCGGAAGAGCACCTCCTCTGCAATGGTGTGCACACGCAAAACGTACGCACGCACGACACGCACGCGCATGAGCGATGGAGTGCCGAGCGAAGGTGGGCTGGGTGCGTGGCCTCGTACCAATGATGACTCGCTTGAGGTTGGTGTCCTTCGAGCAGCGGACGCGATAGGCGTTCTTTCCCATGCGGAACAGGACGAGGAACACGCCCGGAAAATTGGATGGCACGGGAGCGTCGGTGAGCTCGGCCAAGATCAGGCGCACGCGTCGCATGCTCTGCGCCTGCACCACCCTATATATATATCATTGGTTTGCGTGAGTCTTCCGGGCACACTCTCAAGGGGCGCGAGAGCCAGTTCTAGAACAGGGTCCAAGTCGTACTTTGTCACTTTGGTGCGGAAGTAGGCCACTTCCTGCTTGTCGACCACGATGTCATCGGCGCGCAGCTCCAGCTCGGGAACGGAACCCTTTGCGATGGGCTCCTGCTCGATCGATCGCACAGATCAGTCTTTTTGCATCGACAAAACGAAAGAACGAAGAAGGAAGTGGAAAGAAGAACGCACGTTTTGTATGAGAGGGAGGAGGTTGAGCATCTTGATCTGCGTAGGCTTGACGTCTTCCCACGCAAAGGGGCTCGGCTCGGGCCGGTCCGGCGTCCAGATCCAGGACTCGTTCGCCTGCACACAGCGACCCAGCCCCCAGTTAGTGACACCCCGCATGGAGGGACAAAAGGCACACACGAAGCGCTTTACCCAGTCGTCGCCGTGGGTGGTGGCGTCGGCAGCGGCAGCGGCAGCGGCGGCAGTCGAGCGAGACTTGGCCTTGCGGTGCTTGATGGCGTACTTCCACTCCTTGCGCTCTTCGTCCGAGTTGGCGGCAAAGTAGTGGTAGTCGCCCGAGCTGGTCTCTACGATGAAGCAGTGCTCGCGCAGGGCCTGGACGTTGGCCACCGACAGACCACCGCTTTCGCCCAGGCCCAGCACCAGCATGGGGTTCCTGTACTCGAGCAACCTCTGACGAGGTTCACACATCACCACCACAATCGCGACGTCACTACGCTGATGTCGCTGAAGAGAGACGCGAGAGCTTAGCGTTACCTGTTGAGGGCGGAAGAAGAAGAGGGCCTCGGGCTTGCAGATGCACCAGAGGCGAGTCCAGCTCGGGTCGGCCTTGGCCATCTTCCACAGGAAGCCCTCCTTGACGATTCCGCGTCGAGTGAACCCCACATTTTGCTGTTCAACGATTTCAAAGAACATCAAACAAGAGTGGATGAGATGAAGGCGATTCTTTCTATGACACGTGATTGAATGCATGTAAGAAAAAAAAGAGGGGGGGGAGGATGAAGGGAGCGAACCGGTCCTGCGCTGGGCAAAGAGGCACGAGGCACAACGAGGCAGTCGTTGGGCGTTTCGGCTCGACATTCAACGTGCACAGCGCAGGAGCAGCGCCTACAGCGGAGGCCCGAGGCAAAGCTCCACATGACGTCTTTGCAATAGCGGCATAGAGTGGGCAGGTAGACCGTCTCAGCCACAAAGTCATGAGGGGCGGTCGTCGTTGATGATGATGAATGACAACATCGAGGCCTCGATGTTGTCGAGGATGAGGAGGAGGTTCCTCTTGAGGCCCTCGATCCGCCCTCGGGGCGCAACATTCCTTATCTTTTACTTCTTCTTCCTTCACCAATCTAACCAACTCTCGCCAGTCCGTGGGTCTCTCGATGGATGTGAATATAAATTGATAATGCAGAACTCAAGATTGATCCAACCCAGCCGCGAGCTACGTGATGGAATTTCTAGCGAAACGGAAGAGCTGCGCGCAGGGAAATGATGTCTCTATTCTTGATTTTTCGTTTCATTTTTCGGGTGTGTGGCGCTATGTTCCACGACAACATGTTGGAGGCACGAGCCACACCAGCGCCACACCAAGAAGAGGGAGTGGCTGACTGATCAACAAGCTCGTGGTGATATGCTGATATAATTTATTGTGTCAAACTCTTGAATCAATGGACCGATGCCATTTTGACGTGGGGAGGCGCATTGGGCCTTGTCTAGTCGCGGGTCTCCTGGTGGTCGTCACCGCTCGGGCGGCGGTCGTCGTAGTCACGGGCAGGGCTACCGCGCTCCGCGCTCCTGGGCCTGTCGTCCCTGTTGCCGCCGCGGAACGGGCTGCTTCTGTCGCCCCCGGCGCTGGGCGAACGGCTGTCCCGATCGCCGCTTCGGCGGTCGCCATAGCCACGGTCGCGATCGCCATAGCCGCCGCCACGCTCGCGGTCGCCATAGCCACGGTCGCGATCGCCGTAGCCACCACCACGCTCGCGATCGCCATAGCCCCTATCGCGGTCGCCGTAGCCGCCGCCCCTGCTGTCACGGCCGCCATAGCCGCGGTCGCGATCGCCATAGCCCCTGTCTCGGTCGCGGTCGCCATAGCCACCGCGGTCTCGGAAGCCACCGCGGTCCTCGCTGCCGCCGAACCCGCCGCGTCTGGCGGAGGGCGGACGATAGGCGCCGCCGGCGTCGCCGCGCTCGTCTCTCTTCGGCACCGCAGTCCTAGGGCCGGAACGCCAGTCCTCGGTGCTGTGTGCGTTGCAATGCAATGCAAGAAGAAGTTGAGTTAGCGGTTATGCTTGTGGCTCGTAGTGGCGGTGTAATGGTGCGTGGTGCGTAGGCTTGATTGTGTTGGCACTTACCTGCTGGTGTTGTAGCGCGACTCCTCTTCGCGAGGAGGACGCCTGTCGACGGGGCGCTCGTCGCGGGCAGCGGGGCGCTCGTCGCGGACGCTCAGCTTCTGCACGCCCTCGGTGACGGCCTCAGTCTGAGTGGCTCCGGAGGCCGGCTCCTCAGCCGCAGACTCTTCGCCACCCGCCGCGGCGGCGGCCGGCTCCTTCGCGAGCTCGGCGAGCTCGGGCTTCTCCTGGAGCACCAGCTCCCGCGGCTTGGCCCCACCAAAGGGGTCGAAGGCGGGCTTCTTGCGCTCCCTCGGGGGCTGCTCCGCCGCGCCTCCAGCACCAGCTGCGGCCGGGCGCTCCGCAGAACGAGCAGCGGCCTCGCTGCGCACATGCACATCATGCGCGTGAGCTACTATGAGCGCCAAGCGCGGTAGGGCAGAGATGGGAGTGCGTACGCAGGGGTGAGGTCATCTCTGCCGGCGCCGAACCTGGACTCTTCGTCGCGGGCGGGCGACGGCACGCGGGGCTCATAACCGCCGGCGCGGCGAGGCGGCGCACTGTCGCGGTCGCGGTCGCGGTCGGCGCCCCAGTGCTCGCCGCCGGTGCTGTAGCGGCCGCCGCCCTCGCGATCGCCATAGCCTCCTCTGCCGCCCTCGCGGTCTCGGTCGCCGTAGCCACCACCGCCTCGGCTGCCGTAGCGGTCGCCGCCGTCGCGATCGCCGTAGCCGCCGCCTCCTCTTCCTCCTCCGCCATAGCGGTCGCCACCATCGCGGTCGCCGTAGCCGCCCCTGCCGCCGCCGCCGCCGCCATAGCGGTCGCCACCGTCGCGGTCGCCATACCTGCCGCCGCCGCCCTCGCGGTCACCGTAGCGGTCGCCACCCCGGCCACCGCCTCCATAGCGGTCTCCGCCGTCGCGGTCGCCATACCTGCCGCCGCCGCCCTCGCGATCACCGTAGCGTCCGCCGCCCCCGCCGTAGCCCTCCTCATCCTCCATCTCGGCAGAGCTGCACAATCAAATTATTATAAGAACAGATCAGATGCAATGAATCATAAAAAATGAGCTCTGAGAGATGAAACAAAAAAATTTTGGAAAGATTTGATAGATTGAGATGGAGTGCACTGCAGCGTACCGTGGAGCATTGGGGAGTGCCTCCGAAACAACGGGAGGCCCGCCGATGTCGGAACTCAGGAAATCTGAGAGATTGACCTTTACCGCCTTCTTCTTCTTGCTCATTGTTGATGCTGTATGATGTATGAAGCCAGCTGATCAAATTCGCTGGATGCACACTCGCCCAGACCCCGAACAGGGCACCAGAAAAAGGCCGGAAGTACCTGTCGACACAGGAAAAGTTGCTGAGTTGTGAAATTTCAGGTTTTTTACCGTTGAGGCCTGGCTTCTGCTCATCCTGCTGAGTGCAGCCTGGTCGTCAACATGTCCATGGCCCTTGAGCCACAAGTGTAAAAGAGGCTGATCCACAATGGCTGTGCTCACATTGTCTTGAACAAGACCTTCAAGCAGTTGTATGTGATTGCCCAAGCCGGGTAAAATCCGGACATGAGGGGCGGGCGAAACTACAAAGAGCCGGAGTCACTTTTTTTTCTTTGCTGCCTCCCGCCCTGCATCTCGATCTCGATCTCTGCATCTTGATCCCTCCCGCCACACGAGTTCATCTTCATCCTTCGTTGGTCAAAACAACTGTTCTTCCTTACGGACCTCGGGACTGATTTGAAATCTTCAGAACATGTCGTCCTTCGCTTTCAACATGATCGCGGCCTCGATGCAGCAGTCCGCTGCCCCTTCCGCCTGGGAGCAATACATCAACAGGCGCACCGCCGTACGCCTTCTCATGGCCCCGCCTGCCGACTGGACAGGGGCCTCCGTGAGCCTCAAGCTCTCGGGTACGCCTACTCTCTCGTTCAAGATTCTACATAATCTTGAAACGATGTCGTTGAATCGCAACTCTTTGCAATTCTTCAATCATTCTTCACCCGCTTGCGTTCGGGTACTCGCGTACCACGACATTCATCATTCAAGAATTTTTGTAGAACGTTGCAACCTTTGTTGTGTCGATTCCGAATGAACGCGGAGATAATTTTACTTCCATCTCCCAATTCAAATCACTAATGAGATTTTTTGATATCTCCAGGTTTCCCATTCAAGCAGTCGATTGAAAAGCTGAGGGTCGAGCCCGCTGGCACGAACTTTGAGGCCATGCTGCAGCGCTTGCTCCGCGGAGAGCCGGTGACCGAGGAGGAGCCGCAGATCGACGACGCTACTCGCGCCCGTGCCGAGCAGAAGCGCAAGACGAAGAGCGCTGGTGGCCAGTCCACCAGCGCCGCCGCGTCGAACACGCTGTCCGAGGACCCCTACGAGCTTCTCGGCCTGGCTCACCTCCGCTGGCGCGCCACCGAGGACCAGATCAAGAAGGCCTGTACGTGATATCGCGTCCTTGTCGTCCTTCTTCGTTCTTCGCTTCGCTTTGTTGGACATAGGTCAAAACGTGAAACTGATGGCAGTGACGTGTCCATGTCTCCAGACCGCAAGCAGGTCCTCATTCACCACCCCGACAAGAAGGGCGGCGAAATGTCCGAAGAGGACGCCGACGAGATGTTCAAGTCTCTCACTCGCGGTACCGCCGACCACAACGAAACCACCTCAACCCCAACACCTCTGATGTATTTTTTTCCCCTTCTGGTTTGTTACTGTGATCGTCCGATGCTGCAGCCCACGATACACTCAGCGACCCTCGCAAGAGGCGCGAGTTCGACTCGACGGAGCCCTTCGACGACTCCATCCCCTCCGAGCTCGTCAAGGTGGAGACCGACGAGCAGTTTTTCAGAATCTACGGCCCGGTCATCGAGCGCAACAGCAAGTGGTCCAAGATTCACCCCGTGCCGGCGCTGGGCGACTCGGACACGCCCTACGACAAGGTGATGGAGTTCTACGACTTCTGGATGTCCTTCCGCTCGTGGCGAAACTTTGCCGGCGCCGACGAACACGACCCCGAGGAGGCCGAGACCCGAGAAGAGAAGCGATGGATGGAGCGGCAAAACGAACGCGAGAGGAAGCGCAAGAAGAGGGAAGAGCTCACTCGCGTTGCCACTCTCGTTGGTACGAATGCAGTGCAACACACACACACACCACACACACCACAACGTCACTGATGACTCACCATTCCCTGTTTGGCTTGGCAGAGGGCGCCTTCAAGCGAGATCCGCGCATCAAGCGACACAAGTTGGCGGAGAAGGAGGCCAAGAAGCGTGTCAAGCAGGAAAAGATCGACGCCATCAAGAGGGTGCGGGAGGAGCAAGAGCGAAAGGAAGCCGAGGAGCGAGAAGCCAAGGAGAGGGAAGCCAAGTCCAAGGCCGAAGAGGTACGCACACGAACTTCACCATTCCTTTTTCTTTTTCTTTTCCTTTTCGTCTTTTCTCGAATTAATTTTTAATTAACAAAAAACAAAAACAAAAACAAAAAAAACAGGAAACGAAGGAGAGGCAGAGGAAGGCGAACGCTCTTCGCGACGCGAGGGCCAAGCTGAGGAAGTTTTGCAGGAGCGCCAAGGACCTCAAGGCGCCCACCAGCGATGTGGAGCTCATGTGCAGCAACCTGCCCGTCGAGCGTCTCAAGGCCCTCATCGAGGCCATCAAGACCAACCAGAACGCGCAGGACGCCTTCGACGCCGAAGTGCGTTTCCTCAAACCCAACCACGCCCCCGTCGAGGAGAAGCAGAAGCAGAAGGAAGAGGACGAGCAGCAGCTCAAGGCCGCCACGGAGGAGAAGAAGGCCAAGGCCGCCATTCCGTGGACCGACGACGAGCTGGGCCTCCTCGCCCAGGGTATCGCCAGGTACCCCGGCGGCAGCCCCAACAGGTGGCGAATGATCGCCGACCTCGTCAACTCCAAGGTACCACCCATCATCTTCATCGTCGTCGTCGTCATTGTGGATTGATTGATTCATTTCTTCATCAGGCGGACCGAGCCAACGGCGGCAAGTCCAGGTCTGTGCAGGAGATCATCGCCAAGGTGGGCGAGATCAAGGTCGTGGCCGAGAAGAGCGCCCTGCCCGGCGTGCAGATCGAGGATCACAAGCACAAGGGAGTACGTACCCACCACCACCCACACCCCGAAGCACCACCAACCGCATTCTAACAATCAACCAACCAACCAATCAACAATCAAACCACGATCAGGTCAAGGTGCAGAAGTTGAACGCGGGCGGACCCATCGGCGGCATTTCGCTGCGCACGCAGATCCCCGACCTCGCGCCGGTGGTGGAGGAGAGCAACGGAACCGCGCCCCACCAGGCCAACGGCAAGAAGCAGCCCCAGCAGGGCGAAAAGAAGAAGGCCGCCGCTGCCCCTTCGCCCTCTACCACCACGACCGCCACCTCCGAATCCACGGCCGAGAAGGTGCGCATTCTCTCTCGTGTCGGTGGTCGTGTCGTGTCGTGTCGTCGCGATTCGTTAGCTCACAGCTGTTATTTGCCAACGGCCACAGGAATCTGCCTCGACAGCGTCGCCAGCGGAGTGGTCGCAGGAGGAGCAGAAGGCTCTCGAGGCTGCCCTGAAGAAGTTCCCGGCCTCGCTTGGCGTTTCGCGCTGGGACTCGATCTCTGCGGCCGTCGCCGGCAAGACCAAGAAGGACTGCGTCGAGCGTTACAAGTTCATCGTGGCCCAGCTCCGTGGCAAGAGCAACAAGTGAGAGGCTGCCCCTTCTTTCTTTCTTTTTTTTCCCTCTTCCGTTCTTTGTTCAACGCGAAATAAGAGACTTTCACGACCCTCTGTTCGTTACTTGCAAACTTTTTTGTTATTTGTTTTTTTTGTTATTTGTTTGTGTTTTTTTTTTTTGACTACGCTTCGCGTGATGATGGGATCTAACCGGACATCGGCTTTATGCTATAAAGAGTGGTTACACGTAACCACTCTTTATCTCCCACCAACACTCACCATTGGCCGGTAGTTATCCAACCCCCAGCAGGCACCTCAGGTATAAAAAAGAAGGGTGGCAGCAAGCAGGCCTATCTCAGCGTTCAACGTTCGTTGCCTGTGCCCACCATGGCTTCACCCCTCATTAACCAGCGTCGCTTTGCTCTCTTCTGCCTGTTGGCGTGCCTTGCCGTTCTGCCCGCGTTCAGTACATCCACCATCCCACGAAGCTGAGTGAGATCTTCACCATGCTGCTGCAACCCGAGGTGGTCCACACGTTTGATCTGACACGCGACTGATCTTCATCTCTTTTTTTACTTGTTCCTCTCTTCATCAAAGGCCAATCCTACTGCTACTGGAGCCAGACGGCCTGCGGACCCATCGCTTCTTACAAAGTGCGCGTCGCCAGGGAAGAATACCCGAAGCTGGTAGACCAGGCGTGGATCTACGTCTACAACGCAACTGGACTGCAGAGTTCCTCCCTCTGCGGCATCATCAACTTCGTCAACGACATGGCTCAGGCCTACCCCGACGTGTGCCAAGACCAATACGGCGTCATGCACAAGCACCTCCCCATGTCGGCCATGCAGAACGTACTCACCACCCTCCAGTCATCGCTGTACAACAACTTCCTGGCATGGGACGCGAAGGACGGCATCGCCTACTACGACAGCATCGCCACCCAGGCCGCCAACGTCGCCAAAAGCCCTGTTTTGTCCTTCCACAAGGAGGATTTTCTCAAGTTGCGCATTAAAAACTCTGTTGCCCGCTCCGCTGATTTTATTTTTATTTTACATATGCGATATTATTAGATATTGATTTTTTTTAATATAAAACAAATTCACAGGCCGACGCAGGACCATTAACCCCCGTGGGTAAAGTACATGTGTACATTTATTTGTTGGGAATGATCGCACTGTGTTTGAGTGATGGTGGTGATGCTGGTGGTGATGATGGTGCTGATGGTCTCGCTTTACTGTGTGAGGCTGTCGTCGGAGGAGGTCATGGCGTCGCGGGACGAGCTCGTGCTGGCCGGGGCCGGGGGCGGCTTCCTCGGGCTGCCCTCCTGCGCCTGCGGGTGCGGCGTCGTGCGGTTGAAGGTGATCGGCGCGATGTGGGCGCGCGGCGACGGCGGCGTCTTGAGCATGCCGTTCGACGCCGCCGACGACCCACCGCCGCCGGCGTTGCGTCGGGGCGACGACGGCAGGTGGAAGCTCAGCGAGTGGCCGTGGTG